CTAGGCAAACAGAAACAAAATTAAATCAAATATATGTAACAGCTTTGGTTGAAACTTGGCATTTCGACACGTTGTATATCTTCAATTATTTTTCTAATCCTCAAGCCTTAAAAAATTTAATACTTACGAACTCTAAAGTTGTCCCTGACCTGGACCCCTGCACCAGAGAAAATAGGCCTAATATCTCGACTGTTCGAAGTTGTAATACATCACGTGATCTCTCTTGGGAAGACTGTAATTTCGGTAAAGATTCGACTGGTGATTTACTTTCTTCCAATACAACGGTCGGAAAGAAAGAAAATATTTTACAGAATGTCAAGAGTTTCCCAGGGGTGTTCAGGAACAAGGGAAAGTGGCAAAAAATGGTACAGGAACATGGGAACAACTTGAATTTTCCACTGGGAAAAGGGAACGTGGCAACAAATGGTACAGGAGCATGGTAACAATGTAAATTTTCCACTGGGGACATTATTACTAGTTTAAGGGAACAAGGGAACATTGATTTTCAATGAAATCTGATATGTTTCATATTACTGTTTGCATAATCCTGTGAAAAACAACTTCATTGCGAATTCATCCTGGCCGTCGTAATCGTTGCTAGAGAGGTAACGAGAATGAGGCTCCTAACGGCCTATTTGAACGGGAGACCAACTTTTTACGTGAAAAGGAACTTTTTACGTTTAAATCTCTTCCTTTATGGCGCACAGTTCCGCAGGGAATTTGCGATAGGGCAATTTGTTAGCTGAAGGGCGTCACCGGTATGGATATTCTGATCATAATAACTGCTACAAACTGTTGCAATGGAGTTTAAATCATCACACCCATTCCTGTACAAATACGCGTAGCAAAATAATCCCTTCAGAATTGAAAATAATAATTTTCAAGATCAAAAGATCAAGAATACATTAAAGTGCCAATGACTTTTTGTATTATGACGATTAAAGAACTGTCAGTAACTGCAAATATTTTTATGTTGATTCTGCACTAGGATAGAGATATTACCCTAGGTAATGGATTGATAAGCGATTATTAATTGATACAGGGTGAATCCATAGGGCAAGAAAAAGAGCTCGAGCACCCGCAAAATTTTAAGAGAATATCGTTATAGTTAGAAGAATAAAGTAGAACTGAAGAGTGTTTCCTAGATTCTCCTCTCTAAAAATCATTGTAGGTCATCCAGTACATTTAAATGACTGGTTCTCCGTTTCCAATTTAATTTTGAAGCTCATAGGGTGGCCTACTGGATACAGATTTATGCCTTCATATTTATGCTTTCAAGGGAAATGAATCCTCTTATTTTAAAGAGAAAGAGAGGATGTGTATGATGCCTCCCGGTGCTTTGCAACAAGTAGCAGGTTCCATGTACACTATTTTCTTTTTCTAGGAACAATTTCATAAGAACTGCCCATTACGAGCCTCAAAATTGGTCAAAAGCCCAGAGACTGAGCTTCTATGAAATGCAATTTTGAACAACGTTTTATCACAAAAACGAGTATTTCTAGCCATATGTTGGTGCTTTTTTGGTGAATATTCAAACTTGTTGGCAAATTAAGGTTGTCCAACTCACTTGGTTGGCAAATGAGGCCGGAACAACTCCCTAGAGCGAAAAAGCTAGCAATCGCACTGCTTACACCCTCTTAATTTAAGAACAAATTAAGAACAATCCAGCCTCAGATTTTCGAAATACACTCTTTTTTTTATAAGAACAATTTTATAAGAACACGAGCCTCAAAGTTGGTCAAAAGTTAAGAACAAATTAAGAAAAAGCTGAGGCTGAGCTTCTGCAAAATGCAATTTTGAACATTTTTTCTCAAAATCGAGGATTTTTAGCGATGTGTGCGTGCTTTTTCGTCGAATATTCAAACTTTTCGGCAAATGAAGGTTGTCTTACTCACTTTGTTGGCAAATAAGGCCTGAACACCTCCCTAGAGCGAAAAAGCTAGCACTCGCACTGCTTACACCCTATTAGATTATGAACAAATTAAGAACAATCCAGCCTCAGATTTTCGAAAAAATTAAGAACAGTCAGCCTGAACTTAAATTTACTGGTTCTTATAAAAAAAGAGTGTAATTAAGAACAGTCAGCCTGAACTTAAATTTACTGGTTCTTATAAAAAAGAATGTTCAATGTACCAGGCTAAAAGTAGTTGGGCTGATAAGGGTGTGACCGAAATTTTAAGAACGCTGAAAAGCGCCCCTTTTAGAAAATACTTGCTTCTTTCCACTTACCATTTTTAAACAGTCCGATTCAGAGAAGATAGCAATTACTATGAAAATAGACTACCAAGATAATTCGTCAAGAAAATGAAAAGGGTTCCCAATCAAGAAGGCAAGAACTGTTAGTACTTAGGATCCGTTAGAGTAAATTTTCTAACCTATTATTGCAAAATTGGGGGGGGAGCTATAACCCTTGCTAGCCAAATGGCTGTGCGGTGCCTGGCAGGTCCCCCCCCCCGGGCGACCCTCAATATTCAGCAGACAATACCACACTTGGTCTTCCGAAATTCGTGCAGACCAGAACAATTTCATAACAAACAAATAAGATACAAATGCAAGTCTATTACTTTTTCAAAAACTTCTACATTAGAGAAACTAATAATGCACCTAAAGAAAATCCTTCCAATGGAAAGCTATTTGGTATCTTAATAGAGGAGCCAAAAATTGTGAAAAGCTCATTTTTCATGAAACATTGGTCCAGAAACGCTACTTAGTTTCTTAAACCGCACAAACTTGCAAACTCACAATACATATCCTTCACATGCCGGTAATGACTTAATTTGAAGAACTTTTTCATTAAAGTAAAGCCATGCAGGCTTAAACAAAGTTCAGTTTAATTTGGGCGTTTTTGCCAACGCGGTTTATTGTAGTGTGATAAAATCTTGTTTGCTAAAACCCTGCCCAACAAAAGTTGTTCCAACATTCTCGATCCAGGTACCTCGGTTTATTACTTTCTGGATATTGAGCCTTAATTTTCTAATAAACAGTTTCCTAAAAAAGCTTGTATTGAAGACTTTTTGATCCTACATGTCGCTGTGAGTATTTGCGGCGCTTATCATTAGATTCCCGGTGAACAGAACAAAAACCAGTAAATTCGTGCGACTATCGGCGGAACTACAAGCACTTGCCGATTGGTAACTACATAGTCGATGACCCAGCCATGAATGCAACGGTTTCCGCGCTCATCTTGGTGTGTCACATTTCTCAGTAATCTCTTCCAGAACAAACAACACAAAGTTATCAGTAAGAACAGAGCAACATTGTCGCCTCATCAATTTCTAAGAAATTCCTGCAGATAAGCAGTTAAAAAGAGGATTTGTGACAAAAATTCTTGGCTGCGCATAATCCCAAGGAATCTATAAACACAATATTAAGCTTCGTTACTACCGTACTCCCCCCTCCCCAACAAATAGGCATATGCTTTCAATGTTTATTACATAAAATACAACAGTTATCATTCAATTTGGAAATAACCCTAATAAGCACTGGGAAGACTTCTGAATACCTGCATCAAACGTTTCTTATCAAAGCTCAAATATTTTAGGACATGCAACTAACCATTTTTTAAGTTCACATTTCAAAATTTAGAGGTCGCAAGCATCAACTGTATTTACTGTTAAAAAAACATCGAAAGGAAAGTTCGTTCATCAGATATAAAATATCGACAAGTTGTATTTCAGACGGCAATTCCTATCAAAGATTTAGACTCATCATTTGAACGAACACTAGAAAGCTATTAGAAATATTTACATAAATGGAGATTTTTGGGATAATGTATAATGTTGGAGAAATAGTTCTTTTATATTTTAGCATTAAAAAAATAATTCAGAGGGTCGTGAACAATTCTTTTGGCTAAACTGCCTAATAATGCAACATTTTATACGAATAATGTTGATATCTAAAACTGAAGACGCTAAGCTGCGCTGCTTTCTCCTAGAATACTGAGTTAGTATCATTAAGTTCTTACCAAAACTCTGGGAGTTGCTCGCATGCAGCCGAAGTAGCCCCATGCCAGATTAGTAACAAAAGAAGGAAATTTTCTAGTGTTGGAAATGTTGGATTTGCGATAGCAAAGAATTAAGAGAACATCTAGGTGTTTGGAAAAGGAACAGGGCATTAGATAGAGAAAATAACACAAAAAATCATTGAAAAAAGAGCATCTAAGGTATTTTTTCGACATTTAAGAAACATTGTAAAATCTGAGCTAGCAGTTCATATGATACATTGTCACCATGGGATATATGCAGTCAGTAAGAGGTCATTTAGTCTCAGAACAGCTCGTCTTTCGTACTTTCGAACACCTGTGCGAAACGCGGATCAGAGTTTTTCGGAGGCTCGGTCTTCTTTAACAAACCTCGAAGTGACTTTGGGGAAGTTCTCTGGTTTGCGCACAAATTTATAAACACAAAATTCAACCCCGTGATTTCAAAATAATGTCCACGATATGAACACGAAATACCGTCTTTGTGCTGACCCTGTTTACTTTTCGATGGGAAAAATCAGTAAGAGAGCTAAAACATAAACCGTAATCTGATTTTGGAAACAAGCGCTGAGATTACAAACCGTACAATACAGTCTGTGACAAAGCTGCCTCAGATGAGAATTACGTCTTTTTTGGCTCTCTGTGTTGTCCCGTACTTTATAATCTTTCATAATTCCAATTATTAAAGTAAATAACGAATTTGACCAAATGCTTTGAAGACATTTCGCTCCTATGACCATGGATAACAGTGACTTGAGTACCAGCAATAAAAACATGATCGTGTATTGGAGACATTTGTGCCAACAATCTCACGTTGTTTGTACCAACAATCTGCTTACATAACAAAAATAGAAAAGGTCTGTTAAGTTATCTAGAAAGGTCAAGGAGTTGAACAGACAAAAGAATATCGCATATAAAAGAATGAGAATTAAAAAATCTTTTTCCATTAGTCATGAAACTACGGTATCTGTTTAAGCAAGTAACAGCTGATGAAAGGTTTACAACTGAAGAAAGTGGCATATTCTTTAAAACAGATGTTTATCATGATAATAAAATTTACAAGTAGCACTCTCTCTTCTAACGCGTCTTTTCATGCCTACACTAGCTTAAAGAAAAAACTACCATGGCCAAAAAGGAGCTTGAATTTGACAGCAATATTACTTGTGCAGATTAAATTGAGGTTTTAAATTCAAAAACAAAACAACTTTTAGAGACAATAAATCAAGCATTGAAGTGCATAAAATCAGTGTTGGTTGTAAAAACGTTTAGCTATGTTATAAAATGATGACGTGTGTATTACTATATGCACTTCGCACTTGATTAATATGCCATGCCTATCAGAATGCAATGACCTTCAAACCTGGTTCTGCTGCGCTTAAAAATCAAACTCCAAAAATTTAGTACCATCTCAATAGTAGCTTAAACAATAAACTTAGGATATGACAACTAAAATCTGTCCATTTATCTATGGAAAATCAGCGTTCGAAAGTGCAGTTCTATATCGAGAAGGCATTTCCTCCACTGTATTGAAAGATGCCACTCGTTTAGCAGTAAGACAAAATATTGTCATAAGTTAATATCCTCGATAATTTGACGACTGTCCAGAATAGCTACCGTAGCTGCCTTGTTGGTTGCCATAACCTTGGCTCCATCCTCCACCTCGTGGTGCATAACTTCCACGGTTAGATCCGCTGTAGCCGCTAGACTGTGATCCTCTTCCTCTTCCATTACCATAACTACTACCACCACCATAGCTACTGCTGCCATAGCCACCACTGCCTTGGCGATATCTGTCGCGTTCACCGCTACCACCACTCTGTCGATACCCACCGCGCTGTGAAGATTGGCTTCCATAAGAGCTGCCATAGGATCCACCTAAAAACATGGGTGAACGAGCTGGCAATTTGTTTTTTCATCCAAAAAAATATTTAACAGCAGTAATAAAGCGTGGAAAAGAGAATTCATATACCAGAACAATCAAAATGGCAAATGTTAGTCGAATAACATTGTCCAAACGAAATCCTTAACGTCAATACCATGTAAACAACAGAGACAAAAAAATTAGGAAGAAACGTGTTTAACTTACTGCTATATCCACCACCACCACCGCCGCCGCCGCCGCCGTAGCTACGTTGTCCATATGAACCAGAACCATAGGAACCACTGTTGTAACCACCGCCATACGAACCACTTCCATAGCCTCCACCTCTCTGACCATATGAGCCACCACCATATCCACCATACCCACCACTTTGGGATCTAGCTCCATATCCCCCGTAATTGCCGTATCCACCACTTCCGTAGCCTCCACCGTAGCCTCCACCGTAGCCACCACCATAACCGCCACCTCCACCATAGCCACCTCCACCGTATCCACCACCATAACCGCCGCTGTATCCACCACGTCGATTATCCCTGTTATCCCTCCTCCTGTCATCATATTGCCCTCCTATAAATTGAGAAGACACTTCATATCAATGAAAATAATGAAGCCATAAAAACACGTGACAAGTTTATATGTAAGGGTAAAGATGCTAACAGGGAAAATTTGACCATATATACAACATTGTTAAGACTTAACTTTGCAACAGGCCGCAAGCAGCGATTTTATTTGCTTTTAAAAAAACATTGAAAGGAAAGTTCGTTCATCAGATATAAAACATCTACAAGTTGTATTTCAGACGGCAATTCCTATCAAAGATTTAAACTCATCATTTGAACGAACATTATCTTCCGGATATCAATTAAGCGCCTTTAAATAAGGAAAACCATACACTTACTAACAGCTTTGAAGTAAGAACTTAACACGTAATACAAAAACAAAATAAGATATGAGCAAAAATAAAAACGGTGCAGCTTGTATTCGTGAAAATTTAACATGATAAGATGTTTGCTTCTCCAAGAAAGGTTTCTATTTCAAAGTTAATTGAAAACTGTGGTAAAGTTTTTTCCCAACAAGCAAATACAATATTTGTCAATGGTACGGCTTATGTCTTCTGCTTTTTTGAAACAAACAAGACTTGCAGCCTTGAAAACCATGCCTCACTTCACCGACAGTCAAGATTGATTTAAATAGAAGGCAAACTATGTGAGAAGCAAATATCTTATTAACACAGTTGACACGTTATTCCCGAAAAACAAGTAAAATTTCACACACTTTTAACAACACTTGTTGCCTTAATACAAACAGGCAACTTTTGAATTCCTATCAGATTGACTGTATGGTGAAAAAGCAGCACAGCTGAAACCATCACTGGGTTATTACTGGGCTTACTACTACGCAGCCACTCAGCACGTGTACATGCGGAGGAGACTGACCTGAGCTGTTATCATATCTTCGGTTGTCTGAGTAGTGACCTCTTCTGTGTGAATCTACAAGGCAAATCATACTCCACTTTGTCTCTGTTCCTCAAAAACAAACGCCTTTACTTCACTCTTGATTGTGTCATCGGGCCTACATCGGTGAAATCACTCACAGTGTGAGTGCTTTCACGGCTTTTTCAATATTCAAAAGGCTCAGAGGCCATCGTATCCAGTTGTAGTTAACACTCATGCATTCTGTTCCTTCGCAGTTATCATTTTTGCTTTTCATGTTAAAATCAGTTAAGTTTACAGTCAATACACTGCAACATGACAATACAAAAACAGGGTATCTTACAAAAATGTGTGTATTAAAATGACATTTTGTGCATACTACTGTGTGCAAAATTAAATACACCAATACTGTTCGTATGATAATAACACGTTTTTTTAAAAGAAAACCTCAAGACTTCTGCAAGTTATAAGACTTACAAGAATATGATGAGCTGGGTACAAACGAAAGAAATTCAGACATCAAGAAATTCATAACTAAGTGTGTACAGACACAAATGTTAAGTGTTATTGTTTAGAGATGAATGGGAAATCTATACAAATCTGGCAGTTACAGTAACAATAATTTTGCCATAAAGGCCACATACCATATCTATCGCCATCTTTTCTCTGCCCGTAACGCTGTCCATCCCTCCTATCATGGTCATATCTAGGTCTTTTATGTTGTGGTTCCTCGCCCCTGTCTCTATTTCTTTTCCCTTCACGATGATAACTTTCAACTGTTCTTTTTGCTTCTTCTTCTTCTTGCTCAACAAACACCACCTCATCAAAAAGCTCCCCTTGCTCAGGAACATTGAAAAAATCTGAAAATAAAAAATTACCTTAAAATGGTGCAGCAGCAGCATGCGTGCTCAAAACAGCTGAATCAAATGATGTTCAGGCCAATATAAATTAAGATATTCTATAAAATCAATGGTCTTTAAATGAACAGATAAACAGGGGTCTTTCACTTCATCAGCTCCTGTATTGAGCAATGATACAACTTTAAGGAGCATTTCACCATTTCGAGATTCACTTTATTGACAACAAACAAACCAACTATTAATAGTAAAAAGGCCCAAAATAACGGCCCTATGATGAGAACAAGAATTTTTTAACTGTATTCCATATCTATTCTATAAATTTATCTACTATCTAATTGAAACATCTCCTGATCTATTACTACATATGTGCAGATAAGTCAAAAGTACTGATGATGGCATTAAGTAGCAGCTCAAGGTATCAGCTTAGACCCATACTGTTAATGTATACTCTTCATCCACTCCTTAGCAAAAGACTGGTTTACAGTAATCTCCATTAAGCAAATAGTTATATTACTAAACGTGTTTATTCTCACATTTCATATTCGCATGAGCCATGAATGGAACATCATGGCCATCGTGTTGCCTTTTATCTCCACTTCTTTTTCTGAGATTCTCATAGGTTGGCACAACAATTCGTGCTTTTCTTTGAAACTCACTGAAGGTTTCCATTTTCATTTGCTGGGCCTTAGCTACAACGTTTGTCTGGAGTCAAGATAAAAATGACATATGAAGCAAGGGTCATACTGGAAGTACAGAAAGGAACTTTTAAAGAAAAACACAGAAAAAAGAGAAAACAAGGAGAGAAAAAGGAATCATGCTTGATAAAAAATCAAAATAACATATAACTTTTTCTGGCTTGATGTATCAGATTTAATGATGCAGAAATCATAATTGATATCAATGGTGCCAATGTATGCAAAAACATATTCAGGATTAAATCTTTGCTTCCTGGAAAAGCAAACTGGATTGAAATATTTTTGTTTATACAAATGAATTATTCGTATAACTGAAAGTGAAACAGAAACAGTACCTGATCCAAAATGTAATTCCTTTTTCTTGAAGGTGCCAGTGCGAGCAACTTTGCAAGAATTTTTCCTGAAGCTTCCATAAGTCGATGAAAAGACTCACTGCTTTTCCTTCTGGACTGACCCTGAAGCTATAAAATGGTTTTCTGATTGATGATGAACTCTTACAAAAGAGACTACTACAAATCAATGAAACTATCAAGAGAAAAAGTTAATGCAAAACAGCAATAGCCACTGTAGTGCAGTTAGAGAATGCTACTCAGGGTTGCCATTTGGCCGTCTATGAGAGAAATCTCAGAAATCAGGCCTAATTGCAACCCATATGTCTACAAATTATATTGTTTTGTCTCAACAGTCAAATCATAGGTCCATTCTTGAAGAAGTTCATACCTAGAATACCAATAGAAATGGGAAACAGTTAATTCCCCCCTGACAAATTTTATGCATTTGTGTTTATTCCATCATTGTGATCTTCAATCTGGTCTGCACTGACCAGTGGGCTGTGGCTTTACACTTACAATTACAATACATTATATACTTACAATTTATTATTCAAACTTCCCACAATGCAATGCAGCTTATAATCTTGAAATAAATTAACTAACTTTTTCTATGCAAAATAAACATATACATAAAAATATATTAGTGCTTACCTTCAGACGGTCAAAAATCAGCTCTCTTCCAAGAATCAAGAAGTTTTTATCTGGATTTTCTCTGCAATGGTTCTGTGCCCAACAGCTCTTGCCTGATGATGGGAGACCAACCATCATGATTACCTAAACGAATTGAAGGTCATTTAGTTAAATAAATGCACATTCTTATCTGGTTGTAAGGATCAAAACTGCTTTGAAGAAATCTCCCTAAAAACAGCAATGTCAAAATATGTTTCATGACAGACAACAGTTTCTAAAATCATGCCTCTATTTCTTACTATTTAGGACAAACAGGAACAAATTACAGTTCAACTTCAATAAGCTGAACTCTAAATTCAACTCATTTCGGTTTTGAATTTTGCTTTTAATACAATGTATATAAGTGGGCATTAATCACGCTCCAGCCAAAAAGGGTAGCAATTGAAAATTTGCACATACTATATTTTAATAGTTGGTTAGTATATTTTATTTCACTGGAATGAAATTCATTTTGGGGGGGGGGGGTTGCTTAGGGACAACACCTAGTAACAACTTTTTATATTTTTACGAGACTTTCATTCCACAAAAGCCCAGAAGATCTTCAGGCTATGGGCTCCAAGAATTGCCATTTGAAAATCTGGAATCTATTTCGAGAAAAAATGTTTTCGGCAAATACACTATGACAAAAAAGAACAAAATTGAGAGATCAAAATTAAAACAAATATCGAGCGTTTACTACCTCACATTCAGATTTCTCGCTTGGTGGAATTGGTCCTTTCTTCAATGCCTCCTCTTCACAATCCTGCACAAATGTGTACTCTTCCAACTTTTCATGCCATGGTTCTTCCTATATAGAAAAAATGTTTTCAAAACCCATCAATGTATCATTTTCCATTACTTATGAAACATTTGACGAAAAATATTTCAGTGAAAGTGAATACAGCCTTTCCTTTTAAAAATTATATGCAAAAGCAATGGAAATCAGAGAATGAAAGGTAACAACACACATACCCTTGAACCAAAGTTCACTTCAACCTCCATATTCTTTATGAAAATATGAGGAAATAGAGCTGCATCATCAAGATTGACTGATAATGACATTGCGATACCCAAGTCAGTTCCATTCTTTGTATACTTCAAGGTTTTAACATCACTTTCCAAATCCTGAGAAGCAATTTGATAGGCACCTTAAACATACACTGATTTAAAATCTGCCTTTCTTGAATATATATATATTTGTATTGTCTAGTTTTTAATTATATGGTGGGGAAAGACAGCATCCACCCTTTCTCTTTCTTGTGCATTTCTGGGTGGTTCACAGTTTGTCTTAATGCTTCTTCTTTGTTCTTTTATCTATTGTATTATTCTGCTTTTCTCACCTCCGGCTGGGCCTAGCAACTTTCCTTGTGTCGTTTATTAGCAATTATTATCCTTGCTTGTAAAATGTGTTATCTTGTGTTCTTTTGTTTTGTACTACTTATTTTATGCTCCAAATGTAAATGAATGTTATTTTGAAGAAGCATATCGTGAAACGTTGATCAAATACTGATCATCTATTTAATTTTTAAAAAAATATTACAGTCAAAAGCTCACAATTGTAAAGTTGGTCTAAGCTGAGTTTTATTGGGAACAGCATTTGAAATAGGAGTCATTCAATCTCAGCAAAAAAAGCTTGAACAAAGAGAAAAACAGAGACGCATATGATAAGGGAGTAATGAAAAACCAGGCCCCAATAAATACCATCAAGATAACGCACACAAAAGAAAATAAAAATTACTTTAGAAAAAATAAACAAGAAATCAAAAGAAACAAAAGAGAATAAGAATGGTAATTCAAAACCTTGAACTGGGCGTGCGATTAAGGCAGGCCTTGGGAGTTTTGTCATGTGTGGAGGCATGCGCATGCGATCGCACACTTAATATTACCAGGACTTTAAAATGTATTACATATAAATACTGTAAATACCTCAAATAAGCCCCAACCTTTGTATAAGCCCCAAATGGGCTGAGGTATTACTAACCAGATAAGCAGGATCACTTAACATCTACCTTGTTGTTACTATTTGGGATACTTCCCATCCACTTTGTCTATTGCAGACCCCTCAATTTTGTGATGTGGGAAATTCCCCACCCAACCAGTCACTTCCAAAACCCTTGTCTACTGCAGATTAAAAGCAATTTCAAAGAGCTGCTTGAGCAAACACATAATCTTACCAGGTAGGCACCAATTATGTCTCCCTCACCAAATGGATCTGCGTAGTCTGCAAAGTTTGAGGAAGCACAAATTTTTCCAGAGCTTTCATATCCATAAGACAAACTGGCTTCACCTGGATAACATGAAAAATTACCAGACTTGATGTATGAACTAACTGACAAAGCCTCATGTGTTGCATTTACCTCGTGGCTCACATATCTAATTATCACCTGAAATTATGTTTCTATGAAACTAGCTTCAACAACCCAAAACTAGCTATATGATAAGGGTAGAATTTGATTTAATGAGGGATTCTACATTTTAGCTGAGAAGTATCATTCTCATTTTGGCATCAATTATCATGCTTTCATTTGGTATTTAACAGTGGGTACACCTGGGGGCCCACCCCCAATATTTTGGATGCCAATAGTCTTTTGTTTCAAAACAATGGGACAGTGTGACATCATCTTATCAAAACAATAGGCTTGCCCCCCAATATTTTACCAACTACCCACTCCTGGTATTTAAGTCCTTATGTGCTGCTTTGATGTCACTGGGAATAATAGAGAAGAAGAAGTTTGGGCTTCTGCACAAAAGTGTTGGTCCTTTGACTAACGTGAGTGTATTAAATTTCTTTGGGCAGGGCTCATGTAGATTGACGTTAATAAACAAATAAAACATTTAATAAAATGTCTAAAGGCTATCAGGGCTTCATAAAAGAATGCATTAATTAATTAAGGCCAGCAATTACCAGCACAGCCAAATATAAAATTTATTCTACCAAATATTTTCATAATCATTCTTCATTGTCAACATTGAGAACAGTTTTGTGATTTTGTATCAATCACTCAATTTTCAATGTATGTACATAAAAATAAACAAATTTATTTAAAAAAATACTTACCAAGCTGGAGACCAGAACTGGCTGCTGACCATCCAATTCTTATGCCATGTTTTGGTTGTTCACTATCTGGCAGTTCCACATCAAGTTTCTTCACAATCTAAAAAATTAAATATATATATTCTTTATCATTCACATGCCTAAATACAAGTACACCAATTTCTCCAACAAGCTAAAATGTATATACATTTACATCTTTCTGATGACTACATCTTGGAATAATTTTGTATATATTGATAAAAATCTTTTGAAATTCAATGTGTTTAGCTATCTTTTTTAGAGCCTCCTTGTTTAGTTATCATTTTAACATAAGTCTGACTGTCAACTTACCTTACACTCATAACAAACTTTGCCAGATTTAACACCATAATTTGCCTTGACACCACACCATAGGAAACACAAATCATTTTTGATAAAATTTCTTCCTGTCAGACCATCAGATGTACGGAAAAAGTGCAAGTCAGCATTGTCTATAAATAAACACAATAAAAGCATATTTATAAAACAATGTTGTAACATGTTACTAGAAATTATCAAAAAAGGATTTATTCAACAAAGGACTTTTCAAAACATTTATGCAAAGATGTAGCTCTAGACTTACATGTATCTAGAACAATTTTATTGTCATCTAGTGAGACTTCTTCATCTTCCTCCCCATCTTCAACCACCAACTCTACTTCTGGAGCTCTAAAACAAAACCAGCAATTTCAGATAATATAAAGATCAGTAGTATATAACTAACGATAGTCACAGGAGTGCAAGTAGGAATTTGGGAAGGTCTCGTTTAGGGGTTTCTTTTTCTTCACTATTGGCATAAGTTGCTTATTTGCTAACTTGCCTCACATTTTTAGTGGGACCCAGCTTTGGCATGGTAATTTAGGGCATGGTATACCTACTTTATGGGAAAAACACATACAAATATTGAACAGAAACAATCTAAAAAACTTGTGTGCATATGACTATACACAGAAAAAGAAAAAAACTGAAAAGGCTTTCTTCAAAATGCTTTTCAACTTTGCTGTCCCTAGGATATATTTTTCATTAGGTATCAAATAGATAGAATAATATATGTATATAAACAGCAAACTTAAATTTGAAAACTCACAGAACAACTTTCTCCTCTTCCGCTTTTTTCTCTTCCATTTTCCTCTTTTCTTCTTTTTCTTTTGCCTCCTTTGCCTCCTGCTCCTCCTTTGCCTTCCTCTCAGCCTCCTCGGCTGCTCTGACAGCCTCCTCTGCTTCTGCAGCAGCTTTTTCAGCAGCCAACTCTTCCTCGCTTTTTTCCTCCTCTTTGTCTTCTTTTTCCTCTGTTCCAGCCTCTTCTTTACCTTCAGCATCTTCACTAACACCACCAGCCATTTCATCATCATCATCAGCTACCTCTCCTGGCTTTTCTTCTACATCTTTTTCAAGATTTTCTTGCACTTCTGAAACCTCCTCACTTGCTACATCCTCAGCTGAAATGAACAGTATATAATTTTGTAACTATTTTTTCTAGATTCAATTCAGTGGTTGGTTTAGATCTACAATTGTTTGCAATAGACAGCTATATGTGAGGTGGTTGCTATTTCATAAACAGACAAAGATACAAGGGGTGGGGCAATGATGGTATACGAATCAAGGGCATACGACAATGTGATGCTTTATCGTTCCAACAAAATTGCAGGCCTGAGCTATTGTGAGTTATCGTTTGCTTTGTGAGGGAACATATATCTTGTAGGCCATTCTCAACTCAGCGACATCCTTTTCTTCTCAATTTGCAGGGTTGCCATCTCATCCAGTGATCAAGTTGTGAACATGCTGTTTGAACGAGTTGTACAGATCGCAATTTGAACCCATTTCTCAATATCTACAGTGCAAATATCACAGTAAGATTACAATTGCCATTTTTCAATTCATTCATTCTCATTGATGAAGAGTAGAAGTGAGAAAACACATAACAGAAAAGGAATCTTTCCAATTAACAGCTGTTTCTCTATTCATATAGCATTTCAAACTTTATCCAGCAATAACTATTTACCCCCTTTCCAGAAATTTCCTAACACAGAAAGGAAAATTGTTGAATTACCATTAAGATAAGGTGATATTTCTGGAATGGCATCTTCACCACAAGTGAATCAAATCCTGTCAAGAGATTTTTCATCAACATTTAACATTTATAACAGTAAAATCTAAGCAGTTACAATACACGATTTACTTTGTTTTGTTTACAAAGTCTTTATTTATGAAGCATTGAAACCATAATTTTGTCCTTTTAAAGATCAAGTCGCAAGCTTCTTTGAATTTGAATATTCCATCAGGAGTAACACACTTTCACCACAACTTCCGATATCTGCGATCTTCAATTTCTGGATGTTTGAAACATGTTTGAATTTTGTTGTATAAATGTTGTATAAACAGGTATTCATTGGCACATGGCTCTAGAACACACCATGTATATACATATAGATACTACATATTAACAGTTGCCTGATAATCACAACATGTAATGGATACATATTTAATATCAGTTGCATCGTTATTATTCAGGTGATGCAGCTTTGATTCTCTACAAATTATAAATGCCAGCAGCAATCATGGTTACTCAACAAACTTATATGCACCATATACAATTGAATTTGCAAGCCAAACGTAACTGAGACATCCAAACCCCTGTCTTTAAGAATTTTTTTTAATGAAACGAAAGAGAGCAGCATTGAAAGAGTGTTTTATTCATACTTACCATAAAACCGCTGAAAGCTGTTACCTAAATCTAGAAAAAATCAAAGTTTGATTTTCTGCCTTTTGCAAAGACTATCCTTGCAATTTAAATGTCTTAAACATTGTACTCAAATTGTCAAACCATAAACATTACATTCTTCTCTTATGAAGATGCCAATCAGTGGCAGTACTCAATATCATCTTTCACGAAATAATCCTAAAGTTTACATTATATATATTCATTTTTCGTTTTCCATTCCAGTTGCTACATTTATGCTGATTAACATCATGAACGAATGTTTGGAATCATGAACCTCCCTTTTTCCAGATTACAGCTTCTTTGTAAATCTTCTAATTTGCTTTCAACTCCAACTTGTGTTTTACACCAGCTATGACCCTTGATCATTCTGAGTAACTTATATCACATAAATGATATTGGGTCTATCCTTGATCATTCTGAGTAAGTTACATCACACGAATGATATTGAGTCTAGAGTTTGTCTTCTCAATTATCCAATAAAACTGCAATAGTCAATGTCAAACCCATTCTTTGTTTCAATAATTCATGTAGTGATGTGTATTCCAACAACTAAGTATACCAAATCTATCCATGAACTTGCAAGATAATTGCATTATTAATGCAATCAGGATATACTAACAAAGATCTGCTCCAGGATGTAATCTGCTTTCTACATTCTTAGCATTCAATTGAAACACCAAGATTTTTCTTTCTTTGGCTTTCTTAGTATAATATTTCCTTACATGTGCCTGATACAACTTCCCAAACAAACATATACTTTGTGTCAGAAGAGAGCTAAATGGGACAGGCTGTCCACTGGGTTCTGTAAATCTTGCAATCAGTGACGTGATCTTTTACTCTGATGAAACTTTGTATTCTGGGATGAAGCATTAGTTTTGCATTTGAAATATTTCAAAGTTTTACTTTACAGCATATTGAATTCTTGTCATCCATTTACCTTGTTCATATATATATATACTGCTTTGATGCCACATGATATACTGTCATCTTTATAAGAATTAAGTTTTCCAGCAATGCAAAGCATAGTCCATATATACTATAAGTGTTGAAGGAAATGCATTCATTATCAATGCATGTGTGCCATTAGAATGTATCTAAAAAGTCTTGATAAATTCAGAATGAATAAGCTTGAAATTTGATCTGCACTTGACAAAACAACCATACAAGACTGTAGATATGTTTGCCTTTAGTGGTACAATTTGATAACAGTGTATTTTTTCTTTGATTTATTCTTTGATTGCAAGTCAGCCATACCTTAATGAGTTTACAAGCTTCCCTTCTTGTGTGATGTATGCATATGTAAATCTGACTTTGTTGTAAGCAACAACAACATTATTTCACTGTTGATTATGTAAGCAAATCATTGGTAAACATAATGCCAGCAAAGTTTCTGAATGAATCACTTCTTTCAAGTCAAGTTAAATCAAGTTTCGGGTAGGTAAATATCAAGCCAATGCTGACAATCATAGTACTTACCAACAATTTCCAAGGCTGTACTGATATAAGCAAAGAATTTGATACAAATAGAAATTTTCCAGAATAGAAAGCTGTGACAATTCACCATTAAAAAGTATAAAAATCGGTTATAAAATTTGAAATAGCAACTTATGACCATCCTATCCTGCATATTTGGGTATAAACTAATTATTTATATATATGGTTTGAAAAAACGTTCAAGGAGTTCAATCATCAAACAGTTATATAAACCTTTACATTAGCTCCACAGCATTCTTAAGCTTTTTTAAAGAATCCAAGTCTATCAAACAGCAGTACAGATCAACACACTAAAACATCGAATGTGGTTAAATATTTACCTATTTTTTATATCTATCTTTGGGGAAATGGCCGCCCTTCTATTCATCAACAAAAAGTCTGTTTGCCAAGGTGAATTGAATTGCACGTGCGGACTAAACAGTCCCGAAGCACGATCTTATTTTAACGACGAAAACCTTTATGAATAACTTTTGAAAACAATTGGAGGGGACTTTGCTGAAAACTAACTTCATGGCAACAAGAGCAAAGGTTACCTTCATTCTGGGCTACTTCCTTAGCGTCATCATCTGCCATCACCGCCTCGTCTTCGGTCTGGCCATCTTTGCCGCCTTCATCGGCTTCTTTGTCTTCTTGCATTTCAGCATCCTCCACTTGTGGCGTTTCTACTTCTTGAATTGCAACAGCATCACCGTTGATATTTTGGGATGTGTCTTCTTGAGAAGTAGCACTCTCTTCAGTATCAACAGCTTCGGATTCATCAGCATCGTTCTCATCGGTCACGGTTCTGTCTAGGCCCTGAATGGCATCCAAAAGCCTACTTGCTAGTTCATCCTTTTTACCTTTAGTTGAAAGACCTCTTTTTGTTAATTCGACCTTCAGTTCAGCAACTTTAAACTTTTTAATTTCACCAGCAGTTAACTCACTCATGTCTACAAATAATTCCTGATAAATTGTTAAAACTTTGACTTTCGTTCTTGTCCTTCCCGTGCGGAGAACAGCGCGTGGTGTCAACAGCAGAAGTTCCCGGATTGAAAATATGTTCCGTGATGCAGTGCGATCTTCCTCCCCAGCGTCATCCTTCAAGAGGGGGTTTTATTCAAGAGGGGGCTTATTTGAATCTTGCTATTCATCACGGGTATTTGAAACTTGCTCTTCAGAGCGACTAGCATGAAATGCAGAAATGAAAAACAGCAGGATTTGTGTTAAGTGAGTACAGGTAGCAAAATCAGATGGCATAATCGAGGGACAGGGATGTTAAAAATTTCGATCCTTAAATGTGGATCTTGTTTGGGAGGGGGACATATATTATCGGGGGACATAGCCCTATTCTTCCAACAAAAACGAACGAGAATAACTAGTAAGTTTTGCCAAATTTTTATTTATTAACACCGTGGACAGACACACAGTTTTGTCAGGACGTTAAAATTTTCCTTTCAAGGCCAGACCAGCACAGTGATAACAACTCCCTTACTTTGTTTGAAAACTTTTTTTTTTGAAAACATGGAGGCTGCTTGGGAGAAATGGAGGAAAATGCACGATTTGGCCTTTGAAAAAGCTGTTATTTTAAATATAAAAGTACCTTGGATGTTCGCTGTGACAGTTTTCATTTCTCATTCTTATAAGTTATGCTTCTTACCAAATACTAATTCTATTACTACATTACAACAAACAAATCGACTCAAGCTACAAAACAAATAAACAAAGCAAAACTACTTTACACAGCAACTTAAGTATCAAGATACAGCTTTAAAAATAATCATGTACGCCCAAGGTTTGTAAAGCGTTTTGCGAAAGTAATACCGTATACCATATTGTGGTGTATCTTCTAGTGTTTTCAAGGATGTATAATTTAAAGACTAGATAATAATTATTTTGTCTTGATTATGATGAGCAGACTCTACCAACTTAAAGAAAAAATTTATAGAAGCAGATAAAATCTTGTCAAAAGATTGCTAGTTTCAGCTTAAACAAGTCATGTAGCTTTAGAATTTTTTCAACAAAGGATAATTGAAGAAAGCGATAATTACAGTCTTGAAATATAATTGCTCTCAGAGAAATTTAAGGTAGCAGAAAACCGGTCCAGTGTAGGCTTAATAGATACAATATCGGAGGAATGGTGAAAATGAAGAATTTTTTAGACAATCAAAACCTTAGTGTTTCAGAACTGTCTTAATTTGAAAAACATGCTACAAGTTTTCGCTAATTTTTTACTTTTAGACGGATCTATCTGTTTCAAAACACTTCACGTAGCATCCCTGTACCAGAAAATATCGTCGATATGTATGGAGGTGTGTAAAATTTAGTGAAATGAGCATTGTTGTGTGCGATTCGTTCACTAATAACTCCATCCATCGACTAGCGTGTTATTTCCAAACCCAGCGAGTCTTATTTTACGTGCAGAGAACAAGGAGCCAGAGAGGAGACGATGTGACTATTGCATGTCTTGATTCTTACTGAACTGAACTTAACTATTTACAAAACTGGGCGTGTAATTATAAAACGAGGGGACGCTACAAAAGTGTTGTTGATTACGTTACCGTGGTTACGGTGACAATGAAAGGTGTTAATGACAATTATACAATAGAAGACCTTTTCTGGTATGACAACGGTAACTACAAAAATATGGTATGGTAGTGAAACAATGTTTACTTTTTTCAAAGCCATTTTCAAGTTCGGTAATGAAACAATAATTTGTCATTTAACGAAAGAAAAATTTTAACAGTGTTCAACATATCAGCTTCACTTGGGGTTCCTAGAACAGGGCCGTTGAAAGTGGGGGGGGCAGGGGGCAAGTGTGCCCCAGTAATTATACTGTAGAAATGGTGATCCCATTTCTATGGGTGATCCGCGCAACCTGTCCTTGATTTTTATGCGAAGGAGCATTGCATTCAGACGAACCTTTTGCCATAACAACGCCTCTATGACTTGGCACATGAATTCGGACGATGCTATGAAATAGTTAATTTTGCATTCATCCACTCTCCTTATGATGAAACGATAATGGTTGCCTAAACTCAGATATACCAGCTAGTCTAAAGAAGACTGGATCACGATTTAATGTGACGGAATTTATTTAACTGTTTGTCGTGGTACATGGTTTGGGCTAGGCCAAGTCGTCACGGTTTCGTTTTGCATCTTGCAATTTTCATTACCCTCCTTTAGCATTGATATGCAGGACAGAAGTAAGCAGATGCTTTTGGATCCAGTTACAGCTTTCCGACATGGTGAAAAGGATATGTACCGGAATAGACGAAGCTTTCGATTGTTTCTGTCAAGAAAGTCTTGTTTCTTTGTTTTTCTATCATTTTGTCTATTGACAGTTGTCTACTTGGTACTGGTCAGACCTGGTTCAAATTTAAGCACTTTCAGCGTATTCAGAGTAACTCAAAATGTATACGTAGGAAGAGAAGATAATATATCTAAACAGGAACATGACATCAGTAAAGAGGATTATTACAGCGTGGTGTTTGATGCTGGCAGTACTGGCACAAGAATTCATATCTTCCATTTCAAGAAATCTAAGGGTATGAGCTCTTCCATTTCAAGAAATCTAAGGGTATGAGCTATGCCATGAAATGAACTTCTTAATTTTTTGTTAATATTAAGCATTATACCATGCAAGTTTTTTGGTCAATAAGACAATAAAGTCTGGCTTCTCTGCAATGGTGATATTTGCCATGTATTTTGCAGAGTGGTATATCTAGAAAAAAATGAGAGCTCTCTTTGATGCCATTATTACCTTAACTTTACGTAAGTCAGATATGAAAATATATAGATCACCCAAATGCAAAGGGAAAACATGTAATGATTTAAGCTAGAACAGCAGCACTTCATCAGCTGCAACCTGTGAGGAAAGGCAACAACATTTGAGCTACAAGCAACAACAGGGCCGTAAATCCCTGGGGGATGGGGGAGACTGGACCCCCCAAAAATTCTGGAGCAAAATTTATTTCATTAAAGTAGAAAACCTGAATCCAATATTGTTAGGATTTGGTAGTTGCTTGGATACTTTCAAGTAATTTACAATATTTTTTTTATATCCATCCCAGATGGCAATCTGCAACTGATTAAAGATATTTTCAAAAAAGTAAAGCCAGGTCTTTCTTCTTATGCTGATGATCCAGATAAGGTAAGAGGTCCAAAATCCTAAGATTAAAATTTCCAAAGTATCTGCTTCACAGAATTATTATTAGTAAGATTTAACTTATCAAGTGTAAGGCTTACGGGTTGGTGGAAAATAGAATCAACTTATTGCAAAATCTAGTGGACACTAGTTCTTTGTTGAGATAACATTAGACAAACTAGTGCATCTAGCCAAGAAAGAAAGGCATATTGTAAATTTTGATGTATTACATCAACAATGAACTGAACTTTATTGCCCCAAATTTCTATGTGTCAGTATCAACATTCTATGTATATATTAATAACCTGTGCATATAAAAAAATAGAAATTTTATATGTTTGCTTCAGGCTGTCCAAAGTGTAAAAAACCTTCTTGGAATGGCAAAAGATTACATTCCAAAGCAGAAATGGTACAAAACTCCACTTGTGCTGAAAGCAACGGCTGGCTTAAGACTGCTTCCTGGCAATAAAGCAGAAAATATATTGGAAGGGGTAAGAATTTAAACTAAAAATATTATTTTTGATTGTTCATGGCAAACATTATATTATGGGATGTAAACATGAATATGCAATGGAATTGATTGTTTAACTTTAGGAAAACATGGAACAAATATTGACCATATATTTTGTAAACCTTTCTACATCTCAAAGTCAACACTTCTTTATTCTGTCACCATGGAATCCTTTTTCATAAATTTTCCATTTTTTGTCTTTCACAGGTTAAAAAGTTGTTTATGGGAAATTTATTTCAAAAGTTAGGCGATGATTTTGTCTCATTGATGGATGGAGACAGTGAAGGTTGAGTAGTATTAGATATGCAGTATTTCTTTGCAGTTCTCCTTTGCATGTACAGTAGATTAAATGTCAATTTTGAGAAAGATAAGGCAAGTTTTTGTAAACTGTGTACAATCAAAAGTTTTCTAGGTGATATGAAATGAATTCTTGCAATTATACTTATACATATGGCCAAAATCATCTATTTTTGTCTTGTCTGGGCCTCTTGTCTAAGCTATGTCCACACAATGTCCAAGCTTTTGTCATATATAATAGTCAAATGTATTCATTGTTCTTTGCTCATTTAAAATGCATATTTTCACTTGGGTTGATATGTGATATTATTTAATTAAATTCTTCAGTTAAGAATTATCTCCTTTCAGGAATTTATGGCTGGTTAACAGTTAATTATCTAAGTGGTAAGTCCATTTTGAAAAACTTTATGATGGCACAAGACCACATTAAATATCCTTTTATCTCCTCAGAGTGTCTAACTTTAAAATGATGATCAAAAGTAGAAATACTGTTGTGGTAACCAATCCTTTTTAAGAATGTTAAGATGGTTAAAAAAGCAATTTTTGAAATATTCTTGCCTGTGTGATGAATCCTTCAAAAGATCAAACTAAGACTCTTTGCATAGTTGTCAGTCCAACACAGTAGTTTTATATTTTCAATTTCTCAATTCTCTCAATTCTTGACAATAGCAATTAATAGAATTTTGAGAAATCTGGGACAGGTCTTGAGAACTCATTAGAAGGCTTGAAAATTTTTTAAACTTATTTGTTTTCAAAAATTTAAAGAGTCAACCTTTTTATAAAATATGACATATTTTAACAGTGATGCTTAACTTTCTTACCAGAAGACATGGCACCCTCATACAGTGATACTAGAAAGAATTGGTTGTATTTTTGGATAAAATATTATCATAAGTTTAGATACAAACAAAAATTAATATCAAAAGATCCTTGATTGCCACTTCATTTCATTTCCCTTCATTCCATTCTTTAGAGAAACTTAAACCATTGGAAGTGAATAAGATGTATGGTGCTTTGGATCTTGGAGGTGGATCTGTACAAATCACCTTACCTATGGATGACAAGGTTAACTGCTTTTAATGTACTCTGAATTGCAGGTTTCTTTTTTTTCTTATATGTCAAATATCACTTGAGGCTATAAGCTAATTTTCAGGAAACCCATAAAGTATGTGTACACATAACTCTATGTGTTATGCTTGAAATGCTTTTGAAATTTCATCATTTAACCAACTATTATACAGGTTATACAGCTTCTAAGTAGAATCCTTTTCAGATTGTTTTATAAGTTGCATTTACCATCTCATTTCAGCTGAACTTTAGCTATTTATAAAGCAAATAAGAATATAACTAGACAAATAAATTATATAAAAGTAAAAGTATAATTTTGAAAATTGAATTATTATATAGGATACTTTCTTTTAAGCCTTAAATCAGCCATTTTGGCCTTTTATTTAGCAAATAGAAGAAAATCAAGTTCCTTCAAACTATATCAAGTCAATAGATGTTTCACTGAATTCATACACTTTATATACTCACAGGTAATATTATGTTTTTGTTCTTTTATTAACAAGCTTTTTAAAAAAATCCGGCATCTGAGCAGAATTTTTCAAGAAGGTAAAGGCTTCGTTAGACTATAACATATTCTGCTAAGGTATTCTGGTGCTTTCCCTGAAAATCAGAATGTTAGGGAAAAAATGCAACAATTAGACTTTTGCCGTTTTCTCCTCTTTCAATTCTTTCATCCATTGATTGGTTCTATCTGATATGAAAGACAATTATGAAATTCTTAAAGCAACTTTTTCTAGTCAACAACATTTTATTCACTACATTCAGAAGTAATCTTTTTCTCTGGAGCAGTAAGGAAAGGCCCTGTTACAATATAGAGATCTGACAATGTACTTTTTTAGGCATAGTGCCATAACCATGTAACAGGAGTTTAACACTATTTTCCTGTTTTGAAATGTTTAATTTTAATTTTTCTAAGGATTGACCCCATGGCCACATGAAAACAATTATGTGTCATATTTGGTATCAAGCTTTTAACAAGTATTCTGAATAGTAAACTTGAGTTCTGTGTAAGACTTTGTCTTTACTTCCTTAAACATTGTCAATTTTTATATTCCGTTATATTCCTTATCATTTTTCCAGTTATCTTGGACTTGGATTGATGTCTGCTCGAGCTGCAATTCTAAATGCATCAGCTACTCATCAAGAAGGTAATTAAGTTTAAACGTAAAGGAAGCATTTAGAAAGGGACTTCAAACAGTTTTCTACATGACTGTATCAACAGCCTCAAGCCCACAAGTCACATGTTTATACCAAATGTGTCCTAGGAAGTCATTTAAGAAAGTCATTCACGAAGGGCAATAACTTTAGCCATTTTGAAAGACTTCTCCTTAGCTCATTACCTCCCAATCCTCAGCCATGACATCTGGCAGCTTATGCTGTGTGCTGCCAGATGAATATGTTTACTTTAAAGATGCAGTCGAAATATCTTTCAGATGAGGTCAAAAACAAAATATGATAATGTTTAACTTCGTAGGACCAGAAAGACATTTGAAGATTATATTAAGAGAGATTCAATAGCATTTAAAAACATTCATCAAGCAGGACTAGGGGGAGCTATTGGTATCTTGTACAAAATTTTGAAGTTCTGCTTGATAAGCATTTAGTTTTGCTACCACATTAAGTTCTTCTTAGAGTCACTTCTAATATGGAAACGTGGCACCTCTCAAAAGCCATTTAAGTTTTGCTTGTTAGACAGCTTGCCTAAGTTTATTCCAGTAAGGTCAATATGTTGCCTTTTTGGGGGAATCTCAAAACCTGCCGAGGAAACTTTTATGTTTTCATAAAATGATGCTTTGCAAGGATTGAAATAGCTCTATGTTAGTCTGAATGAATATATGTTCCCTTTGGTTAAACTAGCATTAAACAAATTTTGAATTAAAAGTTGCAATCAAGTGCTACAATCTTGAAAGAGGTGGAAATTAAAGATTTAGGCACTGTCTTTGGTTTTTAGGTAAAGTCACTATGATTCTTATTTATGTTTATTGCAACTTTGAGAAGCCCCTGCCTTTTTTATTGAGTTAACTTTTTAGATAAGAAAAACTATGTGTTAACAAGCAATAGGATATATTTTAGATTCATTAATTGTTTGCTAAGATATTTGCATTGGAGAAAATTGTCCTTAAAAATGTGATACATTCTTAAGAGAACTTGTGTTACGCTTATGTCGCCATCAATATAACAAAAGTCTAACTCTAGCATTAAAGAGTATAGTAAATTGAAATATACATATAGCTTGAACATCTTAATTGTAGTGAATTACTATTTTTCTGTTGCAGACTCAAAGAAAGTGATTTCAGTGTCCAGTCCCTGTTTTCCAGTTGGCTATAAGGATGTTTGGAAATTTGCAGGATATGATTTTGAAATTAAGTGAGTGCAAAAAAGTATTTGAAAAGGCATGATGTTAAAAATACTCAGTATGAAAACACTGGGGGTTCAATATATGACGCTGAATTCGGTGTTTCAAAGGAAAAATATGTCAATCCATTGGACTTTGCATAAACGAGTCTGTTGAAAAATATTCCCATAGGCAGCATTATCAATTTTTGTTAATTATTTTTTAAAATTTGAAAAGCAATATAGCAGTTAGTTCCTGACGAATATGACTGACTGTAATAAATGCAACTGTCTCTAGAAAAAGAATTTGATAGATTTTTATAGAATCCGATTTTTTAAAAGGAAAAGTTTGGTTGCATCGAAACTTTCTTTAGTTTAATGCTAAATCAACAATGGCTTTTGACAAAGTTGTTTTCGACAATAGAATTGAGATTGAATAGCAAATCTTAGACCAGAGGTACACAAATTATTTTATCAAAGGGCCACATGAGTAAAACCTGATCTGTGTTGGAGAGCTGAACCAACGATAAATTAATTCCGTGTACTGTTTATTATCTCTCAATGTAAATAGCTATAGATTAAACTATATTTCAGCTGGCACTGGTTATCAGAAAGACATATTTATTACTTCAATATTGATATAAAGATATGAAATTGTGGCGAAGATCAAGTGGCAAAATACTCCCACAAAAATATTTTCAAAAATAGCACAATTTTCAAAGTAAAAGCAACACAATTTTGAAGCATGAAAATCGTAACATAAATTTTGATAATATTTTCATCTCATATTCTGTTTGACCACACTCTCACAAGGCCGGACAAAAACGCTCAAAGGGTCAGATGTGGTCCACGAGCCATAAGTTGCCCAAGTCGGATTTGTGCTGTTGTTGATGACGAGTGTCATTTTGTATTCATTTCCTGTTACTTTCTTGTTTGGATCTGAAGACTTAATTTTTACTCTTTAGCAGGTTTGCTGGTCTATCAGTGATCGTTTATGAAAGATAGAAAGAATCGAAGACTTTTGCATATTATTTTAGGGAAAATTTTGTTAGAAAATAAGGTGGCTTAGTCTAAAGATTTCAATTCCAGGAATTGCTTGGTGTTATTTTCTTTACTACCTGGAATCTCTACACAATTCTGTGGTGTCTTTTGCCTTTTCGTGGATCGTTACGATACTCATATAAGATATTTTATATGAGTATAGGTAGCAAAAGTTCTACCATGATGTATTGCATCATTCGCAGTTTTACTTGAATTTTTTATTTTGCTGATGTAGCTTCCTTTTATTAAAAGTTGAACTTATTTGTACAGGGGAACAGACCAGTGCAGTTTTGAAAACTGCCAAGACTTTGCAAAGAGTGTTGTTATGGCCAAAGGGATCAATCGTGCTGGTAAAATATTACTGTGTTTGCTTTGCAATGCTAGGAATTTTGTTTGGCAATGCATGGATTTCACCAGAACTCATATCCCTTGCCTTACAATATATAGATGCCAAGTAATGCCTTGACAGCGGAGGCGACCATACCCAATCCTGTGACAGGTCGATGTAAAATTTACTTTCTTAAAAATTTTGTTCATCGATTGATAAAATATTTCTTTTATTCATAATTTAGTCAATTTCAATCTGATTTGCAAAAGCCATTTTCACCTCTAAATCTCTATTAAGCCTGATTCCAACAAAGCATCCCTCAAAATGTTTTCTCTGAAATTATATTGAAGAAAAGAAACTTCTATTCCTTAATAAAAAGTTCCTTTTCCTCGATAAATTTTGGGATGGTGAAGTAATCAGGGCCACGAATTATTATTATACGCAAAAGCTCCATAATTTACTAAATTCCTTCAAGCAAAAGTTTTGTCTCTTAAAAATGCTTTATGAAAGTATTTCGATAGTTCATGGCCAAGCTAATATTTCCTGCAATCTAGAAAAACATTTTTTGATTAAAAAAATGTTTCCTCCAGAATGCACAGATATTAACAATTTTCCCTCAAACCATAACCTTAAGTACTTCTCTGAGATTGCTTCACTAAAAATCAACCGATTATTATTTTAAGCAAGGTATTCGATTTTAAGTCTGCTTTTACCGATACACTTGCTCTCAGTATAAAGCAATATGTATTTTTAGTTTTCAGATTAACAAGATATAATCAGTTCTGTGATCGAACTAATTTGCACACAACTGGGTAATCAAAACAAATTCTGCAGGCTCCAAAATATGTCTAGCTGCGATTTGCAGCTATAAAAAGACATAATAGCTTGTCTCATTTATTTTGCTTATTTAGCAAAAGACCTTCTACATGTTGAAACACTTTGATTTCGTATTATACAATATCGTTAATCAAATTAATTGCCTTATCGTCTTCATTTCATTTCTTCTTCAATGCTCCTATCATTTCCGATTTATTTTACAGCCAAAGTCAACAATGTCAACATTTTCGCATTTTCCTACTTTTTCGACAGAGCAACTGATCTCAGTTTGATAGGTATTAACAATCTTTTTTTACTTCGATAATTTAATCAATTGTATTCAATTGTTTTAAAGTATTGTTGATGTTTAGTGAAATAATGTTAATGTTTAATGCTAAGTATATTTATATCTATTTCATTTAATTTCATGTTCTGAGAGTATGCTAATATATCAAAAGTATTTAGATTTATCAGATCAGCTATTTAGAGGATCGCTACCCTTATCAAATATTAAAGTTATTTCGTCTATAATAGAATCTCATTATGAATTCCTCGATAATTTTTTCTGGACGATTAACCCAAATCTCAGAAACTTTGATATAGCGAGGATAAAGGAGCAAGCTATTATTGAAAGCGTCTTATATCCTGTGGTCTGTGCCATAAACCCACAGATTTGAATTTCGCCAATAAAATCCTTGGCATCATCTTACCTCAATTTAACTAGCCTGCGTGCAAACATTATTTTCCGTTGCGAAGGAAAGCCAGGGCGGAACTTCCGTATTGGTTCTCCTTCGCAACGGAAAGTAAAGTCTGCACGCAGGCTACAATCTAACTTGCCTAAGCGAAAATGTTAACTGGTGCTTTTTGCTGATAGATACCTCAGCTGATGTTTCACTTTGTGATTGAACAAAAATTTAAGTATATACTTCCAAGCATTTTTCAAACAAGACTTCTCGAAGTATGAAGTCCTGGATAATGGGTCAGAAATTCTGTACCAAGATACAGACCCAAATAAACTAATAGCTTTATTAGATGTTGTGTTTTTTGAACAAAGTATGCTCGTAAACCAAATTTTTTCTACAGTTTGAAACGATAAAGACTTTGTAACAACACAAAGAGGGTCTTCTACCAAAACTCCACTTAAAATTTCAACTTTTTGTCATAGACCAACTGAATTTATACAATGTACTTTTTCTACATTGCTAATCAGTAGATTTGCAGCGGAAATCCAGTTTGAACTTCTGATTATTAATGTTAGTCCGGCAGTTAAACTTCATTAACGATAATTTTTGGCTCCATTGCTACGTCAGAGAAGCTGACACGTGCTCAAATAAAAACAATAGAAAACGCAAGTTCAGCTGCCTTGTCTTGAAAATTTTGCCCTAATGCTAAAAGGTCACTGTAAATTATACTCCTGTTACATTTAAAGTGGTTCTAATGGGGTGTTACCAAACAAAAGATTAACTTGCAATCTTTTAGATTAGAGCATTTTGTGTTGCTGAAAGATGCTTTTTGAATTGTGGCTATTATGTAGAATACGGTAGAACTTAAATTATGTAGAGTGTACGTGAATTGTGCTTGACTTGGTGCTGTTGATGCATTTTCAAGATGTAATATATCCAAGTTTTTAACGTATATCAAAGAAGAACAATTTTGTTTCAACGTGTATCTAAGGCCTCGCTGTCTTTGAAGTGCTAATTAAGTTTCAAGCTGTTACTTGTATACTGATGGTTTGCTTTTGCAGATGAAAATTCTGGTGGCGAGATAATGGTTCAAAACTATGTTGACGCTGCTCAAACAGGTAGATCAGTTTACCGTTAAATATTTATTGTTTGATAAAACAATGTTTAAGAAATAGACGTCATGTGTTTTTCACTGTCTCTAATATGTATACTTGTATATTTGTTTATTAGTTGTTATCAGTAGTTTCTTATGAATAATCATAGTTTCCTAGTCGACCCGTTTAGCATTCAAAGGTCTAATGGTATTTGTAACCAGATGACTCATTTTGAGCCTATGCGCATACTAAGTACCTCATGTAAATCAGTGGAAAACATTGACGATAGCAGTTAAATGGAGCTTAAATCAACCTCATCTTGTTTCTCTAAACACTTTTGCTTATAATGTGGCTCAGAAGACAAGCTATGTTCGTGATCTCTTCAAGATTATAACAGCGACTGGTGTTTTAGTTTTTATTTCGTTCCCAACGCTCTTCTTGCAACTTAGCAAAGAGCATGCATGATTTCCCTTGCCTATCTACAAAGCGGCAATTATTTTGAATCCTACAAATCCTATAGCCTGCTGGATGCATTATTGTTTGGCTGGATGGCTGGATGCATGCATTTATTGGATGCCTCCGTTACACAGCATGAGCCTACCTTTCCGTTCACTTTTTCTGTCGCTTTTGTCTTTTCACAGCACATAGCATTTGATATATTTTCATTTTCTTGGCGCCTTTAAAAAATTCCTTCAACACGTTGCTAAGTATAGCTTAGATTTGAACTAACCATATCAAATTCTTTGTCTTAATTGTTTAAGTTTCCTCGTAAAGCGATACACTAATGTATTCCTTGTTCATGATTGCCAATCTCTTTAAAAATGCTAAAAAGGTTCAGGAAACAGCATTGTTTCTTGTATCTTTGTCCTAAAGTTAGATAGTACCCTTTAACAAAAATTATTTTGATAGATATTATATTAATGCGTCAAATGATTTTCAAAATCTGTTTATTTCGTTTATTTTATCTTATTCTCTCAAACTTTATCTATAAAATCTGTTTGTCGAAAGTTAATCTGTTTCTTGGCAATATGTGATTGCTTTCATTGACTGTTCAATCATTTTCATCTCATTTTAAATGTATACCATCGTCTTGGCCCTATCAACTTGTCCATTCTTCTGCTACGATCACAAATCCTATTCACTTAGGCCCTATTGGCTACATCTTCCTAACCAGCCTCTTGTTCCAACCAGCCTCTCGTCTACAATTACAACCTCTCTATAGCCACTTGTCTGACTGTCGTTTATTTGAAACTGCGTATCAAGGCTTATACCACCGTCTGTAAAGCGTTCAGTTTTTTACATTATCAGTTTAATTAGATTAATTTACATTAGCAATCAGCTTCATGTATACAAAGTAATGTTATGAAGAAAGGGTCATTGCGTTTGTTCAAAGAATGCTATTACGGTTTAAAATTTCATAAAAAGCCTATTTCAAATACTGGTGGATTCCAGTTAATTTCTAAAGCTTTTGTGATCTTTACTAATAATAGAAAAATACAGTTTTCAAATATTCTGATAAAGATCGTTTTTAAATTGAATGGTCGTGTCTACCACAATTTACTTTGTCGATTAGAAATTATTCAATTCAATCTTTAAACGGAATGTAGATTAGCATTTATGCAGTATTGATCGTAGATAGCAGTTATCAACACTGTCTGATTCTAATACGAACCACAAAGGTAAAACGCAGAAGAATCAGAGCATATTCCAGTTACCAACAAATATGATGCTCTGACTCACAGTGAAAATAAGGTGTGGAATGGGTGTGGAATGGGCGTGGAATAGGTGTAAAATGGATGTGGAATGGGTGTGGAATGGATGTGGAATGGGTGTGGAATGAATGTGGAATAGGTGTGGAATGGGTGTGGAATGGATGTGGAATGGGTGTGGAGTGGATGTGGAATGGGTGTGGTACTTTTAATTACATTGATGTCTTGATCCCTCATGTTTCCACTGTTTTCTCACTTAGTATAATCCACTAAATATGACCTATATGACACATACATCTTTTCTCTCTTTTGCTATATCTATGCGTTCGTTTGTTGGAGTTTCTAAGCTTGTTCAAATTCAAATTACCTTACCAGGATCCAGATGCTTCCACCTGTTCCATGCAGCTGAATTGCCTATAAAGAGTGAAAACCAATATTAATGTTATTCATGCCCTGTGTCAAATCAAAACCAATTTTTATGTTGATGACATCCTAATGCCTTCATCTTCAAAATTTATGTCATAATTCCCTCTATGACGGCAAAGAGCCCGAGAAACATATCACAACACGCAGTCAATATGGGTATGTTCTGATCAGGACGAGCCGGTTGATAAGTTGTCTTTGATTAGCTTGCTCCTGATGATGAATTCTTCTTTATTCTAAACGTGACTCTTTCGGTATAAAGTGATTCCCTCGCTGCTGATCAACAATACAAACAGTATCCTATCCCAAAACATTTCCACGAGAAAGCCCAGAAAGAGATCTGTTCTGTTTTTTTCTCAGTTTTACCCGTTTGTTTTAAGATATTCAATTGCAAATTACCTTCGCAACAGAGAGCTTTGCTATAAGTTGAATTAGATTAACAATTAAAACTTTTCTTTTTCACAGTTTGTCAAAGAGGCAGCGTGACTGAGAAGCCCTTTTTATGCTTGGATACGACGTACATCAGCACTTTGTTGACCGACGGCTTTGGCCTTGGCCTTCATCACCGCCTAATGGTAAATGTTATCAAATTTACATTTCTATTGCAGCAGACTTCCTTCTTAGTGACGTGTGTTGTATTACAGCCAAGGGCAGAAAGAAGCAGTAATAAAGAGGCTTTGTGAAATTAGATTGAAATAAAAGGAATCCGTGAAAAATGATGGAATGTGAGTCAAGCATAGAAGGCTAATCGTCGCCTTGCGAAGTAAAGAAAGCGAGTAATAGTGAGTAAGAAAATGAGAGTAGTAACAAAGTATTGAAAGAAATGAAGTAAAGGAAGAAAGCAATAAACATAAATGAAAAACGAAAGCGATGTTTAGGTAACAGATAAAAAGAACCGAACAAAAAGATGAGATTGGGAAAACCCCTATCAATGTATAACAGTTAACTTGAGCTGAATAAATTTCTGCAAAATTTTCTGGTAATTCATTTATTTATGTAAGTCGGTTGAAGAAGGAGGCTGAATAAATCAAAACCAAAGTCTGAAAATGGGGATGGGCGATTCCCTCAATAGGTTGTCGTTTGATGCTTTATCTACCAGGACGGGATTTGTTACTAGTTCTTCTGCTTTGAAACATTATTTACTATATGTTTTTTGTTTTTATAGCTGAAGAGAAATATAAATGATTTTGATGTCAGTTGGGCGGTTGGTGCTGCCTTGGATCTTTACGAACAAGCAAGGAAAATGTCGCATAATTGATTTCTCGAACAATCTTATTGATGCTCATTGTATTTTGTTTTACCAAAGTTGTAACTTTGATACTAACGTAGATCGTTAAATCATATTAGACCAATTTTTGCCAAAATGTCTCTCTATTTGTAGGTTTTCTTTGAATCTGTGATTTCACTGAAAACATAAACATGAGCGAAAGAACTTGTCTAGAATCATAGGTGGCCTAAAAAGTTTTTGAAAAAAGATTGACTGCGTTTACTGATTGTGTACTACCAACAAATTAAGTCACGTTGAACTCAGGATCAGAAGAAAATACACTACACCCGTTAACTTTGGTCGACAATGTTCTGCTACAAAAGTAACAGAGAAATGTACTCGTTTTGTTAAATGATCGAGCTCCTTCATAGTAAAGATTTTCTTCAAGTAAGCGTCTAACGGTCATTGACCATAAGAAATAAAGTAGATTTGGAATGTTACACCAGGAATACACAAATTAACTTTTTCAAAATGAAAGATGCAATAAGATCTTATGTTGGCTTGAAGCAGTTATTATAACTGGTAGTATAGTTGAGGAGCTTTCAAACAGTACTGAGCAATACGTTTATATAAATACTTTTACAGGCAATTTCTCTGAGGATGACAATCTTGCTCCCAGTCTGCATACGGTCGCTTTTTTGTTTCATTTTCAGCTGTGTTATTGCTTTTGCCGATGCCTTGAAGTAATCTTGTATGTCATTAGCCAAGTTTCAATACTGAAGGCCTTGTCGTAAGATGAAGGAAGGTTCCACGGCAGATTTAGGCAAAAACAAAATTCTGAAAGCGGTAGCAAAGACAACGACTGTTTAATCGGTCTGTCGTAAAGTGCACGATCTCATCTTGACAGTAACTTCGAGTTTCACGCTTAATGCGAACATCAGACAACAGTTGGCAGATGATCACTTAAATTTGAAATTCAGAATTACAACTTAGAACCGTCCTGTTCCGTACACCGAAGGGTGAAAGCAAGATTATAACTTCACGGAAAGGAAGATTTCCTTCCTTTATGATTATACCTGCTCGACCATCTCTTGACAAATTGAACTTTGAAAATGTGAGAAAATTCCCTTGAATGTTTCAATTATGAGGAGTTAACTAAAACATAACATGAAAACCGAGATTAGAACAAGTTAAACCTTGGAAGAGGGAGAAACCCTGTCAACGATTTCACTCAAATACTCTACAGCTGATCCTGTAAGATTTTGATAACCGAGATGACATGAGATGGGCTGCTGGCGGCAATTCCTTGCAAGGCAAGGTGGGAAATGAAAATTATTGAAATAAAGGGAATGAGAATAACGTTAATGCTAGGGAAGGAAGAAGAGAGATGAATATATATACATGAATGTATTAGGAAGTAAAGAGAAACATATATCGATTTAATTAGTGGACGTTCACGTGAAGATTGTTCTTTTGACAAAAATATATTTAAGCAAATTCATAGCTTACATCCTATGAAAAACAATTTAGTTACTAACTTTGTTGACCTAATTTTTCTTCATAAAATTTTGCAATCCAGTTTATCGTGATGTGTTATCAGCAACTTTAACTGAAAGCTGATTCTAAAAACACTTTGTTTAAAACCATGCTACAGTAAACATTTTTTAATTTATCTGTCTTTCAGTTGTAAGTTATTAAAATCTATCCATTCCATTATTTATGCTATTAGTGAAACATTTCGTCACCCATTGTCATCAAAAGTTTTATTGTACCTGCAAAGGTACATACAGTCGAGGAAATGCCCTATTTATCTTGGAAGTTGAACAAAAATCGGAAAAGTAAGTTAGGCTATATATGGAAACATTGTCTTCTTTATGGAACCTTGCTTAAAAACTGAGGGCCTGAATTTGCTAGTTACGAACATATCCATAGTATTTTCTTCTGGTGCTCTGTGCTTTTGTCTTGAGAAATGACAAAGAGGATACATGTGCGAGATTAAGAACAGAAAAAGAGACTTGTTACTTCAACCAGGCAGGATAAAATATTTGACTTGGTTTGCATCAGACCTTCTTAGAAAGCAAAATCATTTTAACAATTATGAGAACCTCACTTTCCACCTCCTGTAGTTACCAATGAGGATTTCCTTGCACTAAGCTGAAGGTTTCTCAAGGCATCGTTGATGTTTCTTGATTTTTCTACCTTCTATTGTCTACTAGAGGGGAATGGTCTGTGTCAGATTGCTCTTTGTAAAAAGGTGTAGAGCAAATCCTGAACTAATGATATTTATTTTAATTTTGATACTTGTTATTATGAAATTGTAGTCAGGGCTGCCGAGAGTTTTCGGAGGCCTTGGGGCAAAGCGAGCATAGAGAAAATTTTTCGCGACCACGTCTTTCAGATAGGCTTTAATGCATTTAGAATACTTCTTGCAGTCACTTCTTATAATCGTTTCAAACATTTTACTATTTTTAGACACACTTTTGCTACATTTGACTAAATCTATCCTTGAAATGGAATTCATTTCTTTATGTGGCCCCCCTGCATTTCAAAAGCATAGGTCAATTTGCCCCCCTATGCCCTGAATGGGGAGCAAGTATAATCCCAACCTTGATTTCAATATCAAATTTTCGTCTTTATTAGTGACAACTGCGGTACATCTTTGACTGAGTATGTATATTATTGAAAAATGTTTGGTTTTAGTAACGTGTATAGTTTTCCAACAAAATACAATGCGATTGGTCAATATAAACCTTGATAAATATAATCTCGACTTATCAATAACCATCCCCTCAATAAAGTGCTCCCTCAATAAGCGCCCGTTAAAAATTTACAAAAATCAATTAAAACACTTGGGTGCTTCATCGTGAGCTTTGCGATATTTTAGTTACTAACTAGTCTGATAAATCATATAAACGTCATTAATAATTCATATGTATTAATTTAGTGTTGCATCATGTAGATTGTGCCAAGATAACGTTACCTAAGCCTTATCTTGTTGGTACCAGTTTGAAAACGAAAAATAAATCAATATCTCAAATTTTATCTAAAAGATAGATATTTGAAATTAGGAGCCTCTCCATCTTCCTCTATAGATATGAGAAATTATTTGCTTCACTGTTTGTTACCATGGAAATGGACAATAAGACTTCATACTCTTTCAATAATTATCCCCTCTCATCATTCCCATTCCCCGGCAGCACTACCAGATAAATTTTCAAGACCATAAGTACTCCAAGTAACACTTTCTTTTGAAGAGAACGTGTGACAAGTGTGTTACCTAGAGCGGAGGCAATACATCAACACTAATCAAAAGTGCTCGAACATAAGAGAGCTTAAATGGAAACATCATATTAAATCATATTGAAGTCATTACGAGTCCATTTAATAACTAAAAATGATTTCTTTAAAAAGAGCGCAGCAAATTTCTATTAAATATTTTCGTTTCTCATTAAGCTTAACAAAAAAAGCAGTTAACTTAAGAAATTATTATTAGATCATCGATTTATGGACTTACTGTACATTCATATACAGATAAACCCTTACAAAGATGCATTTCAAATGGTACCCTCAAAAATTGTTTCTCATTCGAGACAGGCAAATCTCAAATCTTTCGTCAACCTCTCTCTGGTATATTGTTACCTTGAGTATCAGAGCCACATTAATTCGAGAGTGGAAATAGAAGATAGGAGTTCCTTCTTATCAGCTAGACGTTCCTCCGCTTCTCTGCTTGGCATTCTGTTCAAAATTATGTGGCTCTGGTACCCAGGGTAGTATATCGTAAATGGTTGGTTTCCTTTAGGGGTTGGAACAATTGTCATTCTATGGTGGTATAACCAGGAATGACTTGTAAAGTTGCAGCATGAGGATATTGGTATTCAGAGTATCTCATACTTTTGTTTCGCAAGAGTTGAATGTGCTCGTTTTTTGCTATCTACAAGCGGAAAAGCCTATATCTGCGTGTCTATCACTTCTATTTACATAATACAGGTGCAAAGGCCGAGATTGCCTCTACCCTAATAACAATATATCTCTTCTAGTGTGTGTATCTAAAATTATGCACATGATTGCAGTAATAAAACTGATGTACAAGGGTGATACAATCTAACCTAGGTTTGTCATTAGAAATACAACAATATATAGAAAAGAATCAATTTAGAATACAACATTATTTCTAGACTACGTGAGGGTCTAGAACAAATCTATCGACATTTTGGTTGATGAACCGAAAAAATATGTTATTATTGCTACTATGTTTGCTACTATTATTGAGAGATTAGATGGGCTGAAATCGGTTATGGATTGTCTTCAGCAAAAATTTTGCGGTTTTCTGGAAAGATGGTTATTCCATTTCAGAGTGAAATGCAATGCACCTTTAACAATGTTTCAACAGTAGAAGATGAATTAGGAAAATGGACAAATGTTTAAAAAATATTTTTGGTGCTTCCTTCGACAGAAACTTTTCATGTTAAAATTGAAGAGATTATAATGGGGTGCTTTGGAATGTGTCCCAATATGGTAACGCCCCTCTTTTCAAAAAATCAACTCAGTTAATATCTTCTTTCGTTAGATCGATTACTTGTTGTCCAACATATAAAATATGCATAAACGTTTCTCTTTGAATAAGGACTATAATTATACTTGCGTTTGAAATGCCACTTTTGGAATTGTTTTCGTTAACACTGAATTCTAATTAACGAGCTAAGATATTGCAACAAAAGTATAATAAAAATTGTTTGTACGCATTTTTAGCAACATATATCGTCTTAGATTCATAAGCCACAACACGCTTATAGATTCTCTATAAAATTGGAAAAATTTACCGTAAATTCGTGCGTCTTACTTCACATCTGCATAAAATTTTGTCAATACAGAATCGTCTACTCCGTATTTGTAAACAATTGATAATAGATTCAGTCTCTTCCGATTTGTTCTGAAGAGGGAGCATTTTATCTCATTTCCAGCCTCTGTTGTACCGCCGCAAGGTTTTATAATAAGAAAACCGCTGAGGGTCAATTTAGGAGGGGACAAACGGCAAGTGCCCCGTAAAATCGTTCTAAAGGAATTTTTTGGCATTTTGTTTGTTATTGCAAAGATATCCAGAAGAAAGACTACTTTTCCTTTACGCAAAATTTTCCTCAGTAAAAAAACTTTGATTCCCTTATGTAGAAAAAACATTGTCTTATTCACAACATTTGTAAGAAATGAGACACACGAAGCCGAGCACAATTTTTGAGGAAATCAGGAGAATCATTCTCTCTGAATCGACATTTTTTTAGTTGGTAATGTTAGAGAAAGGCTCTGTATACACATATACATCATAAAGGATATGTATATACAAATGCTGAGAATTCATAACATTTGATATTGTTTCTTATACACAATTTAAAAAATTACCTTTGACAAAAACAAAGGTACAATGACGATGCCATTGGGCATGAGCATGATGCAAAGTGCTGTATAACAATTCAAGTTACACTTAAGGATTTAAAAGGGGAGCTATTATAATCGTGGCTTGCGGAAGCAGAAATTTATGGGTTGGGGATTTTAGAACGGAATTCAACACCCGTTTAGAGGGAGGGATCAGTTCTACAAGCATAGTAACAGCGAGTTTGAATACAAGCAAAATCCATCAGAGCGTGGTAACTTTTCCCATCTTGTCATCTGGTAGCTGATAGCTCCACAGTAGTTTTTTTAGAATTCACACACGCTAACTCTTTCAAAACAAGTTTAGTCTTTGAAAATGGTTTCTTATTTAAACCAAACTTACGAATGGTGGGCGAAAATGCAATTTTTACGCTGCTTTTTGCTCAAAGTAAGTTTCGGCTCTTTCTCACGAATTTATTCACAAGCATTATAATTTCTTTCCTGTGTGTTTGTTAAAAAGATTCAGCTGTCATACTTTGCACTTGCGTCATCGAATTATCTGGTGTTTAGTCGCGTTATTGTTTCTCGCCAAATTTTCGCTTAGCCAAAATAGAACAATTAAATATACATTAAAGTGTATCAACCAGTATATGCAGTATTGCTTATTCACTAATTCATCTTTCAATCAAACGATACTGGTAGCAATCTAGTGTAGGGAGAGGGAGACCAATTTGGAACTCCATTGTGCTGACTATCTCAACTGCTTAGAGTTCGGCATTTGAAATCGAAACTTGAGATGTTCTTCCGAGGCGAGGGTCGTAACATACGAAGTCGTTTGATCAATCTCCAAAGACAACACAACACCTCTTCGACCTTTTTTAGCTGCTTGCTCATACAACCGCTTACTCTCAGTTGTTGGGAAATCCATCGGTCTACAACACGAACATAAAGGCACTCTCATCTCCTTGTCATTCTTTTCATTGGTCTCAAAACTAATGCTCTTTTCGATTCCGTTCAGTGCTCCTGTCTTTGGTTCCCGCGATTTAATCTCGAACTCCAAGGTTCGCTTCCCGTCTTGCAATATGCATTTGTTCATCGTAGGTGCGCGTAGATGTACGGTTTGACTCATAGCTAGAGCTGTTTCGAATCTTGTGTTCCGAGAAAATCAGACTTTTAAAACCAAAATTTTTGTACAATAGCAAATTTCCAATAAGATATTTTTTTATACATACGTTCATTTAACCTTGGGTAGTTGAATAGACCTTCAAAGTCGTTGCTTTTAGTATTCACCGAACGAGCGCTCAACAGAAAGCTGTTAATATGCGAAATATATTTAGCTGCAACTTTGAATGTATAAATGCACAATTTGTGACGTTGTCCGATAAACAGATATTGTTTTGTCGACGCCTTTATGTCTACATTAACAGTGCAGGCATGAATTATACGAGATTATCTTCCATCTCTTCTGTTGTTTTATCAAACCCTTCTTCTCTTCAATTCAACTGTAATCCTTCCAAAACAAGAGCGTGAACGACTTTAGCACGCACACGAGTGACGCAGTGTCAATTGAAACATGCGTGTACACATTTAATAATGACCTGCTACCTTGAATAAATTCTTGATTCGTAGCTGACGCCCTGAAACAGTATCTCGTTACGGTAGAGTCCAGATGCTTTCTCAACTAATACAAGTTTAATCAATTTTGTAGATAACAGCTCGACAAATTTTTAAAGATTTGACACGTACTGCGGTTAATCAGCATCTTTTCATGTTTAACAAAAACAGCTTTCTTATGTATACTTCTTTCCAATCAATACTTCATGTCTGTCCGCAGATTATCATGTCCTATCTACGCATGTGCAGACAACGTCGCGTACAATCTCCAGGCTGAAGATGTCTTTGTTAAATCTTAACCAGCTTTGCTTGATAGAATAACAACAAAACAGAATGACTACACCAGGAATATTTGGCAATCACTGTTAGATAAAACTCCTGTGTAATGCTTTCTCCATGTCTTGTTTAAAAAGCCTGATTTGGTTTTAATGATTAGTAACATACAGTGAGTATCCATAAGGCGATTGGACGCTTCGCATCACGTGTGTTGATTCATTTAATGCAACTCATTTGAAGCAACTCATAAGCCTCTGCGCACCTTGATCTCTACTATCTCTTAATTGAAAATGTTTGTTACTTAACTTAGCAAGACTCATTTATTTTTCATTATGACCATGAATGTTATTACACCTTATGATATCAACCTGCAAACGCGAGTTTCTACTCGTCTCGCTGCGTTGGAAAATAACATGGTCTCATCTTTCGATCTTCTTTCAATGCATTTAAAGAGCAATGCTCAAGATTCTTCTCAGCCTAACAAGATCTGGCATCTTCTTATTCACGATAATAGAAAAAGGGATAACCTATGCTTGTAGAAATGAAAGTAATATTCCTGCTGCACCAATGTTTGGCTCAATGGAGAAATAGCTCAAGTATTCCGAAATGACTCTCTTGCAATGTCCAGCAAAGCACTATTTATTTTTTCACTTATTTTAACCACTTATTTTTCACTAATGATACGTTTTTCATAAAACCTCAACTCTACCAATACTCTTTTATCAGTCATCAGATATACATTAAACTACAGTTGTTAGAATTACGAACAATGAAGCCCATGAGCATAGAGTGAGAATTTATAAACACTGTGTTCAATTGATGGTGGAAGGCAAACAAGAAGAGTTAAATACTGGTACTTAGCTGCAGTTACGTAACTATAAGGAATTCGTGTGTGCAAAAAGCTTACCTTGTTATGTATTTCCATGCTCCCTGCCTGTATCATTTTGTGATTAATTGCTTGTCCCTGTAATTTTATGAGAATATTCAAAAAATAATTCGATCTTCTGTCAAAAGATAATATTTCTTTTCATTATTATTATTCATAGACACGTTTGTGATAAAGCTTGTCGATAAGAATAGCGAAAATTGTATGGGCATAAGAAAGTGGCGAAATGGCTCTCGTATGATACTATTTTCTTCAACCTAAAAAGAAACCTGGTAGTTATGACTTTTGAAAAATTGACTTCAGAAATATTTGATGTTCAAAAATCTTAAAGAAACTTAAACTAAATAATCAAGCTAGAAGATAAAATAATTAATAAAAATAATTTTTGTGAACTACGCTTGTTGTAACCATTGAGAACTATTTGCATGCAAAAGATGAAAGAGTACCAATTTTCTTCTAGAAATAAATAAAAGGAAATTTCAATCCCATTCAGGATATCGTTCCAAGTTTATCTTTTCATTTCTCTTTACCTGTTTGACATTTATCTTTAGCATTTCTTTCATTATATATACATTAATTTGGAAAAGAGATTTATTTCTTGAAGGCTGGAATACGACCATTAGATGCGTTATTCAATTCCATTGAAAGATATTGCAGATTTTTGTGATGAGAGGCAATTGCTCGCGTTTGATCATGGATCCTGTTTATATCATTATCGGGTTGTGCTTCTTGGCCTACCCTAGGGTCTAAAAGAGCACTGGCCTACGCTGACTCGCACCACCTTTCTTTTTTGTAAACAGTGGCACCCAACCCCAACCCCAAGGTTTGAAAATAGGTCGAGTTTCATTAGTTTCCTTCATTTCGTTGCAGTGCAGAAAATATCATGATCAAAACTGAAATTACTATACAATTCTCGAGGGTTCTAAGGGTTCTCCTACTATCTGGGTCGTCGAACTTCCCTTTACCTGCAGCCCTTTAAAATATGACGCGGAGCCTTACCGTTTTCTTCATGGTGATGGATTAAATTTCGTGTTGTAAGATTGCAAATCATGTCGAATGGAACCTGCTAAACCGATCAACGATGAAAGAATGCACCATTGACATTAAAGGCGTTACCAAAATGTAAAGGCGTCCATTTACCTGGCATTCTTGCAAAAACAAGTCCACGCCCTTCTTTCAAGGTGTTCGTAAACAAGCGTTAAGGTACGCCCTGTCACAGGTCTTTTTGAAAATGTTTAAAGGTTAATCGAAACACGTTCGACAATAAGTTTGCTGAAACGATGCAAAATGAATTTGAAAGGGATGCTCCTCCAGGAATTTTTTTGTTATTATCCAGGGACATAAATTCGCCCAGGAAAAGAAACTGGCACTAAACTTTTGTGTAAGGTTTTGTGCCGCAGTAAAGGTGTGTTTCGTTTCTGTGAGGAAAGTTAACAAGAATCAGTGTTCAAAAGCTATGAAGTTTTGGAATGCTTTTTCAGTACATTTACTTTAGACTCTGCCTCCAACGACAAGGTGCATGGTTTACCCCCCCCCCCTACCTTTTCAGCGCTGGCTTGAACATGTTTTGAAATGGCAATGTTTCCGAAAAACTTTAAATCCAATCAAAAGGGCATGACGATTGCATTCCTACCAATTATAAAAAATTAACAACGGGCACTTGTACCAGATGTGATGTGATTTGACCAAAGGTCCACATTTACTTTAGAATGCAATCTTTTTTCAAAACCAGCAAGTCTATCAAATTTCAGGATCATTTGGAACACAGGATGATCTTTTAATTTAAGCCTTTAGGACCCTTTCTACGTTAACTAAAAAATCCTGAAAGGGGCACAAAGAGTTTGTTTTCTTTTGGACTCTTCAACTATGTGAGGGATAAGTAGTCGCTGATTGGTCAAAAAAGGGACAAATCAAAACGCTACATTTTCCCTCAAGCTACTTTCACTTGGCACCTGGATAAAGATTCATTTTCAACCTTATGGTTATTACCTGATGTTTCGCTGTGATGATGAAATGTTAAGTTCAGCTACATCGTGCTCTAACTAACACCCACAGTATTTTCTCTTTAATTTTGCATAAAATTTAACCAACAAGAACGATAGTGCTGCTATATCGAGGTTTTTTCATAGGATTGCTTTCTTTGCATTTTGTTACATTGATTAAGGCTTCATCAAAGATTGAAGATTGTGATAGAGATCTTAAAATAAGTTCACACAGCCTTTATTTGGAACAAAAACTATTGAAATTAACTACACGCTGTTTTTGAGCATATGGTCACAGGGCTGTTTTCATAACAATGCGAGTTTTGTAGCATACTTTATCTGTGGATGGGTAACACAAGATTAAAAGTCATCCTCAATTGTTTGTAAGTTAAATTAGCAGAACATATGGAGCTGTTAAGATAACAGGCAAGAGACAGATGGACATTTATTTTATTGAATCATCTATATATAGATGCTGATAATTCCCGTTTTCGATGAACAAAACAGTCTTGAGGACAAAAGATGCAAAATTGATTTGGAAAAATCACTGAAAATGAAAAGTCTTCCGTTTAATGACATTTCTTGCTTGCATGGCCCTATCAAGTAAATACCATAATAGCCCAAATACGGAGTATACTTTAACACATGTGAGCTTCTGATATTAGTCAAGAAATGATAAAAATGCAACGTCTAGTCAACATATTAAAATAATGTTAACTAATAGGCATTTTTAAAACTTCACACATCTTCATTAAAATAAGCGAATCTCTTCCACGACAGCGACCAAATATATCGATTATTTTATCGATATCTTTTTGTGCACATGATTTGCATCATTTTCAGCAATTCGCGCACATTTTTGCTTACCTGCCTATTCTTGTGATTATTGAACAGTTTGTATTCCTTTTCTAGGAGGTCAGAAACTCATAATCTTCTTGTGGAAGGTGCAAACCTTTATGATTTAAGGGTTTTACGCAAGCATTTACGCTTGCATTCCCTAATTACGGGCCTGTGGTGTGACACAGTTCAGGGCACCTTGATTCAGCGATTTTCAACCTTTTCTATCAACGGCACATTATTTGCGGATACTTATTAATTTTTTTTCAACTTTATAGACCAATTAATTGAAATAAGAGAATTTTCCACGGCACACTAGGCAATACCTCAAGGCACGCTAGTGTGTCGTGACACAGTGGTTGAAAACATCCAAGGGCCCCCGACCAAAAGGGGCCCCAAGGTACTTTAAAGTTCTTCAACTCTGAAATTTCTTCAACTGAAGCTCTAAAACTCAGTTCTCTTTAGCTAATGAGAAAATAATTCTCGTTTTTATCTTTTTCTATCGTATTTGACATGCGCTACACAATTTAATGTGATCTTCTTGCTGTCCGTGAATAGAAGTCTCGTAGAAGTTTTTTGCTTAGACCCCCGGTTGCCTCCGTGATGCCAAAGCACATAAAATGCGCTTTGCTTTTTAGATGGGTTTCGGGGTCTTTATCCCTGCAAAGAAAATTTCCTGTCCACCGCCTCCTCCCCCCCCCCTATGGCAAGCCAAGTGCGTTTCGCTTTGTCCCTATTTGACGGTTTATGTTCAACTTTTCTCTTGAAATTACATGTCTTTCGGTGTTGGCCTCAATGAAATTGTAGAGACCTTGAACAGCACCAAGTCCATTTCTCATTGACTCACTTTCGGCAAGATTCAACTAATGGCCAAGACAGTGGACATAGATGCTCGGCGGAGAACAGTCCTCCATTCGCTTTGCCAAGCCCTCAGCTTTGCGGCTCGTTTTAGACCGTCGAAGCATTTGCCAACCAGTTTATACATACGCATTTAAGCCCAATTTGTACAATGTGAAGACCGAGTGTTGAAAAATTTAGCAAAACTTTCTTTCGGACACCATTCAGTGCAAAAATGACACAAACTGACATTTATTCGAGCTGACGAAAGTCAAATTTTTCATGGCTTATTGTATTTTGCGAAAATTTTCGCATAATGCGAAAATGCGAATTTTCGCAAAATACAAGTTTCGAGGTGGTATTTTGTAAAATGCGAAAACTGATTCTAAAAACTTTATTTGCCCAGATCAACGACCGAAAACAAGCAATTCATATTCAGGGCGACTCTGTTCATGCAAATAGCCTAGTTCATGTCCCATTTAACGTTAGATAACTCATGGACACATTTTGGAAAATGGTTCAAAAACCAACCACACCAAGGCCATGAACGGCCTAATTGTGAATTGCCCATTCCAGCGAAAGACGATAACAGTAAGCATCCCGGTGCTTGCTAATTGGTAATTGGTAAATACCCAACATTCTGCGTGTTCTGTGTTGTTTTAGGGGTAATTTACGCCTTTATCCACAAGGCCTATTTTCCTGCCTATTTCCCGGTGAAACCGGCGTGGCTGGAAAAGGACGGGGGTGATGTCAAAAGATTTTCGCAAAATACAAAATGGCTGGGGGTTTTTGTATTTTGCGAAAACTCGCCAAACATTGTCGAAATGTTAGTTTTTATTTGAATAAATGTACGGTAAGGCTTTAGAAAGAGGCTTTGGGTTTTTTTGATAGTGTAGCAGGAACCAATAACAAAAAGGTGCATGCATTTTCTTTGGCGCCAGACAATGACTCACTTCTTATTTTAATTAACAGAAATTAGCAGGACGCCCATTATATGTGTCATCAAGGCGTGAAGACTTCTCTCTTCTCATTCATAATGACATTTTTCTTTTGTTCTACTTCCTGGGTGCCTATTTGTGCCAATCTGGTGACATTCCATGTGATTGAATTTTATCGGTTGGGCGAGTTTTCGCAAAATACAAAAACCCCCAGCCATTTTGTATTTTGCGAAAATTCTTTAATTGGATCGAATCTTTTGATGCCTACTCAATTGACAAGATTTTAAATACAGTCCAAAGCTTTTCCGTACATTTTCTCAAATAAAAACTAACATTTCGACAATGTTTCGCGAGTTTTCGCAAAAATCGAAAAACCCCCAGCCTTTTTGTATTTTGCGAAAATTCTTTAATTTGATCGAATCTTTTGATGCCTACTCAAAAAAACAAAATTTTAAATACAATCCAAAGCCTTTCCGTACATCTTCTCAAATAAAAACTAACATTTCGACAATGTTTGGCGAGTTTTCGCAAAATACAAAAACCCCCAGCCATTTTGTATTTTGCGAAAATCTTTTGACATCACCCCCGTCCTTTTCCAGCCACGCCGGTTTCACCGGGAAATAGGCAGGAAAATAGGCCTTGTGGATAAAGGCGTAAATTACCCCTAAAACAACACAGAACACGCAGAATGTTGGGTATTTACCAATTACCAATTAGCAAGCACCGGGATGCTTACTGTTATCGTCTTTCGCTGGAATGGGCAATTCACAATTAGGCCGTTCATGGCCTTGGTGTGGTTGGTTTTTGAACCATTTTCCAAAATGTGTCCATGAGTTATCTAACGTTAAATGGGACATGAACTAGGCTATTTGCATGAACAGAGTCGCCCTGAATATGAATTGCTTGTTTTCGGTCGTTGATCTGGGCAAATAAAGTTTTTAGAATCAGTTTTCGCATTTTACAAAATACCACCTCGAAACTTGTATTTTGCGAAATTTCGCATTTTCGCATTATGCGAAAATTTTCGCAAAATACAATAAGCCATTTTTCATCAATTATGACAGCATTACAGCCGCTTTCTTTTACTTCTTCGACAATCCTCTCAAGCACTATTTGCGTTATCGCTGTTCTTGTCGCTTTTCTGTTTTTTCACCTAAAAGATTTTTACCATATATTAGATTACTTCCGAAAGCGCTCACGATTATAACCACTTGACTTTTTCATCTCAGTGATATTTATCTAGGGGCTGAAGCCCATTAGAAACCCAAAGTTGATTGAAAATATCTGATATGTAGCAAGGAACATGTATGTAAATACCTGATATATTGAATCAGGGAACATGAATGGCAATACCTATTCAACTTATGTCATAAGCGCAAAAATAAAATGATGTTGTCCTGTTTCTTGTATGCATTAGGAGTCGAGTGTTTCGTAAGGGCAAGGTTGTACCTAAAGTGATGCTGAGAGTCAATTTGAAAAACTTTTTTTAAATTGACCCTCAGCGTCTTTTTGTTTGGGGGGGGGGCAGCCCTGATAAATTCGTGAAACAATAGCCATATTTTACAAAACAAAAGCATTATACTTATGCAACTCAAGTTTCTTGGGGTGGCCAAGGACCCCCGGTATCTCGGTCCTTGATTTCTCTTCCTAATACATCATTGTGCTTTAAGTACCTTTAATTTGGATTCACACTTATCAAAACTGTCCTAAAACTAAAAGGCACGCAAATTCGAAAACAAATATAATTTATAACATTCCTCACTAAGTCCCTCAGAATCATAACTTATAGGACGTTTGGCTTAACATTTATCTTCTTTGGTATCACTTTCTTTATACTCTTAAGTCAGGAAATGTAGAAACAGCTTACAATACAAAGAATATTTTGATTCCAGCGATGACAGGTATCGCAGACGTCACCTTATCACTTTAAATACAGCATTGACCAGGTAAAATTATATCAGACATGAAATAGAGATAAGCAAGTTTTTTATCTGGATAGACTCCAAAGTTCTCGACAGAATTAAAGGACAATGGCTAAATATTTCTATAAATGTGTTTGCGTCTATTGCCTAAACATCTGCTGTACATCATATGATAACTATAAGGAGTTCTATCAACTTACCTGAACCATTCAGTCATATTTTTTATGCAAAATACTGTGGCAGAAATACTGAACTTTTTTAAACTAGTAGAAGTTTTCTTTACTTTTTGTTTGAGTTATTTTTGTTTGAGTTATCTCAAAGAAGTTGTTGTATTCTAATTTGAATGTGATATTTTGGTAAAACCCCATGTCTTTTCTCTTAGTGATAGAAAATAGTCGTGTGAAAATGATGGCTACCAAACTAGACAAACAAAGATGTTTGATAGTTGAAAAATTAAAAAAAAAAAACGTAGAGGACCTTATAAGAAAATCCTTTTTAATGAAAGTTTGTAATATTGGAAAGTGGCAGCAGGTGAGATAGCAAGCTCAACCTTTTAGAAGATCATTCAAATTGTTTACTATAATAAAAAAAAAATTTATTTTTTCTTGGGTTGGTGCAATAAATCCAATTAGTTTGCTCCATTGATCTAATGGTTATTATGAAGTTCTGCAATAATTTGTCATACATTACAGGGAAATGTTTTCAATAGTAAACTAATAAATTCCTTGCCAAACATGTATAAATATAAGTATATAAAAAAGCAGGAAACTGCAAGATAACATCACAAAAGTTCTGTAATCGAGAATTTATCCAAAGACTGTTGATTTGAAAGTATCTACAAGACCACTGAGTGGTCTAATAGGCATATCCTTGCCAAAATATATATTCATGTGGATTCATTTATCTTCTGATTCTTCTGTATTCTGTGAAACATACTGATTTAGATTAGAAATAAGTTGTCTTTGTGACTGACATAAAATACTGGAAAGCTGTGAAGTTGGCTGTTTGAGAAGCTGCAACAGTTGTCCCTGCAACACATCAAGACTTGGCAATTTTGAGTGTTTTATCATCTGATTCCAACTTAAAATTTCATTATCTACCTTGCCACCGATCAGTTGCAATTTTGGAAAACTCTTCATGACATCTAACAGTGCCTTCAAATTGCTTTCTGAACTGTAACAGGTTGCTGTTGTGCTAACAAATAATTGTCGCAAATTATGATACTTTGTTCCTTCCAAAACTTTTTTACTTATGTTGTTAGGAAAAACTGTAACACTGATATTTTGCTTGCTAAGTTCAAATCGCAAGTCATTCCATTCAGTATTCTTCATGTCACCATAATGAAAAAAGACAAAATAAGGACTTTCAACAGCAGCTTTTAATTTTTCTGCAATCATTTGTTTCCTTGGATGTACCTAAAACAGAAAAAAATCCATCCTACAAACTGAACTATCATTTTGCTACTTTAAGGTAAAATAGTGAAATAGGATATCGATTGTGTTGAATAACAACTGAACAATAGGGGAAGCTGGAGTGGGAATCAGATCATAGCGGCCAAACTGTTGCTTGCAGTTTAACATAGCAAACAATTATTTGTGTTCATGTGGATGCACAAAGATAATGCATATCAAAAACAGGGATGCAGTAGGAGTTTAAGCTAAAGGCAATATTTTTCTAAAAAATTTGCAAAATTTAGAACAAGCCTCCCTCCCCCATGCAAAATTTGACCACTCTTGCTATAGTTTTAGCTTTATTTTTGTTGACAAGCATGTTGGCCATTTAACTAAATTGATCACACAATCAACAATTGAGCTTGGAAATTTCTTGAAAAAATGTGTTCAGACCTTGCAGAAATGTATAACAGGCTTACCCTTGGAAATATCAGTGCTTCCAATAAGGACCCTGCATTTCAATTCTGAAAGCATTGTTGTTAGGCACCATATATATCACATTCTATAGGACATTCCCTTCACCATTGTTTTCAACTTCGCAATATAGGTTATGCTGACTCAGGACCCGTTTACACTATGTTGGTGCCATGCGGGTATGATTTGACTCCAGCATGAAACCATGCTGGTATTGGTTAATCCTCAAGTTTTCTTGTGCCCTGTTTACACTATACCAGTATGATATCATATCGCTTAGAAAAACAATAGACAATATATTTATCATTGCCCTATTGTGCGCTTGTGTTGTGCCTGTAAATTTACTTCCAAGAAGGTGTGTAAACAAAGAACTGAAACTCAATGTGAAATTAAATGCGAAGCAAAACAAAAAAGGAAGAAGGATACAAGATAACAAAACAGACACTATGGCATTGTTCAAATTTCTTCCATTAGCTTCAAAATCGCTTAGGTTTTTGATTGTCATTAGTCTCTTTCCTTTTTGTCGAGAATTGTTGAGTAATCAATTCATTTGAACGCCTTATATAGTGAGCAGTTGTTTACAAGATGAGTGGTAAGCTAATTTGTATGAGACCAACAATAATTTTGATTTGACCATGTGAGATCACAAAGTTGTTTGCTGTTTTCTATCAATTGGCACGCTTTTCTAAATGAAAAATAAACTCACTTTCGATACTTCATAGCCTTATGTTGAAAGTGGCATGAAATGATTTCGGTACCATGCTGGTATGAACCGTTTACACGATGTCATTACCATACTGGCATGAACCCCTACTGGTATGGCTATCAACATGGTTTTAATCTGTATTAACACCTTTTCATTTCGGCATGGTACCGGTATCGTGTAAAACGGATGGCCTAAAAACAAAATGTATCATGCCTGTGTCATTTCATGCCAGTGTGGTACTGCCATTGTGTAAATGGCCTCTCAGTTTCTACAGTTCTATGCCTATAATCCCGGACAAAAATGGTTGAGACTTTTCAAGAAAAGCTTTATTTTTACTTTCCTCTAAAAACTAATTCCCCCCCCCTTGCCCAATTCAATGTTGAACACATGATTTTGAAGGAGAAATGATAGAGCTACAAATCCAACATTGCTTCAGGGGGGAAAGGAGGCGGTTCGAATTTACAGGGGCAAGGTAAAGTAGAAAATTACAAAAATTGAATTTTGTCTCAAAATCTTTGTCCAGAATTGCAGATCTTTCTTTATGCATAGCATAATCCTTTTGTCATCCCAACTGATCCTGAATCAGCATTTTGATTTTTATTTACAAGTATGTAAATCTGTAAGAGAGCTCAGTTATAATCAAGACATGCAATAGGCACATTGTCTCTTCTCTGGCTCTATGTTCTCCACAAGTTAAATAGGACTCTGGGTTGGAAGGAACACATTTCTTGATGGATGGTTTTAATTAGTGGCTGCATTGATTGATATTTAGATGCATACTAAAGTTCAATATGTTTCATTTTCTTAGAACTAAGTTCAAAGCATAAACATATATATAAATTATTTTTCAGTTAAAGAAATCAAAGTTACACATCAACTTTGAACATAGACAGCATCCCGGGAAGGACTGGGGAGTATGTACCTTCCCCAATATTCATCATAGCAAATTGAAGGGGTATTTAGATGCACTGTTGGACAACATACATACCTCCTTATCCAAATTCCTGGGCTTTCCTTTCTTGCAAGGAATCGGTCCAAAACCAATTGGTACAGCTGCTGTCATAATGTGTCTTCTAAGCAATGATGTGACTGTTAATGTAATACGGACATTTCAACTTAACAATCAACTGATCAATACTTAAACTGGAAAGATGGGTGTAAAAAAGTGACACTGAACTGAACGACGGGAAGGCCTCGGAATGCACCCTTGGGTAGACATATGGCCTTTCAAAATTAATATGTTCAAGAAAGAGGTAAAAAATTGGGAAAAAGACACAAATTCACTTACCAGAAGTCAACAGCAGTCTTTTGTCTGCAATCAAAATCATTTTTCGCCAATAATTTCCTTTCTCCCTCCTCTCTATTCTGGGTTCCCATCAAAAGATATATACGGACCTCGTTTTAGCACATGCAGTTCTCGTCCGCCATTTCCTATCAGCCTCTGATTAGCATTTTTATCGATCATGAAATGTAGCCGAACAAAAAGAATTTAGGATTTGTTAACTTCGCTAAATAATTGATTACTAACAACAGCGTACAAGAAGATAGAATTTTCATCGATAGATGCATGAATGATAAATTTTTAGTCACAAAAGCACAATGTAAAGCCGAAAATCTGTATCCATGTTGACACAGTTGGAAGTAATAACACTAGGAAGTAATAACTGGGAAGAAGAAACCCGGTACTTCTATCTTGTTAGCTTCTTCAGTATACACCCCAATGATTGATTCGATTCTTTCTTCATCAATGATCACGAGATGAGCAGGGAGCAGTTGCTTGGAAGAGCTGAATTTACAGACTTCGTTAGGCTGATAGAGGTGCGGGACAGAGTTTTTATTATCGAAGGCATTGACTGCTTGGTTATATTCTGTTTGTGTTGGTAGATGCTATCAATTTTTTATTCTCTCATACATCAGTTTTCTAAAGAATACTGTCAGTAATCATCTTGAAATGACAAGTTCAACAAGTTATAATAAATGCCTTATTATTTCTAAATTGTGTAATTTTTCTCAGGACAAAAAAGCAAGCTAGGATGAGATTTAGAGATTTCTAGAAAGATGTAGGTGTTCTAGGTCGCAGAGTTCTAAAAAGACCAGCAACTCTGACAAAAAACAATGAGAAATTTCTTTGTATTTTTGTAAACTAAACTCCAGAAGATTGCAACATTAGGCCACAATAATCAAGCTTTAAGATACTTGAGCTGCCTGAATGAAAGATAAAATGCACCCAAGTTAATTTTAGGCCTACACATAGTATGGTTTAAAGGGCATTTTTGTGAATGTAGGCCTAAACAACCTTTAAAAGACACCCAAATGAATTTTCCAGAATTTCAATTAAGTGAACCTTGAGGAGCCCAGTGAAATAATTTTGTTGGAATCCTGACCATTGAAAGGGCATTGGGACTACACTACAATGGAATGTCAAGCTGAAGGTTGTCTGTGTACCTTGCTTAAAAAGAAACTTTTTAATTACTATGGAGAGACTGAATGCTTACATGACCCTGTGTTGTTACTGCAAGAAAGTATTTAATGTTATGTTACAGTTTAATATTTGTAAGTTAGTTTAGTACTCTCTGTTATAATGGTTTAGGCTTTGTAAGAATACATAGGAAAGTATTTTTGTAATAATGTCTCAAGCTTTGAAATATTATTTCAGTTTGAGAATCTCTGGCTAAGCTAATTTTTAAGTAAAGCAAAACCTTGAAATATTCTATTCAATGAAATAAGGGACTGTGACTAAACTAGCCTAAAGGCCATTGGCACTTCTTTTGGCACAAAGTAAGCCCACCTGTTGGCAAAGTAATGGTGTACATTTTGCTTAGCAATGGCTTAGCACAGAGCAATTTGGCATAGCAATGATGTAGGCTTGGTGTACCTCTGCATTATAACAAAAGACTTAAAGAAAGAAGAATTGCATTAGCTTTGTATTAGAACAAACATCAAGATTATTTTTGTAATTATTTTTGCAACTATTTTTGCATATTTGCCTGTAAAAAATTAGGAGCTTTTGCCATGTAGGGGTCCTTCCTCAGCAAGTTTTGAGACTTGTTGGCAAATAAACCATGGCCCACCAATTTTGTCATTGAAGAGGGTTTGAGCACAATAGCAATGGCCCTGGAACTGATAAAAAAAAATTTTTTCTCCTGGATTCCCAGGGAATTTTGGTTTCTCCTGGATATCAATGCTGGCAGTGATTATGATTTAGGTATCTTGTTTAGTAAATTAACCATGAAAAGGGAATGCAGTCAATAGAAATATTTTATCTCAGCCAAATTATCTCGAAAGCACACTTTCAAAAATAGCTACAAAAATAATCATGGTGCATTAGTTTTAAGTGCAAGGCTAATGCAATTTTTCTTTCTGTAAGTTTTATTTTGTAGTGCAAAGGTACACCAAGCCTATACCATTACTACACCAAATTGATATATGGTAAGCCATTGCTACACCAAATGGCTCTGTACTAGGCAATTGCTACGCCAACAGGTGGATCACACTACACAAAAAGGTATGTTGATGGTGTAGGCCATGTTTTGTCGCAACCAATCATGGCCTACGCTCAAGGCATTCAAAAATGCAATGGATTAGTAATTCAACTTGATTCACCTTAGAAAATATACATTGATCAATGATCTATGGTGTTTTATAACCTATGTGTGCTATCAATTCAGAATGGAAAAGTGACCTTAACCCTGTTTTATCTTTTACAGAAGCAAGGGAATCTTACAGGTTTTATTCAAAATTGTGAAAAATATGAGCTTCTTATTGAAGATATTATAAAAAGTTTTGAAAATGTCTCATCATTTGAGGTAAGATCTCATGACATATATGTTGTCTTTCTGGAATATTCTCACATTGTTAATTGCTTTTGATCAATTTGTTCATAATTTTTATTAAAATATTTGCCTTGGCTTATATGCATAAAATTCTGCCACCACCAATCCATGATTTGTAAGGAAAATATAAGAAACAAAACAACAAAGGAATGATGAAAAAAGAAGATAGATATACTTGTCAAAGTTTTTATCTACATAAAGAATGCATAATTTTCTTCATTGATGCAATGATTCATTTTTAGGTTGATGGTATTCTACATGAAGGTTTATTTAAAATATATCAACATGGGGGTATACAGACTCAGTTATTTGTGCTCCAGTTTGCACCATCTTTGATATCTGCTTATTTAACCTTGATTGGAAGTAGGATACTTACTGTGAGTATAAATAATCTGTTTCAATCTTATAAACGTTATATTCTTTATGCTCAAATCTTTTTTTGCTTTCTTGTCTTTAAAATTAGCTTAATTTTTTTGTAAAGAGAATAACACCCATACAGACATGCCTTTTTTCTTTACTATTTCCTGCTGGCAAATTCCAGAATCTGACTGTTCTTTGTAGTTGAACACATTGGAAAGTCTTTCGTCTATTTCTCTCAAACTTTTATTTTTTAGGGAGGGGGTAAATTAGAAACACTCCTGTTGTCAATATACAACAAGGTATGTTGAATTTTATTTCCAACTACTAACAGCTTTATTGATGTTGGGCTGCAGCTTGTGTCTCCAATTTGAAATTTGAAAATGACTTACCTGCATACTTATTTACCACCCTTGAAGGGATGGGCAGCTGTGTTGGCTGGATGCTTGTGAAAAGTGATCCAAACTCGACCTCAAACCCACAATATTCAGATTATGAGCTGAACACCTTGATTACTCTTCCACCAAGCTAAAAGCCACCACTAGTGCTGAGCACAAACTCAAGCAGCTTGCCAGAAGATAGCTACAGTATAAGAGAGTATTTGAGTGTAACTACATTATAGCCAGATGCTCTAAATTTAGTTTTCTTTTTTTGTTAGTAAGTTTTAGATCACATTCAGCTAGATTGAAGTAAATTTTGATCTCTCTTTTTTGTACCTTTCTGGAGCTGGAGCTTAATTTGAGGATAGAAATTGTTTATTCTTTGGCTCTCCTAATTTTATCACCTCTTGTAATTAAAGTTTTTGTTTATGTGTTTATGTTGTCTTCTTCCATAAAAGTAGCACCCACAAATTCAGATGCCAGACTTTTTGCCTCAGTACTGCAAGCTTGTTTAATATTTGCCTTTTAGGAAGCAGCTGGGAACCGAGAGACACCTTTTGCGAAGTCATATAGAATACCTTCTCTTTCAAACTCATCAATTTATCATGAGGTAAATAATATTATCTAGTATTTTGTTAAAAAACCTGTCATTACCAGTCTAGCTATTTTGAAACATTTCAAAAAGTGTCTTTAGCATCTAAATAACTTTTTATGTTATCTATCTCTTATCATAACAGCAAACATATTTAAAGATTTTCAGCCTGTTTGATATATTGACCTGTAAGCTCAAACTGTGGGATTAAAGTCAAACTTCCATAAGTTTGATCTCCTTGGAGCCTTTAACCATACAAAGTAGTCTGACTTATGCACAATTTGGGAAATTGAAAGTCGATAATCTGTCTGACGCATCACAGGTGAAGTACATAGTATGATGGAGCAAGTATGTCATCACATGTACAATACTAGTCAAATGCCTGTTCAGCATCAAAAATAGTAACTGAATGGTTGGTTTTCTATCCAAATGCTTCAACATTTAACTTAACATTAGATATTCTATTCTGCTAGCCGCCGCCAAAGTCACCATGTCTCTTCTGCAGATGCATGGTTGGCTATGACATGTGACCCCTTTGTCTGCAAAGGTTGCTCCAGGAATTCCAGAGCGCTGCCCCTATCCACGACTACACCTATTTTTTTAAAGATGTGTTTGCTTTCTAAAGTTTTCCGGGAGTCATGAAGATGGCAATATCTTGGTTTAGGTGCAAAAATCCGACGTCTTATGTAATGCTAATTTAAGTAGGGACTTAAAAAAAAGTCCAAATAACACTCCCAGAAAATTGATAGCTTTTATGGACTGGGGCCAAGCCATTTTGTCTGATTTATGAAATAGCAGACTTATGAGAGTCAAACTTGTGCAGGTTAACTGTATAAGTTATACTGAGAAACTGGCATTCTCACAAGTATATATGTGGCATCAATCAGGTACAACATTGTTACTCAACAGTTTTATAGGTGAAATCAAAGGTACCAAAGATTCTTATCTAGGATAATGAATTTTAACTATAATTATAATGTTAATTAACTGCTGAATTTTTTTAAAAGAATATATAGGCCAGCAGTTCGTTTTTAAGCAAATTACCCCTGTTACTCCAATAAATTCATTTCTAGCATTCTCAGAAGTTTATTTTCGTTAGGCTAAAGATTTATTGGCAGTAGAAACAAAAGGCATACATTACTGATAAGTTTATATCTCAACCTGTGAATAGAAAATTTCTTGGTAGCTTCAATTTTCACAAAAGGAGGCGTGTGCTAGACAAGATAGATAGACTTTTATTCAACTATGAGAAGATAGTAAATAGCTCAAAAATATTTTTATGCAACGTAACTGAAAAATGTATTCTAAGATCATTTTAAGGTAAGAAGCCAGTATCAACACATAAGTATTAAAATATAAGTTTTAATTTTGCTTACCCTTTTTTGCGTTGCACCTTCCGATCACCCTGTTAGTTGTCAGTACATATTTTCACCAGCATGCTATTAGAATAAATTTGCTACTTATTAGCAGTTGTTTCTCAAAAGTTTTGTTGTTGCAGCCACTATCAGCTACATCTTCTGCATTGACTGAACGTGCGCTATCAAGACATGAACAATCTGATAAACCAGTCTTGATGAAAGCATCTACAAAGATTCTAAATCGGATATCAGCAAGCTCAAGGTAATAGTTTGCACCTTATTCAAGCAAGTTGAAACTTTGATGTGATTAAGAATATGGTCCAAACATACCTTTTTCTTTCACAGGGGTGATCCTTAAAATGCCCTTGCCAATAATTAGCATTGGCTGTTACTGATGGCCTTGGCAAATATATTTCTGGCCTGCAAGAGATAGGAAGAGCATGTATAGATAAGTCAGTTCCTATAAATCACGAGGTATTCCGGGATTGAAAAGGTCAAGTTGCTAATGAAAGCAAGGAATTATTGCTTTGTTATTGATTGGGGGGGGGGGGGGATTTTGTGAATCATTCTTGGACTCAAGCTGGCTCTCAATGGCACTGGCTGCATCAAGGTGGTTTGTCCTCCTTGTGAAAATTTCTTAAAAAAAGTTGGGTCCTGGGTTCAAAGTAGATAAAAGTGGTCTGGTTATCTTATTCTTACATTTTCACCAACAAACGGTTGGAAAGTGAATACTCTTCTCAGATATATACAAAGAACATTCAAGAAAGAGCCAGCTTTCTTACCTTATGCTAGAACATTCAGATGGAACTTACGAGAACTTTTGGACGATTGTATTTACCAAAACCTTCTAGAAGAACTTCCTAGGTTATATAAACGGCTTCTTTGTAACTTTGAATTAATCTATGTATATGTTTGAGCTGTTTGAATTAGAAACAAAGTCTTCTTTCTTTGACTGCAAAGTGAAAACTTCAATACAAACAGGCTCCATCTCCCTATGCACCGCAGACATTCTACTGTATTTTTACAGTAAGGGTAATTTTTTTAGAATTCTTCGCCATCTTCATTAAAGGTCTAAATAAAATGACACAATTTTTCTCTTGCATTATTGATAAATTTGTTTGAATCAGGTAATTCTCTGTCCCCTTCATTAAAGGTCTAAATAAAAAATGATACCATTTTCTCTTGCTTTATTGATAATTTTTTTGTTCATAGATCAGATGTTCTGAATACAATCCTTAGTGTTTATAACAGCAATATTTCAGCAATGACTGAATCATCACATATTGGCTTTTGTAAAATGGTTGTGAGGTATGTGTCATAAAGAATATTTTTTTCCTTCAATTTTTTTTTCATGAACTTTGACATCATAAACACCAACCATTGGTTTCCAAATGAGCATGCCTACAAACAGTAGCTTTTAACTTGACTTATAGTAAGTATGCATGTTTTGCAAATGGTTTTTTTCATTATTTAGGATTGCCAGGAGTGGATTTGCACATCTTGAATCTGATGACCCAAGGTTGACAAGTTTGCTAGACAAGCAGGAGCTGGATTCAATCAAACATTACACTCGAATAAAGCTTTCCAATGATGTCTATCAGCAAATGCTAACTGGTTTATATTTTATCATGTAAGTTTGAATTTGCTTCCATTAAAAACTATACCTTGCTTAAATGTGATCAAAAAAGAAAACATATGTACAAACTGCCTAATGGTATCAGACACTACATGGCAGATGGGTAACAGTAATTTTCATGTGTCTGCTCCTTTAAACTGAAGTTTTTTAATTCAAATTTTTTTCTTACAGGTATGATGGGTTTGGTGAGGCAGCTTATGCAGCTCTGAAAAGTCTTGAAGTTATGGCAAGGCATACTCTAAATGCAGCATTAACCATGGTAAGATAAAAAGTTGTTTTCTTTCTATAAGCCTTTAATGATAAAAAGAACGAATATGAAAAGATTTTAGTGGAAGAATGGTTGATCAACACACTAAAATAAGAATACATCCTTTTTATATTTACTTATCTAGATTTTAGTTTCACCTTGATTAAGTTGAAGTATAAACTTAACATTTTTGTCTGTGTCTTTATGCTATGATCAAACAAGCCAAAAAATGGACCACTTTTTTGATCAAGCTTCCATGATCAATGTTATTTGCTTACAGAATACTCAGATACATATCATTTTTCATCTTTATTTTTCTTTTGCTAGACTGTAAGAGCCATGACTTCACATATTGAAAGTTCATTCAAAGAGACTCAAGTTCCTCTTGCTTGTAATCCTATGAAAAGCATTAGGAGGCAAATAGGTATTGTAATAACAATTTGATGTTTCCAATAATGACTTTCATGATTTGCAGGTTGCAAATTTTGTCGGTTACTATTTCAGTTGTTAGAAGGTTTTAAATAACTCAAATTGTTCCTTAATTTATGATAGAATACAGTTTATTTCCTTACTACAAGTTTGCATGATAGTTTGGGTTTTCAAATCACTTTTCAAATCACTTATCAGTAAATGCAATATCAGTAACTCCTAAGGGCAGGTAGTAGATCCCAGAAAATGCATGTAAAGCAATAGAAATGGAGGCAGTGGCGTACCCAGAGCTGTAGCAGTAGGGGGGTCTGGGGCGGAGCCCCCAGAAATTTTTTGGGCCACGCCTTTCAGACACTCGCAAATTCGGGGAAACGCCCTTTTTGCAAAATTTCTCCCCATTATTTGATTAATGTTAGCTACGGTAAATAGCAAAGTATTTTACAATTGTTATTGACACAAGCATATAGTATACTACACCCACCCCCAACGAGTTTTACATCATTTTTGGACAAATCTCGAAGATCAATTTTAGAAAAGTGGGGGGATCCGGACCCCCCTATTCCCCCCTTGGGCAGGCTACTGAATGGAGGCATTCTCCTTCTTATTGATCCACCTAGGACTTGAAAGTTTAGCTGCGAGAACATCTGGAAGTGATTGCACAGGTAGTTGAACAGTCGCATATTCCTAAATTATAAGCCAACAAATTTCATAACTTACATGCCACCATTTCTTTTCAGATTCTACCAAAAGACGATATGCCTTCACTGGCAGCCCCGCCCTACTAACACCTGACTCTGCATTGGAAAAAAGCCAATACAAAGATGAAAGTAGTGATGCTGTTGATGCAGCCACAACTGTCTCCCACACAACTAATTCTGCTGTCAAAGAACCTGCTTCATCTGCCATTGAGAATAATCCTAATGTTGCCGAAGGCAGTGTAGCTCTAGTAAATGAAAAGAGAAGCTCGAGTCTATCTGACAATGAAAGGCCTACAAATTTACATTCAGAAAGTGAGGATGATGCAAATGAAAGCACCAATTTACTAAAAGAGCATGCAAAACCCACAGAAAAGAAAGATACAGTCAATCATGAGCGAATAAAAATAAATATAGTAACAGACGATGATGATAATTTTAAAAATCTTTTAAATATGGCAGATGTTGAGTTAACTTATCAACCAGCATCAACAGAACCAGAATCAGAAGTGAGATTTGATACTTCATTGTAAACTGCTATTTCTTTTATAATAGTCAGTGAATGCTTATGCAAAATTATTTTACATAGGGTGTTTTATTTCTTATAAATCAAGTATTATGTAATAAAGAAGTATAAAAAGACAGATAATAATCATTCAAGTTTGTATCAACTTGTCATTACCAGTGCTAACATGAATGGATAATTATCTGGTAATTCTCAAACTATGTATATTTATGTCTCTAGCATACTTTGCACAGTTTATATTTTTTATTCTTAGAAACAGAATTAAAAGCTATTGATTTGAAGTAAAGACATTAACATGGAAACTTAAAAGTTCACTGTAACAGTCCCATGGCCTAAAGGTTATTTTCTGTTATCAAATTGTTAGATGATTGTTTACATTGTACGTAAGATTCGTGGTCAATGTCATGAGATTTAGACCTGAAATCAAAACTTATAAGACTTAATGGCCTCCTCTATTTGTACGGTAAGATCTGGTGGGGAAAGATTGCAGTAGTGGAGCTGTGACATGAAATTGAATATGATGAGGTCTCCTTGCTAAGTTATGTCGCAGCCAGTACTCATCCCACAGAACTACTCACAAAAGATGTCCTAACCGGCAAGATTTGCTTCACATTGAAGTACCCTGATATCGCCCAAGTGGTGATCTGCTTCCTCCGTAGAAACTGAGAAGATGCAGAAAGTATACTGAGACAGAGTTTTGGATCAGAGAGAGCAGAAGAGCTTATTTTGCTCTCTCTTTTGTGAAGAAAACTGCCCACTTCGTCTGATCTTTGGACTTGCGATATTTTAGAAAGGGATGAAACACTACTTGGAAGACAAAAAGAAATTCTTTGAAATAGCGTCAGTTTTCATGGCCGTCTTGCCTACTGGGAAAAATCTAGCACCTTATTCGAATCCAACTGGATACACGATTAAAGAGCCTAAGGGGTCTTCTTTGCATTGACAACGTATCAACATTCTTCGGAGCTGGCTTGCCATATGTTAACACAAAGTGCAGAAAGTATGCATTATGGATTATTGGTGCCTTTAAAATTAGATCTGCGTTCCCTGTGTCCTGGGTATTTTGTTCGGAAAAAGGGGCTATACATGCGCTTGTAACAGAAGAAATCAAAGGGGAAAAGGTTTGGCAAAAGCTGTTTTTGGTAGGATAACAGAAAGAATTACCCCCTTAGATCTGATTCCCTATGCATTTATTGGAAAGCATGAAAATGCAGAGAGACCAGTACACCTGTTTCAAAGACTTGGTTTCGATATTTTAGAGGACATTAGCTGGCCTGTTACACTTAGTTGGTAACTGATATTAGAAGATAATTCTAATATCAGTGAATGTGACCAGATATTCAGGCCAACAATTACATTTTTGTATTGGGTATTAAGCCAAAGTAAAAAAAATTCACCAAGAAAATCTTGACCATTTATTACTTAATACATAAGATATATATCAAAGTGATTTGGCCATGCTCATTGAAAAATAACTTCCCAGCTACCAAGTTTATAAAAGGTGCGGTATCAAGTTTTGTGCTTTAAAACATTTCACATGTTGGCAAACTTTTCTCAGTCAACTGACTTTCTAAAAATTATAACAATGCCTGCGCCACTGATCCTAAACTGAAGGGGACAGCAGTTACAAGAAAGCTCATTTTCCCCCTCTAGCCTCAATTGTGGCAGAAATTTTGCTGACACCGTTTTATTTGTTGTTATCTACTGAATTATCTAAGTAAATAATTTGAGCTGAGTTAAATATTTTATTAAGCAAAAATGTGGGGAGGCCATGACCCCCTCTCTTTGGCACGGACCCTGAGTAATTATGACTGATAATGAATAATCTAAAAAAGCTGTTCAACAAATTGTGATTTGAGCTCTGCTGAAGTCCATACGAAAACATTCCAAACTTAATCCTTATGCAATATAGTACAACAGAAGTGACTGTCAATTATGGACTTAATGCTGAGATTTTACACCAAATTATTTCACTTCGATGTTGATATCTTTTCTATTCAAATTTGTATGTTTTAAGCCCCGGCCAAACGACTCGATTTTTCACTCGACTTTTTAATCAACAAGAAATCGAGTGAAAAATCGAGTCGTTTGGCCATCTTGTCGAGCGAGTCGAATGGCGTCGAGTGATGTCGAGTCCGCCCCCAGTATCGTCTTGCACCACCACTGACCGGGTACCCCGAATCTCACGTAACATATTAAAAAGAATGACAACTATGATGAAGGGATTGCAAACTTTGACGGATACAACTATTATCAAGATGATGCTATAATAAATGGTAAAACAGACAAACCATTATCTTTTCTGCTTCACCGTATATTATAGACAAACCTACTATCCTATTGGGCAATTAATTCGCATTTCCACTTTTTCGGGTTGTTTTGCTTGTTACTTGGTTGTTTGTAGCTTGTTCCACTTTTTAATGGGTTGTTCCGCTTGTTTCAGAAAAAAAATATAGTAGCAAAGAATGCTGCTATACAAGAGCCTTTAACCTTGATGTATTTGAAAGAGATTTTCAACAGCTGTATACAGAATTTGAGTCTACTGTATAGAGAATCAAAATGTAGCGATTTTAAATAATTTTACATTGAGTCACAAGAATTGAAGGCTATACCCCATACACTGAAAGTGCTGACCATTTGCTTACGAGGAAGAGAAGGCCAATTGAAAATCGCTCACTTTACGCGGACCTGCCTTCATTTCTATCACCTTCTTTAATCACAGGTGACTTCTATCGACCAGATCTGGTCTTCGTAACTGAAGGTCGAACCCTCTACATGCTAGAGCTTACTGTTGGGCTCGAAAGCAACAGCGACGAAAACAGTACTCGAAAAGCTAAGAAATACAGCGATCTTATTAAGGAACTGAGCCCTGCATATAAACGTGTTACCTTTGTTAACCTTTCTATGAGTGCCCTTGGCATTCTGGGAACCTCATCTACCTCTCTCTCTGACATGCTACACCAACTTAATTTTGACTCAAATCAAACTAAATCCATCTTGATGAAACTCATGAACATTTCTATCCGCTGCACCTACTATATCTTCTGTCGTCGAAACAAACCATGGCTAAGCCCCGAACTGATTGACTTCTAAATATTGTAATGCAGATAAGCCAATTATACGATGCCTGTAAAAGCGAGTCGTATAATTGTAAAATTAAAATATGTTCAATGAAAATGAGATGTTTAAAAAAATTATTATTATCATTATTATTATTATCTCTATTGTGTGACATGATGAACAGCTTCGGCGATCCTCCCTGTGCCTCCTGTTTCTCGCCCTGCATTGCATGATCCCTATCTCGAATGATTCTTGGACCTCGACCTATATCATCAATCATGATCAATCATGATCATCTCAACCATAGAAATTTCTATTTTCAGCCATGGTAACGCAGCAACAACATTCAAAAGTCCGAAACATGGCGGAAGAAGCTGGAAGTAGTGATCTACCAGATATTCAAACGAGGTATAAAGCCTCGATGGTGCTTAGTGGTGTTGGAGATGCATTAGGTTATAAGAATGGTAGGTGGGAATTCAACTTTGTTGGATCAAGCATCCACGATGAACTAAACAAACTAGGAGGTGTGAATAAGTTAGAAATAAAACCGAACGATTGGAAAGTTAGTGACGACACTGTGTTAAATTTGGCGACTGCAGAAAGTCTTGTTAAGAAAAGTGATGCAGATGACGAATCTCTTTTTGCTGAAATTGCTGCAGCATACAAATGGATTGTAGTTAGAGACATGGCAGGAAGGGCACCTGGAGCGACAACTATGAACAGCTGTAGCCAGTTACGCCCCCAAATCCCTGATGGTTATCGAATACCCTTTAATCAACGAGGTGGAGGATGTGGGGCAGCAATGAGAGCGATGTGTATAGGGCTAAGGTACCCGGCCGTCGATGATGAAAGGTGTTTAGAGAAGCTTATCAAAATAAGTATAGAATCAGGTAGAATGACACATCATCATCCAACAGGGTATCTCGGCAGTCTTGCAAGTGCCCTTTTTACAGCCTTGGCAGTAAAGGAGGTTCCTGTTAAAAAATGGGGCTTGAAACTCATGGATTTACTTCCACAAGCATTAGATTACATTAGAGAAAGTGGGTACTTTGTTAATGAAAATATTGAAGCCTGGGAATATTTTAAGACTTCATGGGAGAAGTATTTGCTGTTAAGAGGTATACTAGATGGGCAAACTGAGCCAAAGTTTCCAGATAAATATGGTGTTGCAGAGCGTGATTTGTTCTACAAATCTCTTGCTTTCCAGAATTGGGGTGGATCTAGTGGGCATGATGCTCCAATGATTGCATACGATGCACTTCTTGCATCTGGCAGTGACTGGGAAAAACTTTGCCATCATGGAATGCTTCATGGAGGAGATAATGATTCAACTGGTGTTATTGCTGGGGCATGTTTTGGAGCAATGTATGGGTTTCGAGGAGTACCTGAATGTAACTATAAAAAAGTGGAGTACCATGACAGACTTAATAGTGCAGGCAGTGAGCTGTATAGCATTGCCTGTGCTGACAAATACATATGATGAACATAATATTCAGCTTTGAAAGCAAAATCTTGGACTAGTTACAGAAAAACAATATTGATTATTTTCATGCACTTTGAGATTAATGTACTTACATATATGTTGAACCAACTTTTAATCATTTAATACATATTAAGAAATATAATATGTACATTAATTCATTATAATAACTTTTGGAAGATCAAAACACTTTTGTCTAAATGTTAGATTAGTTTATACTCCCTTTGGATTTACCATAATTTTTTTAAAGATGGTTTAGGAAATATTTTCATCAAAAGGTGATTTAGGCACAAGATAACAGGAATCTTGACCATCTTAATTACAATTTTGATATTTAGAGAGTCATCTAAGTATTTTTATCAGAAGGTTTTTTATCCAGTTAATTCCCACTTGTATTGACCTTGAAAATATTTTTTAAAGTTATTCAATCTTAATTTCAATTTTTAAATCTAGAGAGTCATCTCAGTATTTTTATCAGAAGCTTTTTTAATCATATTAATTCTCACTTTGATCAACCTTGAAAGTATTTTTCTTTTAAATTTCTTTTAGGTGTTTTTCACTCAGCTATGCTAAATTGATCAAAATGACTTGCTTGAAGGTTTTTTATAATTTATTCAACTGCTTGGAAAACATTTTTGAATGATTTAAGGGTGATTAAAAGGAAGTTTCAATGATATATTTGAAACTAAAACTTTGGTTTTCTACAAGAATGGCCCAGACTACGTTATTTAGATTAATAAAAAATATCATTTTTGCACTGAGTATGTTTTTATGTCTTTTATTTTGGCTGTAACAACAGCTGTTTTTCACAAAGAGAATTGTGCATTGGTTTATAAATGAAAGTAGATTAGATTGACATGGATCATTTTTCTGTAAATTCATGTAAGTTTATACATAGAAAAACTTTGGGAAGGGAAAAAGGAAAGAATACCAGAAATAAATTATTCCATCTATGGCAAGAGATGTTGATGCTAGCTTTAAGAAATATTACAACTGGGATAAACTTTTGGAAAAGTTGATACAACAAATTTAACTGGGATAGTTACAACTGGGATAAAACTTTCGAAAGGTTGATAGTGAGTTTTGGAATCTGGATAAAAACTTACAAATTGGGAGGAAAAGCAATTTCTTCCCAAATAAGATTAAAATGAGCCTTTTAGACATATTCGATCCTTCAAGAGCTTCTGGTGATTTTCATCTTCTGGATGGATGGAAGCAATTCTTCGTTCCATCTCCGACAAGTGAAGAAACCTTGTATATGTGACGTAGGGGAAGAACTTTTCGATGGGAAACCATTACGAGGCTATACACTACTTCGCTCCTCGATTTGGTTGTGCGACGTAGTGGAATAGAGAAGAAAATTATATATACTACATTATTATTTATAATTTACTGGGTTATTTTTGCTTCATAATGTTATAAATGTTCCGATTCATGGAATTTTTGTATGATTGTTTGCTAAGTGCACATTCGACAGATCAAAACCAATTGGCCTGAGCCGAGCACACGGGCCTAGCCAACAGGAGCAAAAGGCCATTTTAAGCAGAGTAGAAGACAAACAGAGTTAGCAATCATGGTTCTCGCGGATCTAGGAAGAAAAATTACTTCTGCATTGAAGTCTCTTAGCAATGCTACTATCATCAACGAAGAGGTGAGTCCAGGTTTCTTTTTTTTACTCGTAAAATGGTTTTAAAACTTTAGCCATCAACTACCCCCAAGCAAAACATTGTGAAATGAAGCAGCCATATTCTCACGACCACCTTATCTTATTGTGCCGTGTATGACATCTTTCGTCTTTGTTAGCAGATGTGCAACAGAAAGTTTCAAAAGTTCGCTATTTTGGGCAACTAATATTAGATTATTTTTTCACAAGCACATCTTTTACATAGATATGAATGCTCTTCAATTAGAGAGCAGAAAAATGCTTTAAAACTAGTCACAAATGACTTTGGCGATGCCTCTTTGCTGGCCGCATGCTAGGCCGCAGAGTATGACAAGTGCCCACCCTTGGATATTTTTTCTAAAATTTATTTGCACACTTGCCAAATAAACCAAATAAATGGTTTTTTCGCACCTGCAAAAAAATATTATTTGGTAATTTTGCTGTATGAGTGATGAAAAGCCGGTTTATTTCTGCTCAAATTATATTTTGTTCAAATGACTGAATCTGACTTCACAAGTACAAACACCTGAAGAATATGTCATTTTGAGATCTGTGTGACACGGATGTGACACGGGCAAGAATTAAGTTTCAACAAGATCAACATAATCTTGAATTGGTTTGGTAACAAAATACATATCAGTCATGTACATTTTCTTATCTTCATTAATTTTCATCTTCTTATCTTCATTGATTTTGTTGAACTTGATGTAAAGCCTTGTGAATTGTTTCTCTTTACCAATTGTTATATATAATCAATATCATATAGGCAGAGCTGTACACACATGTGCATAGAAAAGGATAGCTCTAAGTAGCTTAGAAATAGCTTAAGTATGCATAGATAAACATAATTGGTTGTTAAGATCCAACTGTTGAATAAACTCATAACACTATTTTGTATATATCTCCATTCCCCAAAGGTCTTAAATGCAATGTTGAAAGAGATATGTGCAGCCCTTCTGGAAGCTGATGTGAATGTGCAATTGGTCAAGAGACTGCGTGAGAATATCAAGTATGTGAAATTTACCATTGTCTTTTTCTAGAAAAGTTTTTCCATTCATTTAAAGTTTCTGAATCTATTGAGATTCAGCTTTGAGACTTTGGTCTTAGTTTCTACTTTGCTACTATTAACTCTTTGCTGAAAACTATTTGAATATTCAGTATTAATTAATTCTTTGAAGGAAAATGCTTAAAGAATCAACTGATTTACATACAACGATTTGCCAATTTGGCTTATAATAATAGACTCATTCTGTAAACCTGCATTGACCTTATTTGTCTGTTTCAGAGCTGCAGCAAATTTTGATGAAATGGCAGCAGGAATAAACAAGAGGAGGGTCATCCAGCACACAGTTTTTCAAGAACTTTGTAAGGTAAAAATCTTGAGCAATTTGAGTGCTGTTTTTTATTTCATTCAGTAACATATGCAAGCAAAGAACAGTGGGGGTGTTAGTCCCCTTAGGGGTGTTGGTCTGGTTCAATTTTTCTAAAAATGCAAATAAATTGTTATACGAAGCAATAGGCAGATCCATCACATTTTGAGTTTAAGATATTCTATTATGGCATATTCACAGTGGCTTTGCATAGTTTTCTGGGGGCTATCCCTCAAAACCCACCCAGACAGCATGACCTGCATATGTTCTGATCTCATTTTTAAAAAAAAAGAATTTATTTAAAGGCATATATTGAAAAAGATACATTACACCATTTTTTTTCTATGGTAAAGATGTTTGATTCTGTATTGGTAATGTAGACTTGTGTTAATGTTGTTATCTTAACTGTTACCTTTGCTTGTTGGTGTGATCTAATTGCTGTCTACTAGTGAGCATCATTATAAAAGTGAGAATTATTGTCCTCTTGATTTTTGTAATGGATTATTTCAAAATTTGCATTCACATTTCAATGAACTATCAATTTTTGAAATTTTGTTGCAGTTGGTAGACCCTGCGGTTAAGTCATGGCAACCAACAAAGGGCAAAAATAATGTGATAATGTTTGTTGGTCTGCAAGGAAGTGGAAAGACAACCACCTGTACCAAGGTATATGTCTTTATATTTATGCATTTTGCCTCCACTGTACTTTGAAAGTACAGGATTTCAAATCATTTCTTTTGGGTTTTGCTCTATGACTAAATTTCCAACAGATTTGCCTTGTTAGGCTTGAGCTTTTTAGATTTTTCTCTGTTGTATTAGCGAAATAACTTAAAAAAATTACTTCTAATTGCAAACAATTAAAGTGCCACAGGATGAGTGAGCAATAGTACCAATTTTCAGATGCTAAATGAAATAGACTATGTACATATTATGCTGCTCAGTGTTTGTTCTCTCTTTACACTGCTTAGTATACTGTATTGTGAGATAATTCAAAGTATTTAAGTTTCATTGTGCTTATTGGGCTTTCATTTTACAGCTTTCATATTATTACCAAAAGAAAGGATGGAAAACTTGTTTAATATGTGCAGACACTTTCAGAGCTGGTATGATCATAATGTGTATAATATCTTTTTGAAGTTACTCGTATCTTGTTGAGAGATATACCATCTTTGGAATATTTTTGTGTGTGAATAAAAATGTATTTGTTTTCAGTTGTTTCTAAAAGTTTACACTTGTTTTATCTCTAGAAGCTCATGTTTACTGATTTACTACCTATTTATGTGGCCACCAAGTTTCCAGCCTTGCTTTCAAAAAAGCTGTATGTTTCATATGAAATATATACATTTGGTGTACATAATTCCATTTATTTTCAAGTATTCTCTCTGTTCTTAAGACTTTAGATTCTGTTTTTAATAAAATGACTACCCTTAAACAATTTGATGTAATCTAGATTTCTTCTCTGAACAGCAACCTTTTGATATTTGAAAAACGTGATATTTGTAAAAAGCACAATTCGCTTGAGAGACAAGCCCAAAAGTCATGGATTTTCACTGTTCATGTGATAATCCAGCTTTCAAAATCAAAGCAATATAGTGTTTTCAAATGTCTATTTCTATTATCTATCTGTAATTTGTGATTTACTTAGCAGTAAATTTTCTGAATTAAAACTATGTCTTTTTTGCAGGTGCTTTTGATCAGTTGAAACAAAATGCTACAAAGGCTAGGATTCCTTTCTATGGGAGGTAGGTTGCAAAGTTTTTCTTTAAAGAATGTTATTAGAATTAACATTTTTAGGCGAGACATCAAGTTAAGATCATGATCTTATCTTAGCACAGAAATAAATATCCTTGCTTTATTCTGGCACTATGGAGTCTGTATTCTTCTACCTTCCCAATTTCCAACAATTATATAATGAATGACAAATGTGTATTCCTGGGTCTTGGTATATATGCACTTCACAATGAAATGCTGAGAAAATGGGGCTTTGCAACAGCACAAATAATTTTCAAATAATTATCCCCTTTGCAAATTGGAATGCCAAGGTCCAAAATTCATAATTTTGCAACGATAGCCTTAAAAAAATTTTTTTATGAATCAAACTGTATACATTGGGATTTTTAAGCAAGGAAGTTTGTTTGAAGTGTTTAATGTTAAACGAAATACATCTATTGGTTCTGTATAACCTACCTTTTCATAAAGCAACTTCACTGAAGGTACATATATTCTTGGAAATTTCTTTGTTTTTTCTTTAGACATCCAACATCAGTTATGTGCATATAGATAAATCCTTCATCTGAAATGCCTGCAAAGTCATAAACCGTTTGATCATCTTATTTATTATGCAAAAATAAATTAATGTAGTATACATAATACAAATTGCTGTTGATCAACCTGTAGTGTTCAAATAAAGGCAGAAGTGTACAGGCTTGAGAAAGTTCTAAGTTGTAACTCTGAGTTTGACCCTAAATGCAAAAATCAGGAAACTTTATTCAAGATTTTCATATATTCCTGTTGATGATGAATAATGTTAACAATGTATTTTAAACCTAATTTCTTATCTTTCCTTGTTTTTTTTTTAGTTATTCGGAGCTAGATCCTGTAGTTATTGCACAAGAAGGTGTTGACAAGTTCAAAAAAGAAAATTTTGAGATTATAATTGTTGATACCAGGTTTGTCTTGATATTCCATCAATTTACATTTAAACCTCAAAACCTTATCATAATTTTAAGGATGACATGTAGAGGTCTTGTTGTTTTCCAACTTGGAATTGCCATTTGCGGTTAATGAAAATTTGTTATGTTTCTTTGTTAGCTTTTTTCATTGGTATGTTTCTTTGTTTTTTTCTTTCTTTGTTGTCAGCATTTATCAACATATGAAAAATTAACTTAATATTCCTTTTAGCATGACTTTCATATTTAGGTTATACTGCTTCCTTAAATGCTACTGGTAAAGGAAATGTTCCTTGAATTATTGTGAAATTTTTTGTCTTTTTCAAATAATCTTTTAAATACAACTCCCTTCTTCAAACTTAGTTTTCCCCCTTGTGCTTTATTTTTGGTTTTATTGAATCATTTGAAATTGCGTTTTATATGCTCTGCATGCTCCTGCCTTCAAGTACATTTTATGGTTAAGTTACAAGCTATTACGGTTTCCTCTTTCAGTGGTCGTCACAAACAAGAGGAATCATTGTTTGAGGAAATGTTGCAAGTTTCAAATGCAGTGGTAGGTTTTCAATAATAGACATATTATCATTGCTTTCCTTTTTTGTTTCTAATGCTTTATGATGCAACTACTGCCGAATTAATCATACTTTACTTCTCTTGGAAATTATCATTTAGTTTCAATATTGATTTTCTTTAACTTCGACTACATTTTCGTGATTCAAAAAACTTTGCACTGAACGGCCTTTTTCCATTAAGAATCATTTTTAGCAAGAGTCTGTAAAAAGTCGCTTTTCTCTCATTTAATATTTGAAAATTTCTTTCTTGCTTACAAATCATGTCAACAGTACTGATCATTTAATGCTCTCTACGTTTCATGACTCATAAAAATATTACTTATGTTACCGAATATGAGAAAATTTTTGTTTTATTAAAATGTTTCGATGATCTTTTTTCAGCAACCAGACAACATAATCTTTGTGATGGATGCTTCAATTGGTCAAGCATGCGAGGCCCAGGTATTTTTTTGATTTTCTTTAAAAATCATCAATTACTTTGTTTCATTAGCAGTCCCGTTTTCTTTGCTTTAATATCGTAAAACGTGAGTTCAAGCGAGAATGCGAAGTCTTTCCTTTTACTCAAAGCGTGATAACTTGTTTTCAGTGATTAGAACCTTTAACACTGTAGTGATAAAGAAACTTTGTTTCTTTCAATAGTAATGTTGGCCTTTCTCGTTAAATTTCAACCAATTAATGTTTGTTGATCCACCAGTCTTTTGAGTGACGTCTCAGTATCAAATATAGCTGAATTTTCCAACCAAATTGTTGCATCGGTACATTCATTAACTGTTAAGTGACACCACATAAACATAGCCTCTAGATTTACTTATTAGTTCTGATTTTCGTGAATTGCACTTAGCAACTGATATTTTCGCATCGGCATCAAGTCAGGATTTGCTAGCACCCGTTTCAACCTAGTTTCGACAACACTATTTTCGACAACACTAGTTTCGACAACACTAGTTTCGACAACACTAGTTTCGACAACACTAGTTTCGACAACACTAGTTTCGACAACACTAGTTTAGACAACACTAGTTTCGACCCTGTTCTCCCCAAGATGGCCGATAATGCTGAGTGGAATGATTTTTTTTCAGGCACGTGCTTTTAAAGACAAAGTTGACGTAGCCTCTGTTATTGTGACAAAACTGGACGGTCATGCAAAAGGTGGTGGGGCTCTTAGTGCGTAAGTATGACCAATCACTTTAAGCGTTTAGATAAAAAACAAAGAAATCTTGATGTAATTACAAGGCTTTTTTTAAATAAACCTTTCGTACAACAATATTTCAAAATAGGGGAAGCATACTTTTCGTCTGAAATTTCTCATATAAATTGTCCTGTACAGCGAAGAATGCTGGGCTTTTAATCAAGGAACCAAAAAGGAACGCCCAATTCTGCTTTTCCTGCAATTTCTTATCTGAACCTGGATGTATCTCTTATCTTAACTCGGAGGAGTGTCGGATATCTACAGATGTCCATAGATGTAATGTAGATATCTTGTCAGATATAAAGTCAGCATCTCGTGTTATCTTATCTATTGCATTAAGTTCAAGTGAGAAAGTTTAGATAGCTGGATACTCGATGCTTTTATTAAAATAGGCATTTTATATTTATGATAGCAAAGAGAAAAAGTCAAGATGATTCTCCTGCTCCAATTTTTCATGAAAGCATGATAATACTCGAATGTTTGCTCAAAGTTACATTTTCATTTCTGCATTTGGAACAAATCGGTTTCATTATGAGATTTTTAATGTTTGTGCAAATTTTCTCCTTGCGATATTGGCCATCCTTTTTATTTGCTTTCAATTTCAATTTTCATACTGTGTATTATCATTTTAGCGTTGCAGCAACTAAAAGTCCTATTATTTTCATTGGAACCGGAGAACATATTGATGATTTTGAGCCATTTAAAACACAGCCCTTCATTAGCAAATTATTAGGTTTGTAAACTAAATGTGTAATTCTTCTCAAAGGATTCATTGGTCACGACAGTTATTTTATAAAAGGTTTCTGCAGTGGCTTGAACTCGGTTTTAGGGGGTTGGAGGAAACTGAAAAAAGTCAAAATGTCCGTCAGCATTGCCTCGTGTAAATGTAATGAAAACCTCTAAATGTTTTTGTAGCTCTGCTTTGTTCCATAAATGTTTTTATGTAAATCGATTTATTTCTTACCTTTTCACTTCATTACTACGTTGAAATTTCTTAAGAATAGAGAATTATTTGTTATGAATTAGGAATATACAAAAATCCTTTACTCGTTAACGTGCCACAAGGGATACTGGGATGTATGATGATGGTTCAAAGCTCTTAATTAAAGAAAGAAATTATTATTCATTTCTCCTCGACATTTTGGGAAGGGACACCGGTGCATTTAAATTTTTCAGCATAGCAGCTTTCAGCGACCTTTAAAGCTATACTTGGTCGTCAAGCCCTGACCTAAGATTGGTTTATGAACTGACTGATTTATATTCCTTGGGAAACACAGGGAAACAGTGTCATCATATCAAGTAGACAGAACAATATTTTTTTTATTTTCTCATTAGGAGCAGACTGTGTTTTTCGGATCCGGGTTTATATTTTCGATTTATTTTACTACCCTCCTTCTCTTAGGAATGGGAGATCTCGAAGGTTTGATTGATAAAGTTAATGAGTTAAAGCTTGACGAGAATGAAGAACTGATAGACAAATTAAAGCAAGGTAAACTCTTACTTATTCCTGATCACTTCATTTCCAGTGTTCCTATATATCTTGTAAAATCCATTTGTTTGAGTATTGAAAAATTCATCTATTGCTGCATTCCACTTATTTTCTGAAAGGCGTATTATTGTTATGCTTTAAATGAAATTAGCTTTCCGGACTTTTCTGTTGATATCCAGTTTATTAAACTTTGCACGATCTTCCATATTTAATTAAGCCAACTACAAGCTTTGTTGTGCTGATCTTCACATCAAGACTAAACTCTGGTAGGCAATCCTGATTTTATTGATAACAGTAGTTTAGATCCAAAACTAGGTAAAGATTTAGATTAATCTTAAGATTGCTAATTATTTTAATTACTGTTACGGGAATTGGAAAGCACATGATATAGGAATGGGTTTTCTAAATTGTCCTCGCGCTTATCGTTGCTACCAGTTTCATTCTGCACTTTAGATGCAGATCCTATCCAATCGCGATACTGATCCATAGATTTGGCTGAATTAGAATTTTTCTTAGGTTTTTATTGAACGAATTTTTTGGTTTCACGTCTTCTTTAACACTTTCAGCTATTGCTTACCTATCTTTGTTCTCCAACAGGTGTGTTCACAATTCGTGACATGTATGAACAATTTCAAAATATCATGAAGATGGGACCATTCAGCCAGATAATGGTTTGTTCTTATTTGTTAGTTGCTTGAATCAACCCTCTTTGAAGCAGTTTCCAAATCTAAGGTCACCTCCGGTCCCTTCTTAAAGAGTTTCTTTATCCTCAGGAGCTGGGGCTACTAGTGTTTTTTACAAACAGTTCTTATAAAACATAATGTGAATATTTTTGGTTACAAATCCATCAAGTTGGCCTTTGGGCTTAACAAACTGACTGTGTCCGTACGACATTTTTATGGACGGAAAGTTTTCCTATACTGTTATTAATTGAAAATTTTGCATATAGACCGAAGTAGTTTTAACATGTGAATTGTTTTTTAGGGAATGATACCTGGCTTTAGTGCTGATTTTATATCGAAAGGTAGCGAACAGGAGTCAGTTGCAAGGCTAAAAAAGCTGATGACAATAATGGATAGCATGAGTGATGAAGGTAGGCCCAAAATAGTGCAAATCATGGGCGTTCACACCAGGGGACACTCATTCGAGGGGGCGCTGATTAGTCTTTAATTATTTTTACAGATATAATCTAACAGAAGGAATGGTAGAATTCTGGACAATCGGTTCAATCTAAGCCTATTTAAGTAGTCAATCTTTAGTTCTCTACTCAAGGTAAATGTAAATGTACATTTTTTCATCATAATAATAATCACCCTTCTCACCTTCACTTCTCAAACAAGGAACCGATCCACATTTTAAGATGGGGGTGCCCATTCAAATTGGTAGGCCCTCATTAGAAGGGGGCGCTAATTAAGGGATTCACAGTGTGAGTTTTATGTTATAAAAAGCATGTTTCAGAGAGGCAGCAACCTTGTCTTTGTTTGTAATCAACTGTTTCAAAAGCAGTTGAATAAATATGCTTCGTTTTGTTTTATGAGCACCAATTATACTGAGGTCTTTCACGGGATGACGTCAGTTTTCGGGAAGAAAAGGTTCTCAAATAGTAAATTTTATTTGTTATTGAAATTCAATATGAAATTGTGACTTCTTTTTCAGAATTAGACAGTCCAAATGGCTCGAAATTATTTACCAAACATCCAACAAGAGTATCAAGGGTTGCAAGGGGCTCTGGTGTATCATCAAGAGAGGTGCAAGAACTTTTATCTCAATACCAAAAATTTGCACAAATGGTCAAGAAAATGGGTGGCATCAAGGGCCTTTTCAAAGGAGGAGATATGGCGAAAAATGTTAATCCTTCCCAGATGGCAAAGTTAAATCAGCAAATGGCAAGAATGATGGATCCAAGAGTTCTACAGCAAATGGGTTTGTTTCTGTCTCACTCTATCTTTTATTAATTCTCTTGTACTTTTGACAAATTAGCCGTCTCTTACGTGTCTAGAAAGTTTTCAACGAAATTTGTCAGCTTCTATCGTGATTATTTCTTTGGGCAATTGTTCATTTATGAACTGAATTCCAGATACCTAAATTTTGTTAGGAACATCTTGTGAATACCTGACTGATGATGTGCAATTTAACACTCGCTTCTATGTTTATGCTTCTTTATGCGTATTACCTAGTTTTGACTTAATAGCTGACTGCAATGACTGAGAAAATGGAGGGGGAAGGGGGAAATAAAAGGGTTGCAATCGTGATATCAGGAGTACAAATAAATTAGCCCTTGTTTGATGTCATTTCATTTATGATATTGTTCATTTCAGGAGGAATGGGTGGACTTCAAAACATGATGAAACAATTCCAGCAAGGCGCTCAGTCTTTTGGTGGAAAAGGAAGAAAGGCACCAAAATAGATATCAACTATTCTATGAATATATGTAATATTGAAGTCCTGTATATTTGAGTTTTAAAACAAATGTAGACTTTTAAAGGATTCGGGGGTTTTGAAGATTGCTGATATAAGGAAAGTTTTTGTCTTGATGTGATAAACATTGTTAGTATAGGAAAAGCTAGAGATTGACAAAAGCAGCACAGGGTAGCTTCGTAAGCTTGATTCACAATAATCATATCGAGTAGGCATAAGAGCTGCGATGAATCAAAATTATTACCCCAGTATGGACTTCATTATCAATAAATAATGGTGCAAGTCAGATGGATGAGATTCGTTTCATAAGCTTGATATATGCTACAAATTTTCTCTCACTCCAAGCAAATTTTTCTCAGCCAACCCAGCATCCCTTGACACAGCATAACTGCAGTCTAGATTTCACCCTCAGTTAACAGCAATACAGCTGCAGGGGTGTGCTATCCATTGACCTAATTCCTTACACTGCTGATCTTCTCATTTTCATAAACGGGGATTTTTTCGCGTTTAAACGAGAAAAATGTACTTACATCCGTTGGAAATTCGCCGTATTTTCTCGAACCATAAAATACCAAACGAATACAGTTGTTTTTTTCTGTAAATTTACTTGAAATTCCATGTGTTTTTCTCGATTTTCAAGTTTTTCCTACTTTTGTTAAGTTGAAGCAGAACCAGTGGAATGTAACTCGTTTCCCATAAAGAGAAGTCGGAAAGAGACGCTTTGCAATTAATGCTTTAAAAACTAGAAGTACTATGCGAAATTGGCACACTTTGGTGTCTTTGGAGGAATGGCTGTAGCAAATCTCTCCCTAAAGTTGCTATTTCTTCCACAAAATATCCTTCATTCCAATATTTAATTAAAATCTTGTTTATTCTGATCATAAAGAGCCAACTGAACCTCTTTTTAGAAGAAAAAATTTTCGAAAAAATTTTGACCATTTTTCTAAACCATTTTTCTTACTTTTTTATAAAAAATCGACCCCTTCATAATGTTGCTATTTCTTCCACAAAACGACCTTCGTTCTGAAACTAAATTCAAATCTTAATTCTTCTGATTATAAAGATGCAACTTAACCCTTTTTAGAAGAGTCTTTTCCTAAGCCGGTAACCTTTCTTTTTCATCCGAATTCGATCAGAATTTAGTTTCAATACATTTTGCTTCTAACCCTTTTCAATGGAGGATTCGTCGCAACTTTATTTCATGTGATCAAGCATTTTGTATCACATTCTTATCAGTTATTTATGGATATTTAAACGATAAAAAGAAATCAGAATGTAAAGAAAAACCTTCCTAAAAAGAATTCACCTATCCTTCTAGGCAGCTTTATAACCAAAGAGTCATTGCATTTAATAAGAATAGAAAAACTGAGATGCAATGATAAAGTTACAAGATAATCTCTTAAACAGACAAACAAAATTAAAATGCTCCGGAGAATCAAATGTGATAACCCAAACTTTCTAAGAATAAATCTCATACTGAGCCATATTTAAATATGAAAAGCTAGAAGCATTAAAGCTTGAACTGTCTAGAATCTTTCAAGCCGAAGCCAAGCATTGAAAAAGGCAACTTTACATAAACATTGTAGGCCAACGTCTTAGAGCTTTCGACAAATACTCTGGAAAACCCCAGAGCAGCTGCAGTTGTAGCCGCACCTATACGAAAGCTGTGTAGCGTATAAATGCCATCAAAACCAGCGACTTTAAACAAATATTTTAGTTTGTTAAAGAATTTGCTTTTAGTTTAAGGGGAGAAACTTTCGTGAAAAAAAAACAAAGGACCCTGCTTATTACCCCGGGACCAGAGATAGGACATTAACGCCTCCACAGGGCAAATTAAAGAATCGGAACGAGCTAGAACCAACGTACAACCAAACTGATCAGCTTTTGAAAAATGAAGAAAAAGAAAAAACATGACGAGGAAAGGTTGCTCATCAACAGGTAAATCGGACCATATTACTAAGGTATCAAAGAAGAAGATGTTTAGAGCGCCTTAACATCAATCTTTCATATAGGATCACTACCGTAAGTTAGAAACCGGTGGAGGGCAGGAAGAAGGAGGTTAGCCCCCCAGTTGCTATTGCTTTTATAAACATTTTGAACACTAGGCCTCATTGTGAGTTTTATGTAGCAATACATCCCCGGGTCTGAAAACAAAAGTAACGTCATCTGATCAACTCATCAAATCATAGAGACCATTCATTAATGTACCGAAGTGTTGAATTTTCAATCCTACATTGCTAAATTTGTTACATGTCTTAGCAATGTTCTTAAAAAGATAACAAAAGAGCTAGGCAACATGCATAATAAAAATCTGATCTTACGGCAGCTATAACAAAAATAAATTTCCAGTAGAAAATGGTTGACACCTATCATTTAAAGGAACCGACGCAACAATGAAAGGTCGATTCGTACCGTGCAAAGAAACACCAGCAAAACATTAAAATGTTTTAATCTAAGAAGCAGTGTCAATGACAATTCCAAAAGGAGCATTCTTTTAGTGCGACAATCTAGTTGCTGACCCTAGAAACTTATGAAAACGTGACACTATTAGGAGGTATTATTTCCTTGATCACAATACTGAGCAACTTTACTATGCTCGGGCCACACATCCGCGAAACGCCTAAGATTACGAAATGCACAAGAACCCGAGCTACCAGCAGCATCAGGGGTGACGAAACTATTAAGAGCTAAAATAAACTGCGCCCAGTCAAGCAAAACTGAGCAAAATATACCAGACTTTAGATAGAACAAGACAACAACTTTGAAAGGCAAGAAAGTTGTCACTATAACAACAACTATACAGGGGCGCAGTGGGAGTTAACTTTTTGGGGGGGCAAAGCTGAAAATTTTCCGATAAAACTATGATTTTTCCGACAAATTTTTTCTCAATACATTCCTTGAAGATTACCCTTGCTGCATATACTGCAACACTTGATACTACAATATCACGAATGGATCTGGAAATCGTTAACGAATGGATCGTTCGTTATATACCTTCAAGTTCAACAATAGCCTTCATTCTAACAAAACTTACCAAATATAAATCGCTATAAACAAAACTGCAACTAGTTATAAATTTACACCCTACAAGTCTTCTCGCTATACCAGACAATAAACTGTCAAGTTACTGTTTATAGCTGTGTATAGCAAAAAGTTTTTTTGGCAATTTTTAAATCGCATCATAATTACTTTGCATTTATTTATGCTAAACCTTAAATAGATATAACGCGTCCAAAAGAATAGTTTTCTTTTAACTGAAATTTATATAAACTGTTACTCAAGCAGCATCTTACTCAAAAGAGGTGTGGCAGCATACAAATTGATGATGTCATCATAGTCTATCGACTGTAAAATATCACTTTCGACGTTGATTGTTATCAGAGAGGAAAGGCGGTCTTGTCCCATCGTTGACCGTAGCCGATTTTTTTACAATCCTCAGCTTTGAAAAAGCTCTTTCATACTTTGTTGAACCTATTAGCAAAGTGACGAGAACCTTGTAAAGAAGGACCAGCTGTGGAAAGGCACTTTGCAGGTTATACTTATCATCAACTGAAGAACTGAATGCAACTGAAAAGTTTTCTCTTTCTCCTGCAGCCGGGAGAGAGTTGCAACTTTCCAAAATTTACGGTAATTATTGACGAAAGAGCTGTACTCATCTCTTAATTTTTCGTCATCCAGGCTGTAATTCTTCGCAACCTTTTTGAATTACACTGCACACAACTGCCTTTCAATTGTTTTTTGAAAACATTCCGGGTTGAGCAAAGCAAAATCTGTCAAAATCGCCTTTTGAGACGTGAATCTTGTATTCATTGAGCTGATAGCTGTATCTACTATCACGATAATATACGGATTCCCTATTTCCCTCTAATTCATATATGCAATTTTCCCCTGGCATCTTTTTCTTTTTGCGTATTCGTCGCTCGACAAAATTTTCCTCTGCTAAGTCATTGCGAAAATATTAACTTTTTGCGTCTTCTACAACACCAGCGAATCCATTTCGAAATGAACTGAGTTGAATTTTAACTGTCGGAAATGGGAGTTTATAAAAAAACTGAGACCAGAGCGTTAATTTCCTCTACAAATTTCAACAATGCGATGATTCCGATAAATACTCTTATAAAAATAAGTAGGAAGGGTTGAGCATGCCCTGTTTTACGACAGGTTTAAAAAAATATGCGTGCGACCTTTCGGACAGGATCGACGAAAACCTTACTTTTTGTCTAATATTTCAAGTTTTCCGACAAACGTTGGATTTTCCGACAATCCGACAAAATTTTTGCCAGGGGGGGCGCCTGCCCCCCCTGCCCCCCCCCAGCCACTGCGCCCCTGCAACTATACCTTCCAAAAAGCAGGGGTGGCGCTAGAGACAAACCTTCAAGGTGCCGAAGTTTATATTCTCCGTAACTGCCGACGCTGGATGTGTCAAATTGCCGACAGAAAAAAAATTCGATTTGCCCCATATAGCAGGCAGGAAGGGTGTGGAATGCAAATTTATTTGATTAAAAAATTATTGACTGAAACTTCTGCAATACACAAACCTCTGCAATACATTTTGTCAATCTAACTCTGTATGATAATAACCGACTTTCCTAATAGTCTTGTCAAATCTCTATATCAGGACGGGCAAAATATATAGTTACTACCTGAGGCGGCACCATGGTTGCCGCCGAAGGGGGAGGAAATTTTCGAATTGTGATGCTTCTTGTTCCCTGGAAAATGCACTCTTTTAAGCAAATTTCACTAAAGCAATCCTCCTAATCCTATTGAAAATTATTGTCTTTTTGCAAAACTTTTTTTACAGCAGATAAAAACAACAATTTCGCCGTGGTCTTGAAAAATACCAGGTTGTTAGTTGCTTTTAAATTTAGATACCTCTCTCCATCTTAGCATGCCTTTTGAATGTTAAGGAAAATCTGGAGCTCATAGTGAATTGCAGTTGACGCTTCTACTGAGAAACTTTAGGAGAAATGGACACGAGGCACAATTTTACCTAAGATTGCTTGATCCTTTATTGATTTTATGACAGGAAGGTCTCTGAAATACCTAAAGTGTTTCTTCCACCGTGCGGATTTTACCTGAAATTTCCTATTGAGATACTATTGGGGTGGGTGTGACAACCCCCAGTCGCGACGCCCCTGAGCAGCACCTCCAATGAAGGGGCACCGATATAGAGCATTTTTCCAAGAGCAAGCAAGCATATAGAGCAAGCAATAGAGCATTTTTCCAAAATCGTTTGTTGTGGGTGCAAAATTCTCCCTTGCCCCCTCCCAGCCCCCACTTTCCAACCTGTGTCGGAAACTTTGTTTGTCGCAAGCTATGCGGTGAACAATGCTATTGAAAAATAGTTGATGAAAAAGGACAAGAAGTGCTTTTTGAAAAATTTATTACGCAAAATGTGCTCATGATCGAAATGTTTTCATTGGCAATAATAATGTCTTGAAACGAAAAGAGAATCCCTTAAGAAGAAAATTCATTAAAGACTTTACTTATGACAGTGTGATTTTGCTGTTGTTAGGATAAATTTCCTTGAAACGATCCAAAAGCCAAAATATAATCCAAATCAAGCATCTCTGCACGTTTCGCATGAATTGGCATTCGCATGAGCAGCAACAGGGATTTCAACCGAGAGGAGCATGATGGTATTGTGGGTCATGCGAAGGAGCACCATGAAATTAAGTCACAGCTTTCACGGAAGCGACAGGATATAATGCCACTATGATAGTAAAATTGCCGAAGAAAAGCCATTGAGAAAACCATAAACCAGCCAGTGCAGTTTTCTCCTCGATTATTTGTGTCATTCAAACAACATGTAAACCGGGTGACATCCATCAAGTGCCGACGGTATTGAGAAAGCAAAAATTGATTGGCTGCCGACGGGGGGGCTAACAAAAATCTAGGGGGGGCTGAAGCCCCCCCTTGCCCCCCCATGCCGCCACTCCTGCCAAAAAGTGATCTCACAATATGTAACTGAGACGTAAAGTCTATATAAAAACCTGATTACGAAAAAAAAATCGAATTAAATTGCAACAAAAACATTGTCACAGCAGTACTTTTGTCTCAAGAGCCTTTATTCCAAGAGTAAATCCGCAGTTTCCATAGAATGGCTTAAATATAGTAATTAATAATGATGGAAGGCTAAAGAAAAGCGCCTAAAGTTAATAATTCATTAAATTTCTTGCCGGAATAGCTTTCAATTACACATGGTCGTTCATAATAAAGAATAGTTGAAAGATACACTACGTGGCACAAGATGGTCAGAATAAACGTTATGAGGCAACAATAAAACTAGCCCCTCGAGTAAATTCTGCTAAGGAAGCACAAGCTCGAGGCGACAAAGTGATTGTGATGAAAAGCATACAAGTGAAACTACTCAAATACACACGAGAATTAAATTTCACTGCAAGAAACCAAGCTACAGACACCAGAGCATTTCTAAAACAGCCTGGTAAACATACCTGGAAGCCAGTAGAGGTACTCATACTTCGACAGTCGCCTCTTTATCAGCAAGCCTGAGCCAAACACAGTGGCGAGAAAGGAACAGCGTGGAAACAGCATACAGCTAACAAAACCAAAACAAAAAGCCTAGTTGTATTGTAGCATCACCAAGCAAATAAACAGCACACTCTATTCGTCGCCTTTCACCAAGCAAAGTGAAACCAACACTATGCCAAAAAACCTTAAATACCCCTAAGAATAACCTAGGGAATAAAAACCACCATGGGCCATAAATGTTGCCCTAGCATTACTAAACAAATCCCCCGGAGGCCAAGACTACTTCGCAATACCAATAAACGAGTAACACAAATGCAAGAGAACCACGAGAAAGCGTGGCACATGAGACCAAAAATATGAAAAACAGTCAATAATCAATTCAGGAGTAACAGCCAATGCAAAAGCCCCTCGTTAAATTAACTCTGATTAAATTTCATTTAATCATCATAAAAAAATTTCGAAAAAATTTGAGTCTTTTCCTAAGCCGGTATCCTTTCTTTTTCATCTAAATTCGATCACAATTTAGTTTCAATACATTTTGCTTCTAACCCTTTTCAATGGAGGATTCATCCCAACTTTATTTCATTTCATGCAATGGAAATCATTGATTCTTAGGCAGATTTCCTCAATAAAATACAATGCACTGTTCATATTAATGCTGAACTACAATTAATTTCCAATGCCGTAAATATATTAAATGCAAAGAGAATAATTACAAAAAGGAAGCTTAACAAAGTAAATGGTTTTGTTAAGACAAATATTGACAGCGAAATCTAGTAAAAGTGTTATCAAGTGAGGACTTTTTTAGAAAATTGTATTAAAATGAGATAGGCCTGGATTTTTAAGCATGATTTCTTGGAATCTTATAATAATTAAAAAGAGGGGAAACGGTAAAATATTGCCTGGATGATATAAAATGGCATTGCACGTATGACTGAAACCCCTGTCCACAAGGAAAAGCGATATCCCTTACTTCAACGATTTGAATATCAAAACAGATACATCAAAATAAGGTATTTATTATTTATGAGTATCCAATGGGTCTCACAAACATACGATTTTTCCCTCAAAAAGGTCGTCCAAGTCTTGGAATTATTATTAGTTTCAAAAAGTTAGTTTGTGTTAATTTTAAAAGGTATTTTGGTACCGCTAATCAACAACAAAAACAGAATTCCTATAGCAGTATTTATCTGTTTACAACTGTTTATAATTTTACAATTAATTACCACTGAATTACCACTACCAGATTCAAGCAAGAAAATAATGTTCTAGTGTTGCGTAAATGGCCTAATTCAAGCAATCTTAAAGGATGTGTTCGTGTGAATTATAGAATGATTTCGTTCTTGTAACTTGTACTAAGTTCTTTATGCGGCAGCACAATAGAATTTAAGATGATGCTACCACTCATAGTTGTAACGTTGCAGCCTGCAAACGAAATATTCATATGACTTAAAGATACGAAATGAAAGCCTGTAGAATGAGATTATTTATATTCATGGTTTAGGAAGCAAACTTAAAGAGAATTTTCGTGGATACAATTGCAAGATGGGGGTTACAATTAAATTTGTTAAGAAGAGCAGAGGCCAACAGCTAAACAGGACCAGCCAATATAAATCTAACATGAACAGGAAAAGAACATGATTAGGCCTAAAAAGTGAATGCATTTCACATAATGCTCTAATTCAGTGGCGGATTTAAGGGGGGCAACTAGGGGCAGTTGCCCCTCCCTCACCGAGTTGAAGAAAGTCTGGCGCCCCTTTTTTGGAAATTGTGTGCCTTTTTAGATGAATGAGAAAAAGTTTCTGAGACTTTCAGGTTATTTTACTTCAAAGATTTCCTGAAAGTATACAACAATTATTGTGAACAATTTCCTTACAAAGTGAATACAGCGTACACTAGTCATCAATTTCTGAAAATTTTTCAGCGCCCCCATTACCAACTGCCCCTCCTTTAAATTTGCTCTGGATCCGCCCCTGCTCTAATTAACGATGATATAAGAAAATGTATTCAAAGAAGAAGAGTGAAGCGACGAGAAAAGAGGGAACACCGCCTAATAACATTCACGAACCAGAGTAAGATGCACAGCAAATAGTTGAAAAGAGACACATAAAGATAGGAAATATATAGCAAAGAGGAAGCAGAAATTGGCAGAGGAACCGAAAATGGTGTGAATGTCTTTATCAGAAATGACGTAGAAGCAATCAGATTTAAGGCCTTTTAAATGAAAAATCTGTTATACCGATGTTTTATAAGAAAATGGATTGGTTTCGGAATGACAAGCTTAAGGTTGAAAAGCAAACTAGAAACAGTGCAGTCAAACATACCAAGAACTGTAATCGAAGGAATCAGTTTTCCATCTGATAAGAAAAGCGATTCATTTGGCACTAATGCATGCGGAAAGTTGGCACAAGGTTCTTGCGGTGTTCCTTCAACTCTGGACCATGCACCGACGTAGCACTTCCAGCCAACGATGCTAAACAGCACACAGCTGTGGGACTGAAAGAAAAAACCAATAAATGCGTTTGAATAGAAATACATTAATTCAAGCGATTTGGCATAATTCATTTTGTTACCAAGCTATTACACATGTCAATAAAAGGCAATATTATTCCCTTGAAAACTTTTTGATGGTTAAAGATAGTTGACATGCAAGATAATAGATTCAAGCACTGAAAAATGTATTATGCTCGTTTTAGTGGATGAGGGGATATATAAATTAATATACATACATCAATCTCTGCACCATCAAGAATTATCGACTCTCGTACCCTTGCCCCAGGGCCAATGCGACAGTCCTTACCAATCGTAACATTTGGACCTATCTGTAATGAAAAAAATGAACCAAATAATCAATGTGAAAAAAATCCAAGAAAATATGTTTGGATGGAAAAATGCAGCACCACAGCAAATGATTATATATTGCAACAATAATGTACATTAGAAGTTCAAGATGACATATGCGAGGTTTGTCATGTTCTTAGCCTCAAAACAATCTAGATTAGTTGCTAATCGAAGAAAAACTAATAGGTCACCCGAAAAATTGGTGTCCACAGTGTTGGTCTTTTTAGTTAGAATTTAGATGTCAAGGAGAAACCTTATTGGCAATAAAATTTATCAATATTATTAGAGTATAGGTAAAGTGGAACTGACATATGAAAGAAACAAGACTCACTTTGGCTGTTGGGTGTACTGTAGCAGATGGGTGAATAAATACATCCCCTGTGGAGAAATACATAATGCACATGATTGGTCTGTTGCAAGAAAAATATTTTGGCAGAGTTTTATAACTAAGTTTATGAATGAAGTCAGAAGTCAAAAATTTAGAGCAACACGGTTTACTTCCACAGTTTAGACAGTTTCAATATTCTAAAGTATTGATATCTTGCTTATTGCAGAGTTTCTTGTTATCTGTCCTAGTAGTTTTAAGAAGCTCTTAATCTTTGAACTTAAAATGCTTCTTGGTTGTTACTTGAAAACTGACTTTCAAAAAATAACTTCTTTACCCAAAATGGTTGCCTTTCCACCAGCACTTTCTACTAGTCTCTCCTGGTGATGTTTTCTGTAAGATGCCAAGAACTGCCTGCTTGCATATATTGCTGATCTAGATATGAAAGATTTCATGTCACATGAATGTTTTTGCATGAAAGAATGTCCATAACAAATAACTTATTAGGTTTATTAAAGGAATCAAACTGTAATTATGGCCAATGAAATGTATATTACTGCATTGATATGAAAAGCAAGAGGCAAGTTATATAAAGGAAAGGGGTGTCTTTAATAGATATTTTCAAATGACCACTGTTAACATTGTATTTTCAAAAAAACCTAATGGTATCATAGTTTCACCTTAAAAAAAGAGGTTTAGATACAAAAAGATTATTTACCCTGCACTTTTCATTGAACCCCAAAAAGCATTCTTCATTAGATGCAGAAAAACCTTTCCTTGTCCAGCAAGTGGGGAACAAATGTCTTTACCCAGCATCATAGATGCAGGGTTTGCACTGGGGCCATCATCACTGTAGTAAAAATATAAATTCAAATGAAAGTCTTTTTTATACTAGATTTTAAATTTTGTGGGGGAATTACCACCTGAAATCATACAAATGATTTTAAAATGTTGATTAAGAATTTATGAATTTTGCTCTGAATATCAAACAACTTTATTCAAGAAACAGACTTCACAAATACACAACCAAGAAGCTTTTAATCAGAGCTGTGATGTGTAGTATCTAAGTCAATTGAGTGACCATCTGAAATCACTGTGATTTTCACTTCTGATGTTATTATTTGTTTATTCTGATTAGCCAACTAATGTTCCATTTAGGTCATTTCTCTAGTATCTCTATACTTTCAACAAAAGACACAATAAAAAAGGTAGTGTAAAACTTTTTTTAAAAATTAATGATAATACAAAATGAAACCAACATTTTTTTAACTTTTAATCAAAAATATGTAAAATTAGAATAAACACGAAGTGTGAATAAAAAACAAAATTACTTGACTGTTGTTGACTTTTTCTGGAAAACATCACCCAAGGATTGGAAAATGCCTTGGTCAAATATATAAACACCACAGTTTACAATAGAGCTAACATAGTTTTCTGGCTTTTCAACATAGTGTAGCACCTAGAGTAATATGAGATTGATAATTCATTAAAGAGCTGTATAAATATTTAATCTTGCTTTTCCAAACATGCATAATAAAATTAGGTGTTTGGGAAAAGCCTCAAAAATAAATCAAGATAAGCACAAAGTGTATTAAAAAGTTCATTTTATCGGGATTTGTTTTATCAGGTTCCACTGTATAACTACTTAGCAGTTTTGGCCACCAAAATATTTAGAAGGTCAGATGATCTTTTGCAAGGGATTGATTTGGAATGAACAGTGGTGAAAATTCTGTTTCAATGTAAAAAACAATGGATTGTGTAAAACACACCCTGTGACAACAATATAGAATTCCCATGGCTGCTTTTAAATCCTTTCTTTAAAATAGTTTTTTTAATGTCTAAAGGAATTGTTTCATGAATTTTACATTCAACACTTAGGGTTCACACAAAGAATTAAAAAGAAGAATCAACACAGACCTCTAAAGTGCATGGATCCACCACAATATTGCCTAGATCTGATGTCTGTGTTGGTGCAGCCTGGAAAATAAATGAATATTTATAGATTCATTAATTCCAGCATGCTTATATTTGAAAAAGCCATTAATGAACAATTGTATGATTTTCAAAACATAAATGTAAATTTGTCAGATTAGACAGGTGGATGAACAGTAAAAGGAGAATATGGTCTGATGTTTGCAAAAAAGATTTGATAAACAATTCTTGATAAATTGTGCTAGGCAGATTTAATTTATAAATGTGCTTCGTTGATGTACAAAATATATGGTGATGAATAATGGCATAACATAATTTAATGGCGGTATGTGGAAAATAATGAAAAAATGTGATGTGATGTTACTTTTCTTGTGTGATGTGGTATGGTGTCTGAAACCTGCAGGATAAGTGAAGATGGGATAAAAAATAAGACTTCTGAATGTCAGAATGATTCTAAAAAAATAGAAGAATGGACTTGGTTGACTAAAATTTCATAATAATAGTTACAAGTTTCACAGGCAATAAATCTCATCATTAGATATGTAAATTTGCCAAACTGAGATGGATTAAGACAAAGCAAACATTTGGAAAAACTAAACTTAACCTTAAAGCCAATAAGTACCTGTGTTCCAAGAATAACAAATTTCCCACACTCTTCAGCGTTGATTCTTCTAAAGAAGTCAAGCATGTCGTTCAGTGGAGGGATACAGAAAATGTCTGAGTGAATGACAATGATGGCTTCAGGATTCCCAGCTTGAATCTGATCTCTGAACAAATACAGTCCACCACCAGTACCCAGTGGGTCATATTCTTGCAAATATCTGCAGAAAAACACAAAAAAGTTTTATTCATGTGAATAAATAATCTAACTGATAATGGAATTGTTTCATTTCACAATGTCTAATCATATCACATTGAGATTATGGCATCTGAACCAATATAAACAGAAATTGTGTTTTATTCAGCCATAATTACAGTTATTTTGGTTATGTTTAACAAGCCAAAAATTAACAAATGATATGGAAGGTCTTCATATGATTTTAAAATAACCTAGAGAAAGGTTGCTAAAAATTAGAATGTCTTAGATTTTGAGAGTGGGGGTGGATGTTGGTGTGACACCACTGGACACAGCACATCAGCTTACAGTCCAGACTGGAAACTTATTTGCACGCCCGCAATATATTGGCCCCCAATTAAAACTTTCCATCAGTGCACTTTTGCATATAGGCCACAAAAAGTCCCTATTTAATAAAATTTTTACTGCTATAAATTTCTAAATTTGAGTGATTTCAGGCACACAGTCAGGTGCGTGAATTTGCTTGCATAAGAAACAATATTTCCAGTCTGGCTTATAGTCACTGCTCAATAATAGGAGTCATTGGCAATTATATAATCATGGTATAATTTAGACACCTCTAAAGCTATCACAATATAACAGTTTCGTGCATGGAACAAAAAATCTAGCTTTTCATTAACCTGCAAATATCTGACTTTCAATTTCACACAAACAAAGTTGTAAACAAATCATAGCAACAGTTATAGTTTAAAGTGTTTTTAGTTCTAGATTACAAGTGATAATGTTCTCATTTGAGTGGTTGAAACATCACCTTATTGGTATGTTGAATTCCTTTTTCATTTCTTCAATAAATTTTGCAATATGCTCATTGGACTGATAATATCCAAGCAAAATTATTTCTGTCAAACCTTCTACCTGGAAAGCAAAATAATGAAATGTATCTGATCATACTCATTTTCTATTTGTTATGATCCAGGGCATCGGTAATCATGAAACTATATATCATAATAAGCAAAAGGAACTTTATCATTCTGATAGTTCTGATATTTAGCACAAAATTGTAATTTTCGTAGTAAATAGGCTACTCCTCTTTTAAAAGCTATAGGCCTACGTGGAGAAAGCTATATCTCTTAATGATTGCAATATTTCGGGCTAGCAACAAATGGAGACTGCAATTTCTAGCTAACCTTTGTACATGCTTCAAGATGATGCTGAATCAGAGGAACACCAGCAACTGGAAACAGTGGTTTAGGAACATCAAAAGAAAGTGGTCGAAATCTTGTTCCTGTAAAAATAAAAATCTGTTGATAAAAAAGACGAGTTTAAGCTTTTAATCTCTGTAAGATTTGTCGAGAGGATGAATAAACATCTTGGAAGTCAGTAAAAAGAGTATCTTTGAACTCTTTTGGTATACTAAAAGAAATATATTGGCTGTGCCAATTTGAGTTTGCCTACGTTTTTGATCATTTTAAAAATCCTATTGCCCATGGTTTAGATTACCTATAAGCGAATCAAACCAGTTTTTACCTTTTTGCGGTCCACCAACAACTATCACTGCTTTTACTGGGCCTTTTTGACCTGCCATTCTTCTGTAAAATAGCTAGATCTGATTTACTTTGCTCTTTTGCAGTAAACGTCTTGTTTTCATGAATCCCTAGGCCATACCTGTGATCCCTGTGACTGTTGCTGTTAGATACATGACGTGGCGACCATGTGTCAAGAAGAAAATTTTAACAACTGTGTCTTTAGATCCATTCATTTTAAGTTTACTTTTGTTTGATCGACACCTCTGATAAAAGATAAGCAAAATCTAATGCCAAATTGATGAATGATCATGTTTGAAGACCATTCGTTCTCAACTAGATTATTCTAATGATGATGGCCAGGAGAGTTCACCATGTACCTAGCTAGCTTTTTTTAACTTGCTTCCAAAAATGCAAAAGCACAATAAAAAAAAGCCGATAAGATTTCTGCATACAATTTTATGCTGCATTCAACTTTGTAAGATAACACACTTTTTCTCACAATCGGTACAACACTTTAGTAAAATAGTAGCAAAGTTTTGTTCTCTAAAAGTTGAGTGCCCACAATCATAGTCAAGATGTCACTTCACGTTACTTTTTTTACTCAAACCACAGCCGCAATAATGTACCCAGATATTATTTGTCCTAAACAAGTATCACCACGGAGAAGGGGCTGTGGGGCTATAGCCCCCTACATTTTGTCAAAATGCAAAAATTACCAATGAATCATCAGTCAAGCCACTTTTTATTCGATTTTAGCTCCCCCCCACCTTTTTAGAACCCCACTTTTCTCATCGCTAGGCAGTGCCTGTCAATGTCTTCGAATTACTATAAAAACCCATAACATCCTAAGTACAAAACAAGAAATAGCAAATTTATCTTTGATGAAAGCATTTGTTAAAATATCATCCAATTAAGTTGAATACCACATAACAATACAGATACGGTTAAAAGTGGACGATTTCAAATGGATCATTTAAGCAATAAAAGTTATCATCCTCCTCGAACAAGGCACAAAAACATGTTTATACAGTGTACAAAGTGTACGGAAATATAATACAACATAAATCTTAATTACAAATAGTTACAATTCACAGCAACAGGCCTAACATACGATTGTTCTTGTGCGTAAGTTCTCAATCATTTATGCCTTTCTGCTCCCCTTAGCACTAGGTGGAAGTGCTACGAGTCTTGGCCTAGCTGTTAAGTTAATCTCTCCGTTGCTTGCTTCAGTCATAAGATTGAAAACGGTGTTCTCAAACACTTCATCCAGTAATTTTGCGAACTCTTCAGATCTGCAATTGGCAATGGAAATCGAGCTATCAAAAGATCACAAATAGGAGCTTCATTTTCAAAGCAGATAGTAACTAGGCACATCTACTAACGTGACAACCATAGAATCACAACTTTCAAGAAAAATTAAAAAACTGTTACTCTGATACCAAAATTTCGTCTTTTTCGGTACAGTGCAATATAGAAACAGCTAACTGCAAATCAGTCAAGCTTTGGAACTAATATTGAATCAATGTTGTTTCAAAGCATATACATCTTTCTGCTATTCAACTTTCAATATGAAGTTCAATTCTGGTGTTGCCCGGCCATGTATTCTAAACTACAATTTTAATGTATATCATTAGTGACTACATATACAAGATTCCTTAAATGACCGATAAAGAATTAAGAAATCTCTAGTACCGGGTCAGAAATGTTAACAAAATTTTCACATTTGTGCAAGCTTCAGAAAATAATACTAATATCTTTCCTGAAAAAATTAAAAACGTGATCTGTCTTGAAACATTCCATATTTCTTTTAAACAAAAGTGTATAGCTACTCTAAAAACGACATTACCCTTTCCATGTCTGCCTCTCTCTCAACAGCCGATCAGTTTCATTTGCTTTGGCTCTTTGGTTCTCCGCCATATTGTCCTCGATTGAACTTGTTCTTTCTCCGTTATCTTCAAACTCTAGCTTGCCCTTGAATGTATTCTGTCAAAAAATGAGCTTTTTCTCGGCACAACAAATCTTTTAACCGTGGGAACTTTTACAATGTGAATGTCTGAGCATAAAGCATTTCTTTATCAAGAATTAATCTTCCACTTTTCAATTCTCTTGAATTCCCTTTCCAATTTCCAATTCTCCAATGTGTTTACGTGCGATAAACAAATTGGAAAGTAAAAGTAGACCTTTGTTAAAAAAATGGTCAACTAGATTGCTTGCTTAACTTTGCGACGTTCTCACTTGACAGACAGTTTATCCGTTATGCAGGTTAAAAGCCCCCTAAACATTTACGTTCTTCATAACATAAAATGTGAAGCATACCTGTGCATCTTCTTTGTCCAATTTTTCTTCAGCTTCTTTTTTCTCTAAATGGGGCAGCTCACTTTCAGATTTCTGTAAAACATCAATGAGGTATAATTTTTATACAGACACAGCAGAAACACTGGTGTTAAGCTTTGGGAGTTAAGTTCCTTGTTTCATTTGCTGTGTTTCAATCAACACTGAATGCAAGGTTGGATGCTATGTTAAATCTTAAGTCCTCTGACATTTTAACAAGGAACTTCAAATTACTTAAACTACTTTAATGATTTATTTCATTGCAAGTTACAACACAAAAATCTGAAGAAGGGCTGCACACAAATATTTCTTATGTTTACACAAATCACATGACTTTTTTTAAAAATCGTTTCACAATATTTAGCATGAAAGTTGGGTCCATTTTTCTTTAAAATGTTGAATATATGACAGTAACAGATGAACATTAAATACAGTACCATTTCTTGCTCCATAGGTACTGCAGCCGCAACTGTAGCCATTGTCATTTCACAGTCTTCAGCATCATCGCTGCCATCCCCTGTTATCATACCAAAATATGGTACAGGTTCATCTCGAATTTTCTTTATAGCCACCGCAAAGTCTTTGTCTTCCAAAAGATCCCTTTATAAATGCAGGAGAAACATGACATCAATTTCTTAAAAATTCAATTATAAACATTGCTTCTTACCGAGATTTATTACCTATAACAAACTTAATTATCGCAAGGAACTAATAGCTTTCGAAGACCATAATAGCATTAAGGAACACAATCAAACTCATATTGTTGTCCTAGTGAGCAAAGATTCATTGACAAAAAGTCTCTACCTTCAGAAGTCCTGTGTATCATAGTGAACGTGGCTCAACAATAAGTACAGGAGCCTAAAATTTATTTCACGGCATTACGCAGATCTTTTTAATTGTTCTTCTTCTACAGAAATGTCGTTTAAGACAATGATTAGCAAAATATCTAAGACAATGATAAGGTCCAAGAAAAATGTTCTTACATAAGAATGAGAGGCATGATGCTGGCCATCACGTTGTACTCTTCTTTACTGCAATTCCTCTTCTCGGGTTTATTGCTTTTGGTTAATTTAGCATCATGTGAAGTGCTTGAAGATAAAAAAGAATTATGAAATGGCCCCTGATAATAACATTAGACATAAAATTAACAATGCCAAGATCCTCAGGAATTCCTAAAAGGTTATGGTAATCCTAACCTCCCTCCCTAAGGTATATATGAAAGTTGTATATTTGAAGAAGGTTATCGCGCACCCTCCACCCCCCCCCCACCCTACAAATTAAAACATGCATGCTACTCTATACTTTATATATAAAAACTTTACATTTGGCCATATACCTTCAAAGGAATATTATTTGCATTCAATTAATCTGAAGAAGCTCGGGGCAGAATGGAATTATAATATATTTAACTTTGAAGGGAAAAACAGCATTTGAAGTACCAACCTCTGTATGATGTATTGGTCTGCAACGCTGATGAAATTTGATCTAAATTCTTCAATTGAATGCGTCCTGGCAGTGACACCCATATGAACAGGAAATGTATCAGGTGGTAAGGGGTGTTGTTCAGTTCCACTATCGTTTATGGTAGAGTTTGTTTCCAGCCCGATTGGTGGCAGGGCATCGTATTTCTTGAGATCAGAATCCGATCTGTTCAGTTTATACACTGCATCAATCGATCTAAGTTTACTGGGTCCCGAGCCAGGTCGCTTGTTAGCTGCTTCAAGATCTGATTCTTTTATTGTAAAATGCAGCTTCTTTTCTTCTTGTTTTCTGTGCCACTCAACCAGTTCTTTGTTGTATTTTGCCATCAGAGTTTCATTCACCACCTAAAAAAGATGCAAAAGATGCGTTATATCAGTAAAAACACAAGAAGGCAACAGTTATAAAAAACATTGGCATGATAAAAAAGCCAACGGGGAAATTGAGTGTAAAGTGATTATACAATAGAATTCTGCGAGAGGTAATAGCTTCAATGATTCAAAATAAAACGTTATTATAGCATTTATACGTGTTTAAGGGAATTTCCATTGAGTTTTTTCTCTCGTGATCTGACTGCAGACGAAAAATCTTGTTTAATTCAATGATTATTACTAGTAAAAGTTTCAAAGGAACTGGGAATGAGTTGCCTGATGGTTGAATAAAGCGTGTTGTAACTGTCCTGAGCTATACACAAAACCTCTTGCTAACGTATATATAAATATGCCAGGCATACATAATGTGGATTTGCTTTTATGCTACAGAACTAGTTGAAATATATGAAGGCAGAATAAGAAATGAAGTACCTCGCAAACACAGTCAAGATCGTAGATGGCTGGTGGCCCCTTTGATAAAAATGTTACCTAAAAACAAAATTTCAATCAATACAGTATTACATCACAATACAGAAACAAAACAATTTTGATGAAATAAGACTTTAAATTTAGATTTCTAGTAAACATACCTTGCAAATGGAAGACTCCGAAGGCTCAATGTATCCCTGCGCTGGTTCAATGGAGATAACCTAAAATACAACAGAACTGGTTGAAAGAGACAGCTAATTAATACTACTTTCTTTCCTTGTTCTGTCATAAAATGTTTTTACAGACCTACATGTCTTATCATACAATAAACTTCATAGCCTGTCTGGTATGGCAACTATGAGGATGAACAGGCAAAAAAGCAAGATCAGAGATTTTGGAAAAGTTCTGTGTACAAAAAATATACCAGAGTAAACCATCTTATCAAAAATTATGAAATGTACAAATTTAAGTAAAAAACAAGGATAGCATAAAGCTGCCCAAAATAATTAAAAACATTAAAATAAATATATATAAAAAACATAGAGCAATGCATTGTATCGAGATATTGCCGAAAACAAAAATTAATTAAACCCTTCTGTGTGCAGATACTTCACTAGGTTAACAGGTCTTCTCCAGATTTCTCTACTAGATATATACTTGACATTGGAATCGCCATTCTGAACTTATGCTACTCAAAAATGTTTCTTTATTCTAAAAACCTACTTCAGAAACAGGGGATTTCTCCAGCAGCCATCGAAATGAAATCGCGTACGTTGTTGACACGTTCTTCAAGAACAGGACACGTTTAACCGCTGACAACAAAGGTACGTTGTCAAATGACAGTCGCTCTTCTGATAAATACATCAACTGGAAAAGAGCATGAAAATAAAAGAAATGGAAGGTAACTCCTGAACCTTTAAAGTAGGTGTGGAAAATCATAAGACATCCAAAATGTTCCTGGAATTTATCAAACATTAGTTTCAGAGACCACGGAAGGAGTGGGGTCAAGGGGCTTAGCCCCATATAATTCCCAAAATTTACTAAAAGAAATTAAATGAATCATCTTTCTGTTGGCTTTTAGCACACTGAGAGCCACCATTCTCCCCCTGAAAAAATGTTTTAGTCTCCTCAATCTGAACAAGCTCTTAAATCATTGCTTATGTAGAGGCGGTTTCTGCAATCATGAAATACTTTATATCAATTTAAAAAGATAACAATTTTATAGATTGAGTACCTGTTCTGCAACGGGAATAAGTTGCTTTTTAGGAAGTGTACCATCGTTCTGGTCCGCTAAGTTCATAGTAGGCCCCATCACTGACTGTTCGTAACCAACTCCAGTGAATGTAACAAAATTGCTCTCACCTCCAATTACATGAATCATAACATCAACCTGGCAAATAAACAGTTTATTTTTTATTAGTGTTAAAAATTGCCTTTGAAAAGTGGATGCACTTTAAAGCATGATACTTTTTAAGAAGTTTTTCATTTCTAGCTTGTATTTTTTTCCAGTCAGTCGTGGCCTGAACAAGCTCAGCTAATACGATTTCGTGCTCACATTCTAAGCCTTTAGATACTTTCTCAAACAAACAAAAAAGGAGAATTCTACATTTGCACTACACTGTCTTTGTTCTGCCATCAAGATTAAAAGATTGACTCCAACAGTGCCAGTTTGAACGCATTTTTTCAATAATTAGGTTAACCTTGGAGATTATAAGAAATATTTCCAGGATTCTGAAGAAAAAATATAGAGGATTGTATCGAAGATCAAAACAGGGTGGTCTAAATCATTAATCAAAGCATTTTGTACAAAGTTATTATAGGAAAGTGATATTTTTTCTAAATCACTTACAGAATACATTTTTGCTTCCAGAGGAGAGAATATCCATGAAATAAATATGGTTTCACCAGGATTAATAATCCCTGTTGGGTTAAGACATTCAAATATCTTCCATCCACAATTTTTCTGAAATAAAGAAACATTGCTAGAGATAAATGGAAAAGTAACATAGTAAAGAAACAACGTATTATTGTAATTGGGAAATTCAGCGTCTCAGGTATGTAATATCAGGATTAAGAATAATCCTGGAAAGTGAATCTCGATCGAATCATTTGTCAACATGTGTTTTAGTGGTTGTATTGGGATAGTACTGGCTGGTTTAACTATTTGTAGTGATAAGTCTTTTGGTTCAGTGAAAAAAGCAAACTCAGAATTGAATCAACCCATAATAAAATTGCTAGCAATTTTTTTGTTTGATAAAAATCAGGTCTGCAAATTCCAGTAAACAAATATAAGTATACGAAAAATTTATACCATGAAAAATAATAAATTTTCTATTTTTCAACCTATTTGATAACAGCAGGTTGAACTACTGAACACCGCATACCTCTTGTATTTCGTCTAATGGGGAGACATCTAGCTGAAATTCGACAGGCTGTCCACCACCATTATGCAGTGGAAACATCTGAATGGGCGGGGTCTTCTTCCCAACCGGTATAGGGTCAAACATGTGCTTTGTGTTCGAAAAATGAAGATATCGTTCATCTGGAGACACTGTGTGGCCGATGAAATTGAGCTACATGAAAAAAGACAGCAAAATGTCAGGAAGCATGTAGCAAAACTAGTGTTATTAAACATGGTAGCTCAACAAGGAGGGAACCATAATGATGATAAAAAAGCGATTACGATGAGTTTGGGAAGATAATCACTTCAGAATTCAATTTGTTGACACATCAAGGTGTCAATTTAAGTTTAAATCTATGATCAAAATCTATCTTTACTTTGAGTGGACAAATTATTAACAGAAAGAGTTTTGTAGAAACTAAATGTCACAGATTAATCTATCACTTATTTCTCGATGGTTAAGTATTTCATCAAGTTGTCTGGAGCATCACAGGACTACAAACATCTAAAACATGCGATCAAGAGCCAGTTCAAATAAATAGACAAAAAGCAATTAAGATAAAGATGAATTAACGTTTTTGGTAAGTGACAGAACTGGACATTACCAGAATTTCTCTGCCTCTGGAAACTTTAAAAAGCACGGGTAGTCGATGAACACCAACTGCTGAATGGCTGCAAAAAACAAAAAGAGGTAACACTTAATACAAAAATTCGTCTAAATTTGACAGGCAAAAAACACATATTTGCATTCAAGTATGATTGAGATTGATAGCTACCTTAAGTAAATCTTATTCAAAGAAATTGTTTTGACATTGCTTATCTCAGTGGTGATAACGGGAATAGGGTTAAACTTAAAGTGTTAACGTAATTTTATCAATGCGCAAAGAAACTAAAATGTTAAGCAAAAAAGAGTTAGACCTTAATAAAGGTGATACGATGGACTAGGAACCGATATGACGTAAGAGAGATAAAGAGATGCATTGCATTACAGCTACCTGTAGGCCAATGAGACGACTTGAGATTCTCCAGCAAATAGCTTGCCCTTCTTCGGATGTATACTGAACAAACCTTGGTCCAGAACAAACATCTAATAGGCAACAAGGGAAGGCATTATAAAATAATGTAACACAAAAAGTTGAAATAAAAAAGCTGAATTAGTTGCTCTAAACCAATCCACCTTAGACTTAATAATTATATAGAGCGTCTTTCAAAAATGAACAAAGTGCAGTGATAAACCAAGAAGTCATTACCTCGTGCAACTCATCGTCATCAAACTCTCCTGTTTGTGCCCAGAACTCGATATCAAGTTGAAGATCAGTTGGAAATAAAAAGTTCCTATGATGAAAAAGAAAAAACTAAGCGTTATTTTAGAGAATCAGTTGCACGTTTCTTTGTGGTATAGTAATTGAAATGTGTGCAGGAAAAAGCCGGCAGGACTGACCTAACAGAATTTGAAATAGTTCCTTTTCCAGAAGAAAAATGCATGTGGTAATTTGCACACATGCTGCTACAAGAAGTTACTCTGTTATAAAGTATTGACTCAAATTATCAAATAACCTAAGTAAAGTTGCAAGGAGTAACAACATTGTATAGGAAATACTTTAATCCAAGTTGAAAGAAATTTACATAAAGACAAAACACATACCATTCGACAATAGCACTGCCAGTATTCTGCAAATTGATCAATACTTGGCATGATTCTGATAGATGAGGAGCTGATCCAAAGTTGAAGTCTAAAACCGCTCTGGTGTGCACTGGCATACGACGTCTAGTGCTGAAAAAAAAACATACCAAAAAGAATTTACATCAGGAAAAATATAGATGTACACAAAACTCCAGGATGAGCCTTTCTAAATAAATACTAAAATATACTATTGTACAGCACATTGTAAAATATAGATGACATGGGTATATTCTATCCAACATTTGAATATACATTACCTGTGTCTGGTTGGCACTTTGTAAAGTAGTTCTTGTGATCCAGGGTCTGCATCCAGACAACTATTAAACCTAAAGAAGGATTGAGCAGGCAGCTAAATAGAAGGTATGAACGGGAGCCGAAAAAAATTACTTGAAACTAGGTGCAACAGTTATCATCACCAAGGTAACATAAGCTGAAATAACATTTCTGATGGGCAGTACTATGCAAATTACTCATTAAAGTTTAAGCAAAACAAAAAACAACAACTTCGTCGAAAAATCAGCTGATGAAATCATTCTTACCTATCTATCGATAAAATATTCCACAGGCGCTTCCGACTGTATCCTTGCACACATCCTAAGCCTCTAACATCGTTAATTGCCAGGGTTGGGTAAACACCTTTGACTACGACCGTACAAAGACATGTAAGCTCAACTGCTTTATGGGATGACGCGTTGTCACTTTCTAAAAAATGAAATTATGGAACGCGTCAACCTAAGATGTTATCATGAGATTCATTTGTATCTTCAAAAGAACATTATCAATGGGATATTTCAAATACAAAACAAATGCAAAGATATACCCAAGAATTAGAATCATTGCAATCAAATGAATACAGTCACAGGCAAATAAAAAGGAACTTTACAATCCAATGAGCGATAGGCAAAAAGTGGCTTGCTTTTTCCATATTAACAAGGCCAGAATAACTTAAAAATTATTGTAGCTCACTTTATAATTTATAGAACAATTTATAAAACTCGATGTATAGAAACCTTACCAGTATCTTTCGAGGACATGAGCTGGCATAGAATCTTGCAAACATATTTGCATCTTTTGGTAGGTTGAATTTTAAACTCGACGGATTTTCGTGATCGGGCAGGAAGGAATCCTTTTGCCTCCCCCAACTCTAAGGCTATAACAAAAATGGGAACATGCAGGAAACAAGAAACAGAGTAATCTTTAACAAAGGAAGTGCTGACAGGGACTGTTTTCTGATTCAGGCAAAACATATTGCTGCTGTAATTACCTTTGGAATCCTTATGCAAATTCTGCTCAGAGAAAGATCCAACTTCTGTTTCATCCACCACCAAGGTATAGTGCAATCCACAGTCACTTTCATTTTGAAGACTCACACTTTTACTAACAGTGATGCCAACAACGACATTGCCAAGATCTAATTCTTCTGGATAGCACTAAATAAGTGACAGCAAGCTAACATTACAAAATTATATATGCGAGTGATTTCATCAATAAAAAAATGATTTCTGGTCGGATTTTATTGCAGAATTGCAGTACAGTTACTTGAAATTAGAAAAACCGTCTCATTAAGCACCTAATGTTTATTTTTGCAAAAAAACATTCAAGATAAACAGGCGCTGAATGCATAAAGATTTGAGTTCCAGCCCCTCAAGTAGAACCTTTGGGTCTACCCTGATGTTTTATCCAATCAAGCATTCTTCTTAAAACGTATCAATATCTACGGCAACACACTTAAGAAGATTGGCACCTTGGTCTCTTAAAGGCTTCAAAGGTATATTCAAGATATTCAAGTTGCTTAGCAACTTCAAGAATGAACTTAATGATCTTCCATTGATGTCAATGCTCCAAATCCCGATAGCATACAGAAATGCGCTTTGAGTACTATCAAATTTGCCTTCATAAAAAATAACTGACCGTTTAGATTCAAATTATGGCATTTCATGAATAATACTTACAGAAAGTGAGCCCATTTGACCTTCGCCAATAAGTCGAAGAACAATTGCCTTCGCTGCTGTATCAAATCTATAGAAGACAGTGTATGATATGAGATTGTTGCAGGATTGACCAAACTGCTAGATCAATGAACACTCTTGTTTGCAAATCTGTCAAAAATTCTTCATACAGCTGTTCAAAGCTGTTATTTGTATGGTGAGGTTTTGTCGTAATAAAAATTGAAGAATAGAGAAGGAGAGAGGAGAATAGGGAAGGAGAGAGAGGAGAACAATGAAAAACAGTGAAGAATTGAAAAGGACGGTATTCAGTTCAACTCTAAATAACTATTCGGAAAGCTTCACAAGTCTACAGAACCACGTAATCGTAGTTAAAGATCTTGATTACCAAAACAAAGCACATAATCAGTTAAATCGAAGACCTAACGTGGCAAAAATAATCTATTTGTTACAAGAATAAAAAAAGAACAGGCATTTTTTTAAAATAAAGGAATCGAAAATTTTGTAAAAGCAAGTTGTGAAAATTTTAACTTACTGTCCGTCGGGAGAAGAAGCAACAAGTCTCACTTTAAAAAGTTGTTTGCCTTCTCTGTTCGGTTTAAATTTCCAATTATGTGTCTAGAATTTAAAAATAACAATTGGTAACTATCTAGATGGCATTGAATGACGGTAACAAATATAAGAAATCATCATGTAAGGCATTCAACGTAAAAAAGTTTAATAAATATAAGAATCTCATAGAAATGTAAAGGAACCTGGGGGCCGATAAAAATATTTTGAGAGACTGTTACCTTAAGTGAGACAAATTATCGACAGATTTTCTTAAGTCGGTGCTAGCCATATAAGGAAATTCAAGAAACCGTATCAAAGCATCCAAACCAAACCCTTTAAATATTTTTGAAGATTTGCTTCCTAACTTGTACACACTCAAGAGATATGTGTACATATCCATGGCTGCGATCATTTGAACACAATATTAGTGTTTCATATTTATTAAGGATGAAATACATCAGTAAAACGCAGTAAGTATGTGTATCTAACGTAAAAGCATAAACTCGCCTGTACTTCATTTGAATAAATTATCCCACTTGAATTTTCGACAGAAAGTTGGTCTTTGTCGGTTGTAAGAACTTTCCATTCGAAGCTGACAAAAGTATTAATATCACAGTATGAAAAAACTGGCTGAAAATGGCTTTAGGTAAAACAATTGATTCTCTTTGAAAAACACACATAAGCAATAGAAATACTTGATTTGTCATGTAAGTCATTGAACATACCGTAAAGGAATCCTGCACGGATTCTTTAGAGAAACTTTCAGTTCAGATGTCGTACCAACGTAGGTGGGTTGAAAGTAAACTGCTCCCTGCATAAAAAAAACGCTAACTAACGACTAATATCATTGAAATTTAAAAGAATATTTTCCAGAATTTGATGAATACTGAAGAGATATAAAGCTTTTCTAATAAGGTTATCAAAAGGTAGGAAATAAGACATACGGCGAAATTAGCAAATGTGAAATCAGTATATAGATTTAATGTCAAGAAAATAACCAGTTAGATATAAAGATGAAGAAATAAAGGTAATAGGTGAAAAAAGACAAACATTGGCTTGTATTTGCAAATCTGGGATTTCAGCAGATGCAGCAAGATTTATATCCTGCAAATAAAGAAAACATACATGATATGCTAACTTGCACAAGACATTTTAATGAGAACAATTTTTTTGCGGTACAGAATTTGAAAATGGCTTTGAAAAAAGCAAACATTTTACGACATACTAAAAGCTTTTTCGTCTGACACTCCTCAGAGCATAAAACGTCAGAATAGGTAATTTTTCTTTAGGCTCGCGGCACTGATTGGTCAACTATACCGGTCTTGTGCTTGCGTTTTTCTGATTGGCCTATTTCGATCCACAACTGGGCATATATTTTCCATCTTGTTCTTTTGGAACCTATTCTGACGTTTTATGCTCTGATGAGTGTCAGACGAAAAAGCTTTTAGTATGTCGTAAAATGTTTGCTTTTTTCAAAGACATTTTAATGACAAAAGATTGATATTCTAATTTGCACAAGACATTTAAATCACAGCGCATTGAGTTGTGAGATTCGCATAGAGTCGCATCTTTCACAAAGAATCTCGATGGATAAATATAGCATGGGAAGAGTTGCAAACTGGTTTATTTATTCCATTGTTACTTCAAAAGCTGGAGTTCCCACCTAACCGTATTTGTTCACGAACCACTTTTTCACGAACCCATTCTGTGGCCATAGCAACATAATTTTATGTACAGCACAACCAATTCAAATTTAGTTTAAACAGACCTATTTCGCAAACTGAAAGTTGAATCGAACCAAACGTGAGAATAACTATTTCAAAATCAATAGTGACTTTTTTCCTAGATTTAAAAAGTATTTTCGGGATATTGTTGGTGACTGTCAAGGTATTACCTTTGTGTATTTTTCAGAAGCATTGATCCTGCAAGCGAGGCTTTTGGTGCAAGTCCCATAATCATCGGGCGTGTATCGGAAAACTATAACCTGCAAATGAGATTGTAATGTTATATTTCGGAACATTAATTTTTAGCAATCATTGTCATTATTATTCGTGATGGGGAAAAGGGCACCGTCGACACACGAAGTCGCCCCTTTTTATAAAACAAGCAAAAAGCCTCCTTAAAATAATGTGTCTTCCAAAAATGTTATTTTTTCCTAATTTAAAGGACTTTAATACAAATTGCTAATTTTCAATAAAAATTTTGACTGGCTTGAAATTCAAAATGACAAATTACAAATCTCTCATCAACCACCAATTAATGTAGCGTCAAAGTGACCCCCATAGTGACATTTATAACAAAAAGAACAAGTCAGGCAGTGGTCCTTCGCACACCTATAAACATAAGAATCAGTTGAATTATCTTGTTAAAGAACATGGATTGCACAAGGAACAGCTAGTATTTATCAGATAAAAACGTTTGCTTACAGCAATTGATAGAAAAATCAATGAATACGCATTCCAAGATCCTTTTGCTGGTTATGTATAGATTTCAAATGCATAACACAGTATGAAAGCTGAATGAGGATGGTTTATGATAACATACCTGGAACTGATCTTGCAGAAGACCTCTTGCTGGTTTGCAACTAAAGGCTCTACAAACGAGTACACATCGAATATTGAGATATGGCCTTTAGACTATTTTTAAACATAAAGTTATTACGTTTTAATAAAAGGCATTGGTTTTGGATGCTATTGAGTTGCGACCAACTTGGCAAAGTCTTGCTATATCTGTCAAGTGGCATGTAGGCTAGGGGTTATCCGTTTGTACACACGTTAAAAAGTTTATAAGAAATCTCTAGTAAATATGTAAGGGCACAGGGTTTTTTCGTATGTAATGTATCATACCCTGCTCATTTATCAATTAAGAACACCATACATAGAAAACACCAATATTAATAGTTTTTTGCCAAAATAAAAAATTTTACAAGAGTGAGCAATTGACGAAGTCAGGTGTAAGGACAGAAAGAATTCGAAACGTGAGACAAAGAGGGAATGATAGAAGGTGTTTTTTCTGCATTCTAGATAAAAGACAGAAACAGGTAAATTTTTGTAAGTAACTTTTAGAATTATAAAAAAGTCAGGAAACTTTAACTATCATTAAGAGACCATGAATTAGTAAAATATCTATCATTCAATCTTGGTCAAGGCTGTAGCTTACGATTTACGAATAAAGAATTATTAAAACAAAGAAACTAGAATCACCTTGATTCGTCTTCGTCAAAAGCAAAATCCACTGGATTCTTCCCGTTGTTAGTTAACAACAAGGTTTTGTATGAAGAGTTGATTGTCGTCACAGGTGAAAATATCTGCAAAATTTATTCATTGGTAGATGAGATAAAGTTAAATATTTCCCAAATTCTAGAAAGAGCCTACTATTCGTTGTTCATTAACAGCAAACCACTTTAGTATTTTTGATCTATTCTTTTGATTTTTGAATGTACTCTAACTCTATTCTGAGCTTATTTTGCAAAGCTAGAAATGTGATAAAAGTATCGTGAAATGACGGTTCGGCAACTAAAGATCAAGCGATAACCATCAAGAGAGTTTTTAAAAGAGACAAACTACTAGAACATTGTGATAAGGATTATTCGATATTTTCGATTAATTGTCAACACAATTATCATCTGAACTTTTCTAGAAGACTTCAATCACCGAGTAAGGTAACTATAGCTAAAGAATACAGAAATATGAAACAATACAATGACAAAAATCAAAGAAAATCTCGAACGTATCTGTACTGTTAAGAAAAAATAAACACAAAATTGTGTTAATCGTTGCGTAAAACTAAAGGAATTTGATAACAAATAGAAGATGCAAAAGTAGTTTTAATTTGGCTGACTGAATAGAGTTATCTCAACACAGTTTTGTCCGTGATTGCAGTCAAACTAGAGTAGAGCTGAATCTTATTTAAAGATCAGTAAGTTAATTACACATAAGAAGAGATTTTTGCAAGACTGGCATGCTTAAGAAGCTGGAAACTCACCAAATTCCTCGTGTTGAATTCGCAGTCAGGTAAAAACGTTTCACTCTTTTGAGGAAATGTATGTCCTACGGTGATAAAAGAAGAAAAACACTTGTATTACTAAGTATCAAGCATTTAAAGAACTCAATAAGTACGGTAAAAGTAAGCAAATGTTTCTTGTTAAAGGAGCCAGTTAAGCAAACCAATCGATGCTATGTTGATACGAGACCAAACATGATTTAACAGGCAGCTACTAAGAACCGAGGAGTATGAAATATTTTGAACTTTAAGAATAATCAATTCATAACTAAAATAAGTCCCATATGAGAAAAAACCTAACCTGAAACTATTAAAAAGAAACATTTTTTCCTCAAATAAGAGAAGGATTGCTATCTTGTTTTAAAATAAATTTTCCTGATAATTTGTTTTTTTTCAACCCACTTGTATGAAACAGAAAAAAATTCTAGTTTGCCAATTTAAGAGTTAAAGAAAAAAAGTTCTTATGTGCAAAAAGATTGGTTTTAAAGTCATTTGATTGCAACGATGGCTCTTTTTATGACTGCACGTTGGAGTTGAGAGTTCTTTCACACCTGTAGCTATTGTTGTTAAACACCAAGGAGGACACATTGTGGCATCTTCCACGAGTCGATGGTCTCTCATGCTCTGAAAAGTCGAAGACACTCGAGTGGTCAGTATGACAACCGTCTTTTGTAAAAGTAGATAGTAAACAGCATTGAAAAGACATATTCTTACATCTAGACAATTCAACGGATGTCAATCTCTATAAAATAGGATGTCAATTATAGGATTGTAAGTATATCGAATCCTACAAATAGAATGTTACACTTTTCGTGACGAGAGTCAGGACTGGACAATGTCTGGAAACTCTTTAGAATCAATTAACAAATGTATCATTTTGATTTATAACTTTACCTTATAGAACGCAAATCCCTCAACCTCTGCAGAAAAGAACTGCCCGGAAACAGTCTAGAGAGGAAGTGGTATAATATAAGTACAGCCAAATTACAATTTGGCGCAAATGAAGAACCAGTTTAATTTAATTGTTTCTTGGAGATACAGTTACAAAGATATCTGACTTAACATATCAATAGTGATCGTTATAGATACAAACAAGCTGTTTAGTTTTTTCCCTGTTGAATTTCGCTCTTGTTTCTGGTCTAAGAAGCAAAATTTTCATTGGCAAAGAAAAAAGCTTAAAAGAAATAATTATCCAGCGGAATTAGTAATAAGTTCGAAACAACGCATGCCTATGCTCTTTGGATATGATTCAACTAAACATAGTTACATTTTTTACTTCAGAGGGCCACTTCTGTAAGCTACAGTTAGACTGCTACTTCTGAAAAATGGGAGCCTGTGCCCCCTGTGTTTTCTCTGCTTAAATATCTTTTACTGTGAATTTAAAGCAGCAATAGTATCTTGTAGAAAACCATATTAAAACAGAAAACTCACTGGCTTGAATCTAATGCTAAAGGAAATGCTTTGCAGAGGTAAAATGTCAGACTCTGATGGCTGGACTGAGAATGGGTTGCCTTTCTTGCCTGAAATTAAAAAAAAGATTGCTTCAAAATCGAATGAGCTGTCATAATATCACAATCGTTGTACAGTGCGCCTATTAACCAACTTCGTTAAATAAGATGTAACGTCTTCATACACATAACTCAACATTCTCCTGTCATCATTCTAACCAGCTCTGAAATTTCGTTATTTTCTTAAATAAAAAAGTTGAAGTAATAAGAGGCCTTACAAGTTCATCGTAAGACCTTTGGAAAAATGAAAGCAAATTTCAGCAGGAAGATATTGACAACAATAATTTAAAAACAGAAAAAGCATCCATTATTTCGGTAATTTTGCAGCTATCTAAAGGGCATAAAAAGCATATTCAATTGCAACTAGCAGATGACGATTTCATTACAAACCAAACATTTTACGTCCAGAACCTTAATGGTCTGTCCAGAACCTTAATATCTAAGACAATACCAACATATTGTCGATAAAGTCGTCAATATGCCCTCCATAACAACCTTCATTTTTCATTATTGATTAAATTCGAAACCAGTAACTCTATTTGGGTCTAAGATTATAAGCAAAGCCCGTGGTTATTAGAACATTTTTGTCAGCTTTTGTGCCAGATTTAAATATTTTTAGTATGGTTAGTTTTGTTACTGTAATGTCCAGCCACAAAAAATATTATACAAAAAATTCTGATAATCTGACGAGGTATGGCCCATTTTGTAGGATCTACCTCTTGCTTTAAGAGGCAAACAGAAAATATAATTGGCAGGAAAATGGGATTTTATCTTATACATTACACTATTTACAGAGTACAAATATAAAGGCATGTTAAAAGATTGTCTAAAATTCAGTCTACTATATTTTCATTATAGGAAATCATATAAAACATCTCAAAAGGTTCCTAATACATACCCGAGTTCCATATACAAGAAACTTTCCCTTGAGTATGGTTGGTGACGTTTATTGTCTGGAGAAAACAAAAATGTTGATAAAGTGTTCCCTTCCCAAGCATAATGGGAAATTAAACTTGCAGGTATGCAGTTATTTATATAACAGAAAATATTTATAAATAAACATCCTTTTTCTGTTTTTTCAAGTTTAAATTTGCGTCAGAAACAACAAACAGATTTCTTGCATGCAGATGTTATATTAATAGGAAGACTTTCAGACAAATTGCAAGCTTTCCCTCTGTTCTCATACTTCAGTTTCACAACAGCTCTCAATTTTTGAAACATTCAAGAAAATATACGTTTTTAATGTATATACAGCAAAGTATATAGAAAAATAGGAAAAAAATATTTTCATCTGCTTTACCTTATGATACACTTGTCCGGGAGTGCATCTCGAGAATTCCACGGAACGAACATCAACACAGATGTGAGGCACTGTAGTTGACTGGCAAAATACAAACAACTACGATTAACTTTGAAGCGTTAATGCAGCTTAAGGTTTTGAGCAAAATAATGATTTAAAGCAGCTATATTCATCATACATGCCGCACCGATGAAAGATAAATTTTATAAAGAAACACGACCAAAAATGTTATCATAAAGAGTTACACAATACGCCTGGCAATCTGAGTTCATATTTCAATATAATTCAAAACCACGGTGTAATGAGACTTCCATATAGCGATACCTCCCGATAACGGACGACGCTAAATGACAGATAAAGTTACCCATTGTTGCTTTTAAACAATTGAAGAAATTAATAAAGCCGAGAACCCACTCTGGAGAGTGATTCAGGGGCCGGATCAGATCTTGGGTTGTGCAAGTAATTTTGTGACAGGAATTATTTAATCCGTGACAGGGCGAATCAACTCAATCCGATCCGATTCGCAAATCACTTTCCAGGATGGGTTTCCAGCTAACAGGCCATCTTCCTACATCAAACAATAGCTCTTTTCTTCGGGGATCCGTTATAAAGAGATTCCCCTTTAATCCTTGGACCATAATGCAATTTGAGTCATCTCAAAATTCAAGTTAAATTTAGAGTTATATGAACCAGCTTCTCTGAATGGAGTTATCATTTCCTACCAATTCGTCAACTGTTCCATCATTGAAGAATTCTTCCATAGGTCCATCTTCTACTTTTGAAAATACCAACTCGTCATTTAAAATATCATCTTTGACTTCTAAACACCCATCCTCCCCAACAAATATTCTTTCATCCTTCAACCAACTTCTCAAATCCTTAAGAAAAAAATTTGCATAAATTAACTCTTGGATCACGAAACAAAGATGGATAACGAGCTGTGTATAAAAAGTATATTACACGGTTTGTGCACGATGCCTTAATCGATTTGGTTCCTAGAACAGGACGGTTCCTAGAATCCAATCCATGTTTCGCGTTTAACGCGATCAATAGACAACTGTTCTACTGCAGATTTCAAATGTCAATTTTTAATAGTTACACTATGCTTCATAAATTTGCAAATGTTGAACTATTTTGACAGCTCTTCGATTATCTCGCCATTTTGGAGTGTCAATATTGGAGGTTAAAATTTAATACCGAAATAAAAAGATGATGGCTTAAGAATATCCGACGTATGCTGAAGAAATTTTCGTTGAATATATACAATTATTGAGCTTTTATTATCACAAAAATAGCAAACAAACGAATAGATTTTTTGGGTTTAAAAAAGTAATATGTAGAAAGGAAAGATTTTTTTAGGAATAATACTCTATTCAATGCAGCTTTTAAAGTAAAACCAAATATTTTTAAATCTAAGTTATAAAAAAAGTTAAAAAGGAGAAACCTCTGGAGAGATGCGTGATAGTCCCCTTGTTTTATGAATGTCATATCTTTCAATATGCTTTTTCTGCAGGACTCCTAATGGGAAAAAACTATTATGTCAAAAAGATCGGCAGGCCGGATCGAATAAATGAATAATATTCAACTTGAGTCTTTGCACCTGCGTTGCTCGAAAGGTTTAAAGAAAAAATAGAAGCTTAATTGACAAAGCAGATTTGCAAAAAGATACATTTCAACGCAAAATCGCTTCAAAAACAGCATCAGGTCCAAACAATCTTTAAGCTCCAATTTAAATTGCTAGAATTACGTGGAAACTAATGGAACTTCGATGGCGAAGGTGCAGGTGTAGAAATACAAAAAACAATCTACATAACAGCAGATGGCTCGTGAAAATGCACCTGGTGTTATTTGATCTGAGTGGCAAGTACCAAAGAGATCCAGATAAAGAGGATCCTACGAAAAAGTGAATCGTATTAATGGTCTTGACATTGATCTTGCGACTCAGCAAATGTTAAAGATGACCTAAGGAATTGAGCAAATCCAAGGAAGGCAAGAAGCAAGCACGTGCACGTATATAGCATGGGCAACTGGCACCCATTGACGTAAAACTAAAGAACACAAAGATTCAGATAAAATACTAGATTGTAAGCTAATCATGTACTTACAAATTTAGACATATCCTTATTCTCAAAGTCCTTTCCTACTTCTGTTAAGGGGTATACAACATACAATTTCTTAGCGATACGTTTCAAATTACGCTGTCAATTTGTATTGAACAGAATTCCTATAGCGTTTCTACGGTGAAACCAGTTTCAATCCAAGTGTTGCGCTTGATTTTTGACTTGCTTAGTCAGCATGCCCTTATATCTAACGTTGATGATGAGATTACGTGTGAAAATGTTGATTCATGAAGCATCAAGGATGAGGTGTAAAAATGTTGTTTTATGAAGCATCAAGGATGATGTGTGAAAATTTTGTTTTATGAAGTATCAATGGTAAGAGACAGTATCTTTGCACGCATTTGTAACCAGTCATTGCTGAGGATGTGAACTGTTTTAATTCACTATAAAATTATTGCTAAAATATTATTACTTACTGCATTATTCATCTATTTATTACTGTTGTATCACTATTAAGTTTGAAAGGTGAAGCACTTAATTTCAATTGTTGCTCTTCTTATCCTTTGCTACAAGTTGTGACAACAATTTTTGCATTTATAGTTTTTCAAAAGAAGCACAACCATCTAGGATTTTTGTAGAAATATACTTCTTTTAAAAACAAGACAAGTTAGCATAAAATTGAAAAAATTCGGACTTTGTTCAATATTCATGAAATTTAGAAATACGAAGACTGAAATAAATAAAAAACATTTCTGAAACAACATTGTAGAGATCACCAGCTATCTGGTGTCAAGTACAGATAAACTTTAATTTGATGATCACAATTTCAGCACTGATTTCTGTGCAATGTATCAACAAAGTACCTGATTGTGGACGAGGCAGATCACCCTTCTGTAATAGTTGATGGGCTTTTCGGGCACAAATGTAACTTTGATTGTCTGGGATGTTCCTTTTTTCAGTTTACCGCTTTTGACATCCATATGAAATACGCTGAAATCATTATCAATTTGAAGCTGAAACAAAGAGATAAACCAAAAATTAAAAACCTGATTGTTCCTTTCAGCAATTGCCTTTTTGCTTTAGCACATAAAAGTTTCAGTGTTTGTTTGTATGGAAAGAGTTGCACAATCCGGTACAACTCACTGGCATTCACATTTTACAACGAAACAACTCTAAAAAACTTTAAAGCAAATTTCTTAATTTTTTCCTTAATTTTGAGGTACAAAACATTGTATGCTGACCAAGAATAAAAATCTTTTAACTGTCATCTTTGCTCGAAATTGCTAGAACAGTAAATATTAATACACACTAATGATGATCAAAAGCTGATGATGGAAGCTTGAGCCAGCACCTCAGAGCATCAGCGCAGTTGCTAAATTCTCTTTCCTTGCTCTTGTGCTATTTTGATCACTTTATCAAGATATTAAAGCAGCTTCTGCAGCTTAAGATTCTAGCAGTAACTATAAAACTGAATTAAAAATATAGCAAAAACGGAATAGCGTGAGAAAGGAAGAAATTAGTCAAACTATCAACGTTTTATGCTAGCATACTAAAATTTTGATAAGGGCTACCTACATCTAAGACAAATAGCTGGTATTGACTTGCTATCACATCAAGTATGAAACATAGTGTATTTTTCCTGGACACTTACCTGAAACACTGCGTCAACCAGTGAATGATTTGTAATCTGAAAGGCTCTTGTTACTTCCTTCCCAATGTCAGCGAGGCCAAAACTGATGGATGAAGCATCTAGTGTCACACTTGGGCCTAACAAGATTGAAACTGTTAATAGACTTTTAATAGCGAGAAAGATGTTGAAAACAAAACCAAATTGCTAAGAAATGTTTTTGCTGTAATACCATAAGTACAATTAAAGACAATGAGAAATTTTACGACCTTATGATCGATGAAAGAGTAATAAGACAAGAGATTTGGTATGAATATCAACAAATGCATGGAGAAAACGTCTCTCTAAGAAAATTAGATCAAAGCCAAACTGGGCATAAGTCTCACAGTCATGAATGTACTTCAAGTCAACTTATTTCCCTTCCTGACTAACTGTTCAATTACTCCCTAAACTTAACAAGAAATACATGTAGCAATACCGTCATGCAGAAACATTTTTCAACAATTGCATGTTTGGTGGTATTACATTTAACTATGGTATCATCAGAGTTAACAATACTTGTGGCACATACCTCTTCCTTGACCTATACACTTAATGATGCCGCAACTTGTGGCACCAAGGGCCAGTATCTGAAACGAGTCAGCCTGGGGTACGCTGTAGATGCTTGGGGTGTATGCAATCTTCAGGTTTAAAGAACTATTTCCAGGCACAATTCCGTGATACTGCGAACAGTGAAATGCTTTGTCAACTGATGTGTCAAGTGACGGCTGAATGACTTGGAATGGTGCATTGACCTGGGAAAAGACAAATAAACAATACAAATATGCATTTGATAACATATGAAAACAAAGGTTGAGCTCAATTTTTGATGATTTAATGGAGTGCTTAGAGATTTATTGCCGATTCATTGCTACCATTGTAGGTACTGTAGACTCAAACAACAAATCAAGCACAAAAATATGCTAAACTTAGAAAATTTCAAAAATAGAAAATTCATTTTCAAACACCAATATCTTATCATGATTAAAATTTGCTCAGCATTTCAGTGGGAAACCATTATGAAATTTGAGGAAGATTGCCCTAGAGGCTGAGAAGAAAAAGAACCTAGAGGCTGAGAAGAAAAAGAACCCCTAACACTAAGACAAATGCAAAGATATCATTGTTTTGAAAAAAAACACTCTTGCTCCAATAAAATTCACTAAGTGCCCACCAAGCACTGTGGTTTCATTGTTGGAGCTAGATACCATAGGTTACATTTGTTAATTTTTAGTTTAGTAAGTTTTCAACTGTTTGCTAATTCTATGGGTCTGGCAAATTTGCTACTCTTCCTTGCTTGCTTGTTCACCCCACGCATCATAGGTTACTTAAAGCTTAATTAATTTGAGTTTTCTTACCTTTATCACACTGCTCAGAGGAAAACAGCTTTCTATGCTTATTCAAAGCAGCAAGATAGCCAATAAATTTACTTTGGTATCATAAAAAAAGACACTAAACTGCACAGATTAAGTTTAGATTGAAACTTTTTAAACATTCACAGGCACAGCTACACATGATCATTTATGAAAAAAGCTATATATATTCTACTTACTGGAGTTTGATTTACCAGCTCAATTATTTTGGATGACATTGTATTCACAGCAACATTTTTGAAATCAATATTTATATCATGACCAACTTGTTCTCCATATTTCACGATTAGATAAGCATATTTTCCTAAAATATTAAACAGTATCAAAAATGAATCAAATCAATCAGAATAAATTTATATATTTCTTTCTGTGGCATAGTACAGTACCATTATTTTTGACAGAGTCAAGATACTTAATATATGCATTTCCTTGCTCATTCTAATGTTAGAAACCTTTTCACTTGTATGGCTAGGAGAAGCATTTCAATTGAAAAGCACTAAAAATGTGTTAAATTGTTGAAAGTAACATATCCCTTATACTTGTCTATTTCTCACTAGCCTTTCTCCAAGGTCTTTAGATTTGCAGCAAATAAAAGAATGCATGAATAGATTTTAGAAAGTATTAATTGGTATCTTCAGTATTCATTGATTTAGTAAAGATTGAAAGTTTCTGTTTTGCTCATCTCCAAAACATCCTTTCAAACTGAAAATATTAGCTGCATAAAAGACAAACTGCCATAATTCATTACCTGTGCCTTGAAGAAAAAAGTTTTTTGTTTGCCCTTTGTCATTATCAGAGCCAAATTTGCAGGATGCGGCACACTGGTATACATATGCAGCCTTGAAAAGGAAACAGTGCAAAGGTTGTCACAACCTTGTCATAAGCAAACAAAACCAATCATAAAAAGTAGAGTACACAAGAGAATGTTTTAATAGCTACTTTCCATAACTGAAAAAAAGTATGGCATTTATTTTTAGGTAATTATATATGAAGAAGCTTGTTATTAGCAGGAACCTTACCTGAGGTTTGAAATACACTGTAACTGTGGCTTTTGAATTTGGTTGTATGAATCCCTTGTTTGGCTTTATATCAAAGGGATTGGAAAAAGTCAACTTGAATGACACTTCAAGTTCACTAAAAGGAAAGTAAAATATATTCTCTAAATTTCAAAATTGAGAAAGATAACATTCAGAAACTGAAAATAATAGACTTCTGATTGGAACTGCAAAACCACTCTTAGATAAATTGGAGGAGACAAAATTTATCACCATTTCAAAGTTTTGGAACTGAATCCACATTTATATAAAAAAGCATTTCATAATCACACAATCAATGAACTTAGCTTTACCTGTAATTGAGAATATCAAAGGTTTTCTGTAGCTTATCACTCACTGCACAAAAGCCAAAGTCAATAACTTCTTGAAGTAATAAATCTGCTTCAGGTAAAACAGCTGTCATTGGCACTGAAAATTTTCCCTCCTGTAAAAACCAATATCAACAACATTAACATTTTTGACTGGCATGCACATAGGTTTCCAAAAATTTAAGTCTATGGTTCATTACGCAGATGAGCAGTTACAAAATATATCAAATAAACGAAGTATAGCTTCAAAAGAACAACTGACAAGCCTTTGATACATTACACTCAAAGTTTGTTTTTCCCAATTAAAATACGTCTGGGTAATCAATTATTGAGAAACCCCTTTTAAAATTGAGTACATAAATGGTCTCACATTTCAAGGGAAATTCATTTTCTTCAGATTATCAAAAAATGGATTAGGTGTAAGGGATTTTTTTTTCAAACTAAAATAAATTCAATTATCATTTAGTTTAATTATGAGGTTTTGACTGCAATTAATGAAAATATACTGGCAGTTGATTTTTAATACCTTTATGAAATCTAAATTGTTAAGTCTCTCCATTTTGTGCATAAGTTACAGATAGGAGCACCAAGTTTATCCCTTGCATGAAAATTAATGAAAAAATAACTGATAAAAAGCCAAAGAGCAGTTTTTGGCTTGATATTTACCTTTGTTTCAAAGACAATCTTGTCCTTATACATGTTCTAGATAGAGAATGAAAAAAATAATGCTGAAGAAATTTACAAAAACAATTTGTTTTGTACATTTTCTGGTGTGCATATAGCTTTTAGCAATCTAATTGTCAAAAAAGATGCATTGTTATAATGCAGTTTGCCATGTTCCAACTGTGTCCAGGTATGAAATTTTGCAAATCCTGGGCATGATCAAAATCCATGATTGGGTAATGAAATTTAATTCCCTTTTAAATTGGATTTGGGCTGTAATGAGAGCAAAGGAACATGATAAATTGTAGATTCTCACAAGTAAATCATCAATTCATTACTGACTGCTGCTTTGAAAGTGAAAATGGAATGCTTACCTTTTCCAGTGGCCTGAAAGTGATTGGCAAGGTCATGCTTGTACCTGAACTCAGGATAATTGGTTGTGGGTATTTCGTGGTAAAGAATCGACTTGTTGGAATCCTAAATTACAAAAAAAAGATAAATTAACAACTTCTGAGTCTGTTAACTATGAACAAAATAGGACTTTACCAAAAAGGCAGTTTCTAATTCCTTTGAACTAATTTGTTCCACTCTTGCTTGCATTGTTAAACTGTTTGAATAATTCGTATATTAATTTGTTATGAACGAAGATAATGCTTGTCTGGATACCTATATTATTCATTTTACAGTGATGATACTGTAGTCAAAAATTGCAATAAAGCTCATAAAATTCATAAGTTATGTATGGTTGATGGTGAAATATTTTACTCAAAAGAGACATTCAGCCGCTACATTAGCAGCGCAGGGAAAATAATTAGCGACAAGTCAGCAGAAATTTGGTACGAGCTGTTGAAATAATCTACTGAAAAAATCGAAAAAAGAAGAAGAGTGCTATCAGTTTATTTCGTTTCAAGACATTTGTATTAACATCTTATTTGTGAATGAAATAACTTACTTGTATCGTAGCTTTTTCGCTTTGATGTCGACGTTTTTTAACGTGATGTTCTTCGTGTATTCTCCTCCTGGCTGCCATCCTTGCCAGACGACTTTTTCTGTGGCCTCTAGACCAAATTTATTCAAAACTTGTTGCATATTAACTAAAATCCTCAGCGTGACTTCCAAAAAAATATAAAGCTCGGGATCGTGAGATGCTGCTCATTTTTTTTCTGATATTCATTTGGAGCTAAACTCGCCAAAATCCAAAGTAGCATCCATGTTGTTTTTGTAGGTTGCCAATGGTTGTAGGTCGGCCTCGTTTCAATATGCTGAGCAAGCCTATATCATTGAAACCTAACTTATTTTTCAAGTTTTTTGTTTTATTTTCCATCCTTATGTGCAGGCACCGCGGAGCAGGGGGGCTGGGGGGCTTTAGCCCCCCTCACTTTTTGCAAAAAATGACAAATACTTAGTAATAAACTACCAGTAAAGCCTCTTTTTATAAGGTTTCAGCCCCCCACTTTTGTTTAGACCCCCCACTTTTCTCAACGCTCCGCGGTACTTGATGTGTCTATATATGCAACTTAAAAACGGGCAGTACATTTGGGCATTTGTAAAATGATCTTTGTAAACGTTTTGGGTTTATTTCAATATCCTCTATGATGCAGTGGTGTAGTGCTATCAAAATAACAAGGGGGCTATTGCACATAATCTTGCTAAAAACAATAAGAAAAGTAGGAATTTGTTATATTTTGGCATTATCAAGGAAGGCTCAGCCCCCTGGTGGACCCCCTAGCACTACACCCCTTCTTCTAAGAAACTGTTTGGGAATAAAAAAATTTGGAGGGAGGGTTGTACCTGTTACGACATCATTGCCTCGCTTTCAGACAAGAGAGCATAACAATTAATTATTTGCTGAAAAAAGCTTTGGTGGTTCGATGTGTTGATGCAGTTATCCCCTCGTAATGGCTGGCGCTGCCTTGAAAAGACTTATGGCAGAATATAAACGTAAGAATATTTTAAATGATTTGATTCGTAAAATTTTATTAGTAAGGTTTTCGGGCCAAATATATAGGCTATATAAGGGATGTTTTATTGCGTTGTTAGGCCTAGCAAGCACAATTTTTGCTGAAAGTTTCCTTCAAGATTTAGCTATAATTTTCCGATAGAAAAATTGCACGTCATACTCATTAAAATGGTTCCAGTATTTTTAAAAAACCTTCCTATTAGGTTGTTTTCCTGGAAAAGCTTGTACTATTTTCTCTCAACGATAATTAATGATGATATCTTGTTTTAGAGCTGACATTGAATGCACCTGATGGAATTCTCGCAGGTACGTTAAAATGTCATCTACGTTTACTTATTTAATCCTTCTAAATAATCGTTGTGTTGCAGTTGTGTTACTGTATCAATGTATATTTCATCAATCGTAAAATTTAATATCCTAATCTTGTAAGGAAGAAAATAGTGTGGTTAGGCTCTAATGCACTAGCGTACTCGTCAGTTCCCATTTTAGTATCAAATATAATCAAACACAAAAGAATAAATGTTGACCAAAAAACTATTAACTGAATAAATTTTTAATCATTAAAATGATACTCTTGCATACACTGAAACATAATTTGTAAATTGTCCAAAAACCTGTATCTGCCTTCTATTCACAGTTCAAGCAGTCATGTTTATATGCACCTGGTGATATTAAACATAAGATAACAGTGATTATATTTTTGATACTTAAAAAAATTATCAAGTATGTCCTTTCCTACTCTCCTAGGTCCACTGAATGAAGAAAATTTCTTTGAATGGGAAGCACTAGTAGAGTAAGTTTTGAAACCTTTTCTGTAGAATAAAATTGGCTTAATGGAGCTCAATTCATATTTTTCTTCAATTCAAAATAAATATTAGCAAAACAGCTAGTTTTTCTGTTTCTTTTCAGAGGTCCAGAAGGAACTCCATTTGATGGTGGTGTGTTTGTAACAAGACTCAATTTTCCTCACGACTATCCACTAAGCCCGCCAAAGATGCGATTTGTTAGTGAAATATTTCATCCCAACAGTAAGTTCTTCACAAAATGTCTTGCTTTTATTTGCCATCTAAAGTGTGAACATATTGGCTTATGATTGCATTAAAGGTAAAAATGAGGTTGCAATTTGTCCTGACCTTTTCTTTTACACAAAGAGATGGACAGCTCACTTAATGCATGGCACCAAGTATGCTGTAATAGACAAGTTAGCAGTGAACTTCATTGCTAATTTGCTATGTTTATGATGTAATTTGGTCATGACAAGATTGTCAAAGAATTTTAAAACTGTTGTACATTTTGTTGAAGTCACTTCTTTTCTGTCTATTTTCAGTTTATCCAGATGGAAGGGTCTGCATTTCAATCCTGCATGCACCTGGTGATGATCCTATGGGCTATGAATCCAGCACTGAAAGATGGAGTCCTGTACAATCAGTAGAAAAGATTTTACTATCAGTTGTAAGCATGCTAGCAGGTAATTAAAAATAGCCATTTAAAGGTTGAATTTGTGCATGAAACTGCTTATCATTACCAGGCCACCAAATTTTTACTGGAATTGTCCATCCCTGTCACCAGAGTTACCTTTTCGAGACCACAGGCCATATGCTGGAGACCACAGAAAGAGCTGCTGGTCTTCTACCTTCTTTTAACTGAAATTATCCACCTCTGCCTCATATATTTATATGTCTCGTAAATTTGAGAATGAGGAACAATAAAATTTATTGAGTAGAGAAGCAGATCTCATTCAATTAGGGAACATATACTTGCAGATATACTGTAAATACTTCTATTTTGCCTATTCTAGAACCCAATGATGAAAGTAGTGCTAATGTTGATGCTTCAGTAAGTATCATTTTAGTTTTATGTAAATGCCTCCAATGAAAACAGGGGGATGAATAATCCAAGAAAATTAATTTTAACTGGGAAATGAATGAGTTTGTCATGCATTTTTATTAATGTTTCTTGTTTCTTAAAATGTGCATTCTTGGACATTTGAATAGTGTTTTAACTTATTTTCACTTCTTGATAAGATATAATTTCTTTAAAATACATTTGTTAATTAAGCTTAAGGTACCAACAGCTAGTAGTTGACAGGGACCTGGGACTTGTTCCCTTAAATTGATATCCTACAAATAAATACCCTTTGAAAAAAGCAAACATTTCACAACATACTACTGAAAGCTTTTTCGTCTGACAATCCTCAGAGTATAAGCTTTTAGAAATGAAAGTTTTTGGTATTATGTTGTGAAATGTTTGTTTTTTTTCAAAGCCATTTTCAAGTTCTGTACCGGAAAAAAATTGTTAACAAATACCCTGTGAACCAAACCCTGGAAAATTTCGATATCAGGAGCAGAAACCTGTGACCACTTTCCCACTCAACCTGGAGTCTAGTATAGTTTTAAAATTCAATTAATCAATTACCCTGTGCACTAATAATTTTACTGGTCTTTTTGTAGAAAATTTGGCGTGAAAATAGAGAGAGATTCAATCAAATTGCTGACAGATGTGTTCGTAAATCACTTGGAATATCATGAGAAATCAGAAGGCTTTATAGCTAAATATCTGTTAATTATGTAAACCCTTGTGTTGTTTTACAATTAAGGACAAAGGCCAACACAGTAGCTGTCATATGTCCTGGTGAGCAATGAAGATATTGCCATGTCCTTGACGAGGCATCCATCTTTTTTATCACCATCAACACAGATGAAGTTGTCAAAGCAATGATAACTATAAATTTCGATTTGTTGAGCAAGTGGTATTCATAAAATTTGTCTTACTATTGTTCAGATTTTATCAATGAAAACAGTAATACATAAAAGTATTACTACTAGGTAGAACTAGGGTAGAATTGCCAAAAGAACTAGGGTAGAAAACAAATACAGTCATTTACTACATTCATTTTTGTTTGTTTGTAGAGTATCACAGTTTCCCTCATTTCAAATTATAGCATGTATTGACATAAATTTAAAGAAAAAGTTCCAATTGAAGTTACAAAACAGTTAGTTTTCCCTGTTGTTGGTCTGTTTTGAGTGGCACTGGAATTGTTGCTATATTCAACAAAACTTTTATTTACAATTTGAAAAAGACAATTTAAAACTCTTATTAAGTACCCCCTTTAAATCATGGTTTAGTGGAATTTGCAAACGTTTTTAGCAATGCTATGCTCTGGGAAGGGTCAGAACAGGAGGAGCACTAAGGGCATGTGCTGGCCTCAAACTTGTCCCCCCCCCTTTTCTAAAAAGACATCTCTTTAGAACGTTTGGAAAAATGTACCCTCAGGTTTCTAAATACTTCCGACGACCTTGGCTATAGCCCTCTGTTAATGAACCCTGGGAGGGGGGGTTACTCCCATTAAGGCCTGACAGGGGTCCAGTCCGTTTGAGGGTTTTACCAAATGGCTATCAAATGGCCCATTTTCGATAATAACTGAACTGCTCAGTTTAGCTTGCGATTTGTTATAGATAATGAACAAGATTTATCTTTCCCGAAACAATAACAATCAATTATGAAGAAATTTGTCAAAAAAGAACCAGGGGAGCACAAAAAAATGGATGCTACCAAGGAAATAGCTTCGGTTTTTAGGCAACCGTTTGAGGGGTTTTGTCAAAAGTACTACCATTTGAGGGTAATTTTCTAAAATTTTAGCGTTGGCCCTCTTTGATCCTGACCGGACCCCCTGTCAGGCCACATTGGGAGTACCCCCCTCGGGTATTGAACCCCTGTTTTGAAATTTTTAATCGGCGTTTTTTATAACAAGGGCAAAATCTAACGTTAACCGGCAGGAAATGTACAGATTTTCGTGCCTCAACGAAAAATAACATTACCACTTTGGTCAAATCTAAACAAGAACAATTTATCTTGAGTTTCCTCATTTAAAAAAACCAAAGGTACTGTGTTTGTTTTTAAGGGCTAAATACTTTCAAATAAAAAAGCCAAGAAAACTTGGTCTGCCTTAAATTACTAAAAACGTTCTGCAGTCCTTAAAACAAAAAGGTAGCCTATTTGGCTAAAATCTATTTTCAACATCAAACCAATGACAGCTGAGCAACAACTTCGCCCAAATTTCACACTGACATGCTATTCATAGCAAGAAGTCGTGCTATAAAAGCTTTCAATATGCCCATGATAAAAAAATTAAAGACAAGTCGTGAAGATATGTTCCAACTGCACCCTTTGATACTTCCATGGTATAACACCTGGGATTTTTTCGGGTGAAGCGAAGAAGGGTCAAGTATCTCTCAGCTGATCAAACTTGCTAGCAAACCTGTGAAATTGTACACCTTTTTATGAGTCACATTACAATAAGGATAACAGACAGGTGAACTGACAATTGTTGAAAATATTAAGAGCCGTCGCTTTTTCTCTTCTTGAGGGGGCTCACGCCTCTCCGAAAATAAAAAACTCTTTTTACAAAGAAAAATCTCATCTGTTCCTATTGTTCTAAAAAATAGTGCCCCTTCAATAATTCTTCCCTTTTGATGTCAGAGAAGCCGGATCATATATTGGGTTGGGGGGAGGGGAGTTGGTCTCTAGACAAATTGATGCCACGAGATTATATTTATACTTCAGCAAAAACGTTAGGGGGTTTCAGCCTCCCTGCCCCAACCCCTCGGCTCCTATGATAGGTCGTAACGGCAGAGCGTTGAGGAATAGAATACAACTTGCTTCTGCATTCAAATAATCCTCTTAATATTTCCAATCTATCAATTTATATACTCTGTTTCTATTTGATTGGTCCTGTTACACTCCGACGTACGTGTAGGGTTGGTTCCCATTGAACTGTTAGACTAATAACCCAACACAATTCAACGATTTCCCCCAGGCACGTAAATAATAGGGGGGCGTGGGGGGCGTAACGCCCCCCCAAAGTTTGGAAAATCCAGTTACAGTTGGAAAACGTAACGGTTGACTTGGAATTTTTTTCTTAAGACCAAACTTGTGAATTTTATATTTTAAGAAGTTTTTTTATTTTAATTTATAAAAATTCTAAACATTAAAATTCACAGGCTGAAGCTGACCCATCCAATCGTTTTCTATTGTGAATCCCGTCTCCGCTGGGTCCAAATTGCACACTTGCCCCGTTTTCTTTTTCTTTCTTTCTGACGGGAGTTGAATCAAATTACGAACAGGCAAGGTGAACTTACGGATAAGAAACCTGAAACTTACAGTTTTGAATAATATTACCCGCATTGATCAGAAAATATTAGAGTGGGAATTTTTTTAGAAACTACGAGTAGTTAATTCAATAAAAGATTAAGAATCTTTCAGTACTAAAAATTCTCAACGCTTCTTATAAAAAACGAGTTTATGCTAAACTCCCCCTGTTATTTGTTAATGTCCTTGAGTCCTTATCATAAATTCCTATGACAAAACTGCTGTGGAGCAAGAACACATTGCAAAAACTGCAGTAGAAGTATTTGATCAAAGAAGAGTATTCATCTTTCGAATCAGGCATATGCACAAGTTTGTTCTCAAATCATCATTTCAATTGTAAAGAATGAAAAGGCATTTGGCCCTCTGAAAAGTTTAAAGGTAGTTTTCTTCGATCAAGAACGAAAATAAAAGGCCCAAATTCTTGGTGCTTCTATATCGTGAAAAAATGTATTTTAGATAAAATTGATCAATTGATCTGAAAGAATACTACTAATCATTGAGTATATCTAATACTGGTTTTGCTTAAATGTTGCTTTACTTCTTACAGTATGTTTAATGTTTGTTTCATGTTAATCAAAATTTAGAGATTTTAGGCTTTTATGCTTTAGGCTAATTATTGAGTAAAGATTTGGTAATTATAAAGAAAATAGAACTATGGTGCTCGGGCTATTTACAAATATCAATTTGGTAGGTACAACAGATCTACTGGTCGAATGAAAAATTTATCACTTGAAGTTGGAATTTTCATACTTCCACGCCCCCCCAAAATTAGCAACTTGTTTTCGTCCCTGATTTCCCCTTTTTAGTTGCAGTTATTAATGACTTCATTAACATTAGTGGTAACGTTAAGTTAAAGTTCCTCAACAACCTCATTGACGTGTGTGATAATAAAGTAGGGGGAAGGTCGTTGGGAGGAATGTGTTGTATGTTCATATAAAAAGGGTCTAGACGTGCGAACTTATGCTTTCACTCTAGTTTTTGTGCTTCTCTATATTTAAAACCAAAAAAGGAGATTATATGTTCCTTAAAACTAACCATAAGATAAAGTTTTTTGTTTCCTTTCGGGTTTTACAAGGTTGCAATCATATTATAATGTAAACACCTCAAAATATTTGATTTCGGATTTGGGTGATCAAAAATTTTAGTACAGTTGTCGTGACAGAGGATAGGCGTGACAGAAAAATCATGTTCTTAAGCAACGGCACCGTTGAGCGTGCCTTGTATTGTTCAAAATAATTATTCATTAAAAGCATTGTCAAGGCAAGCATAATAACTTGATGAATCAACGGGAAAAGACTAAGCAAAACAATGAGCACGACCATAGTAATTGAAAATGGATGTCATGGAACAAAAGGAGATATAGGGCTATTGATAAAGAAAACTGGCAAGCGGTTACATGCCCTGGACGACTGTAGAAAAACAACATGCTACCGAAATCTTTTTAGCTGCAGAACAGGGAATTTTCATCATGATTTTTCTTTTTATAACGTCAACAAACATTCGAACAAACAATATCAAATAGCAATCACAAGTTCAAAACAGCTTGCAGATGGTTGGAGAGATATCAATATAAGTATGTTTCATGGGAATTGTGGGTAACTCTGGAAGTCCACTAACGAGTAACGAGGTTCACCAAAAGAGCGGTCGAAGGCTAGAAGTCATTTACACAATACCATTGAAATGCACCTGTCTGAGGACAATCACCAGGAAGGGCAATAATAGCTCTTTTATCACGCGAAAAACAATCCATAAATCTCGTGATCAGCAAACAGCTGAGGGGAATTCACCTACAAAAGGACAACAGTCTAATTGCAACTGCATCTCCAAACGAAACATCCACAGAGAAGGCGTTTAAAATGACTGCTGGTTCTATGCTTTGAAGTTAACTGACAGGGAAGTTTGGAAAAGTGTCACTCAACGATAACCCTGGAAATCGACGTATAGACCAGTAATCAAGAAATCTGCCCGCCCAGGCTTGCCATCAATTAGCGGTAGATCTACAGCGATTTGCAGTTCTTGCACTGTAATGTGAATTTTTGTTTTTGATAAAAATACACAGACATCAACAGGAACTTGGAGCAAAGAATCAATTTTACGGTGCTAATATAAAACCGTATCTATTTATACGTTGAGAAAAGGGGAAGACCCGGATGATTTGCTCGAAATGGCGCAAGACAAAGCTACAAAATTCAGGACACAAGAAGCGATGGTTAGGATAAGAAAGCCTAGAGAATTCATCGTGGAAGTTTCGAGAAAAATCAAATGCTGCTTTACACAACAGCAAGAATCCAGTTTCAAGGCTCCTTCAACGAACGCAACCAAAAATAAATATAATAAAAAAGGATGTGCAGCACCGAGAGACAAAATGACGAATCTCCTTAACCAAGAAGAAGATTTGTTGAAATCCCCTTGTTTCTATTGGCCCGATGTCGACTCAAAGGAGAGCATCACGCTTCTTGAAAATGCTCGCGACGGTACATTCCTTGTACGCAAAAGTTCACATCCTGCCCACAAATACACATTAACCTACAACAGAAAGGGCAAAGTCGCAAGCGTCAGGTTGCAATACTGCAGCAAGACAGCGATGTATTGCCTCAATTTCTCCAACACGGATTTCCCCCGAAAGGCTTCAATACGCGAACTTATTGATGCGTTGGTGGGACAAAGTATTTCGATGAAATTGGAAAATGATCCAGCTGAAAAACATTCTTGCATGAAACTTGAGCATCCACTCTATAGAGTGACGTCACTGAAAGAGCAATGTAGGGCGAGGGTGATCACTAGTTTTTCAGCGGCTGAGAGGATAGAGTTGGTGGAAAACGAGCTTCCCATGGAATTGATCGAATACTTGAGATAGCATTGCGTCATACAGTGTTGCATCAGCCTTCTGTGGCAATCGAGAAAAGAAAACCAGATAATATTTTGGCAGCAAAACTGACTTTCGTGGCTGGCTGGGAGTATCAGAGCCAATTTGGAATGTTTACTTGCCTTTCCTTATATATTAGCTTATTGTTAAACTATATTTATTTTAGGAGTGTTTCAAACATTCTCAGATTATTGTTTATTCTTACTATCATTCACAATAGCTGATTAAAGTTACTAAATTAGTGACTAATTGTTAAAATTATTATTTGAGGTATTTTCTGTAATTGAAATAATAGTTTCTCGTAACACATATCGAAAAAACAAAAAGCTTGTATAAAAAACGCATCGATAGATGGTCTTGGGATGTTTAACATAAAATTAACACAACCTTCGATGAAATTAATAGAAATAGTATCTAGGTTATCTAATTTTTATCGCCTTACATGGATACGCAACAAAGATGTTGGAATATTAATATTTTGACATATTAACGTCGCGTCAAATTTTGTAACATGCAATACATTAAAAATATTCCTATGGAATAAGTTATGCAATGTTAATGTTGAGTTTTAAAATAAATAATATTGCCTAATAATATCTCCTCTTCAAATTTTGCCTTTTCCTATTGAGTTTTGGCTTCTTTGGAATATCTGCTGCCCCCAATGGATTGATCGATTTATAAAACTATAGCACCGATTTCGATAAAATCCTCATGGTGGGTACCTCTTTCTTACGAAATTAATACAGCAGTGATTGATAAAAAGATTGCGAATGAAGAGATGATTATGCACTAGAAGATGCTATATCCTGTGCTACCCTGGATTTCACTATAGTTCTGACAGGTGCAGATCACCCAGTCCAACAATAACAATAACTTTTTGAACAGGAAGAAAGTAAGAGCTATTGTATGGTGACATTCGACTATTTTAATAAGCACCCACTTTCGTTAAGCCCCCCTCGAGTAAGCCCGTTCTAAAAACGGTAGGTTACTGAAGGACAATTTATCTAATTTTGTGAGACTGGAGCGTCGTGTTACTGCATCAGAGTAACCCCAGTTTAAACCATGGGGTAGAGCCGAGATACAAACAGAAAGTTATAAATCCTGGTGATGAAAATCACATCGACGTACAGTTGAAGATCAGCAAGGAAAGGTGTTTGAAACGTAAGTCTTCCAAAGGAAATACTTTCTACGCTCCCTTCTACAAAAAATAAGTAACTTATCAAAATCAGTACTGAAGTTTCCTCGTTTTTCGTGGAAGTGAGAACACAAAGTTTATTAAAAGTTTTATAATTTATTGGGATAGCATAGAAACATTTGAATATAAAACTGGCTGCAATACAACTTTTCAGTGCAATTCAACATTAAATAAAAAAGTGAATCAGGAAATTTGCACAGAAGGGTACGAGCTGAAGACGTATTGCCATGCATTAAGTCGTCTTCTTTAGGTAGGATTTCTTCCAAAAAGAAGGTTTACTACCATTTCAATATTTGGTCACCTAAATTGATCGGCCAGTTCTGAAAGCGCCAGTACTGAGATTCCTATAGTGAGTTTTACACAAGGAAATAATTGAATACCAAAGTAAAACCACAGAATAGTGGTAAAGTTTCCCCAGAATCTTGGCTTCATAAGTGCGTAAACAAGCACACCTGGCTACGCTTTGAAACTTGGCACATGAATCGATTGTTTACTTTTGATGGTGCAATAAAAGTCATTAATAGGCTCTTTACGGAAAACCAAGAATAGGCCAACGTGACAAATCGCTCTGAACATTGTTCTTTGGTAATGGCAGACAAATTAAACCGCTAACCACTTATGCCTTTACCGGGTCAATGTTTCTTCTTGGGTAATCAAGTTAATTATTTGTAACTACACTTTTGTTTCAAAGTGCAAGGAAATTGATATTATTCAAAGTGTATTTTTCTTCGGTAATAGAAAATGCCAATATGACATAAAAAATAGGGAAACAATATTTTGCATTCGTATCTTAATATAACAGTAATAATCCCAATTCCTGTTGAAAAAAGAAATGTTTTTCAAAATAGGCGCTTCCACTTGATAATGTCACTTGGTGAATCAGTATAAATTGATTATATAAGAACACTAAGAAACAATCTTTGAAAACCATAAGTTTTTAGTACTCTAGTTTTTAGTTCTCTAATTTATAGAAAAAGGTGGTATTATCGACGCCCAACTTTCCCTGCAAAGATTGTATGGGGCATATGATACAAATGTGTTATCCAATCGAAGGGTATTGTAACTTTTAGCAAAAGATAAGTGCTTACAAGTAACAGACACATTGGACTAATTACAATGAGCACTGCATTCATAATAAATATTTTCACAGCCATACAGAATTTGTTACGCTTCAATCGATGACAAATCTGTACCGAGGTTAAAGAGACAAGATTTTGTTTATCTTAAGTTCAAACTAGGAGAAAAATGCACACGTTCTTCGTTGTAGTTTACCTTTTCAAGATAACGCAGGCTGGACCTTCCCAGTGCACTCTCCAAAGCCAACACGATACCCATCACCTTGAGCATATCCTGTCATTACAACCGTATCTCCATCTTGAAGGAACTTTCTTGTTTTGCCATTTCCAAGATCTAGAGTTTTGCTGCCCCTCCACGACAATTCAAGCAAAGAGCCGAAGGAGGTGGGGTCCTATAAAAACAAAAATGCATTCATTCAAAATTTTCAGAAGAAGCGACAAAACAAGAAATAGCAAATAAAGTTTATGAATATAAATGAAGATTACAAAGGTAGGGAAACTCAGAAGGTGTTATGCAAAATAACTTAGATTAGATAGGCCATCAGAAAAAACTAGAAGAAAATTTTAAACTTTTCAAAATTTTTGAAAATTTGTCCTTATAAGGTTGGATATCTTAGAAGAAATAACAATTAATATGCCTTACAGTTTTTTTCTAACGAAACAACCGAAAAGTCTTAAGAAATAACCGTTCTTTAGAAATATTGACCACAAATAACTTTTTCTCTGCAAAGACTCAAATGCTTTCATTACTATACGCTTATATTACACACCGAGGTCAGCCTTCCCTGCTATAAAAAGTTTTCATTTTAGGTCGCTTAATCTTTATATCGAAAAAATGTTTATACTTTTTATTAAATTTTTGATCAAACAACTTGCCATAGCCTATGGAGAAAACTTATTTTGAATTTGTTGCTTGTCTATTGTCTTAGAGATTTGACAACCGAAGTTTCCGACAAACCTAGATAAGTATCTGTGTGGGTTGGGCTTTAAAGGTTGAAGTCACTAATCCCTTGTAAATGAAGTAGAATAAAATTGGCTGTTTAAGAACCATTTTTTCATCGCCAACTGCATCTTAAATTCGATATCCAGAAACTGACTAAACGTCAGTACAACCCAACACCTATAACATTTGCATCGCTGGTAAAGCTCTTGAAGGAATTCATAATTCTTCAATTGACAAGTGTAATGAAGACAAGTAAATTACTGTGTGTTCTTATGAACGTTTATAGAGGGAGGGAGAGAGGGAGAGAGGGAGAGAGGGAGAGAGGGAGAGAGGGAGAGGAGGAGAGAGGGAGAAAGGGAGAGAGGAGAGAGAGGAGAGAGGGAGAGAGGGAGAGAGGAGAGAGGGAGAGAGGGAGAGAGGAGAGAGGGAGAGAGGAAGAGTATGGAGAGAGGGAGAGAGGGAGAGAGGGAGAGAGGGAGAGAGGGAGAGAGGGAGAGAGGGAGAGAGGGAGAGAGGGAGAGAGGGAGAGAGAGAGAGAGAGGGAGGGGATAGATATGGTTAAGAAATACAGGGTTCTGCATATCATAAACTGTTTTGCAACAGCTGGAACTCTGAGATGCAGATATAAACATTTTGAAAATAAAACCTCACCTCTCCGCTGATTGTTCCCGACGCCAAAAGATCCCCAGGACGAACATTGCAGCCCGTGACGGTATGGTGGGCCAATTGTTGTTTAGCAGTCCAGTACATATTCTAAAAGGACGAAAGCTTGATATATTCACGAACCAATGCCAGCTATGAAGTAACAAGCTCAATCGTAAAAAAATGATATCACAGAAATCGTATTGCATTAAAAAAATCAATATTGGCGTGGAGGTATGAAAATTAGAAGAAAAAAATGACACAAAGCAGTGATTTACCATAGTTATCAAAATTAACCAATTTGTAATCGTAAGACTCCTGGTGACAAATGGTCTCCATTTTGCATGGTAAATTATAAGAATACAATAAGCTATTGATAAATTATATGATTGCATGGAAAATCTTATATCAACTGTTTGCTAACTAAAACAGTAATTAACAACACAGACGTTTTGCTCTCTGCCTGGCAATGCAAGGCTCTGGTTACAATATGCAATCACAACACTTTATACAAACAAATAACAACAAAAAGAAAAATGAGAAGCAAACATATAAATATGTGTAAATAGGGTTGTTGACATGTATCATTCCTAAATTGCGGAAAAATCTCCCTACCTGGAGATTTGATTTGCAAACAGTTGCTGGAGAAGACATATCATCTCCTAGGATAAAATAATACCAAAATAGCTTTACATGATTGTGGAAATAATTAAAGCATTATACATATGAGAAAGAAACCTTTGAAATTCTATGAAATGCATCAATGTTGGTTGTGGTTTGATGAGGTTGCACAAAACAACAAGCCTTCGGCCTTTAAAAACTGCACCCACTGTTTGATAACGACAGTCTTTAAACAATTTTTAAGAACATTCCATGTAACTCTGATCATATTATCTTAGACAATAAAAAACATCTTACCTTGTATTCCAACTTCGAGGTTTACGTTAAATGTATACGGATCGTCATGCTTAAGATAGTCAAAGGGTTCTGGATCCTAAATCAAAAAAGAAAACAATGATGGTATAGCAAAATAGGAAAAGTATTCAATTCAGGCATACCTTTGCAGGTCAGGAAAGAGGATCCCAAACAAGTAGTCTGAAAATGTTACCTTGGACTTAGATTTAAAAAGTTACTTTAACAATAACCAGATAGGTCAAAAACTCATAGAAACAACGTGAACTTTAGCCATGTACCTTACCCTTACTCGTAAATGTATACTTTGAGAGGTGTGCAAGATATTATATTTTCAATGTAGCATATGGACAAACGTTATATTTTCTTGAGAAGCCTGTCTAAAAAACAGCCTTTCGGATTGAGGCACCATGCTCTGTTGTCAGAAAACGAAACTTCTGTAACATTGCAATAAAGGTGACCAAACCTTGATTGAATTCTGACAGACTTATTGAACAATGAGTGTAGGTTGCTACCAGGCTTGCGTTGTGAACCCAAGGAAAACAGTGTGACTATCGAGAAATAATCCTTGCTTTCCCCTTTCCCATCTTTTGCCATGGTTTGTCAAACACACTTCGCTTTTACTAAAAACTTCATGCACTCGAGAATAGTTTTGAATACATTCATGAAAATGTTGAACACTTATATACTTTGTAAGATTTAATACTTTGAAAGAGTACCTGGGGAGCATTTTTGAGAGCAAAAGGAGCCAATGCATCCATGGTTACCACCCACGGTGAAACTGTAGTCGCGAAATTCTTGGCAGTAAATGGTCCAAGGGGTACATATTCCCATTTCTGTATATCGCGAGCTGTTCAAAAGTAAAACGTAACTACAAAATAACCAATAAAATAGTTCAGTGTGTCATTTACACAAAAAAATGGAAATTTATTACAAACTTTAAAGTGAAGATTGTTGAGTCTACATCAACCAGAAAGACAAATACAAAATACCTTTGATAGGCACTGACCCTTGGCTAAATTGAACTGGTTTAATTTGCGTCAGCAGCTAACCATGCTTTATAGCAAAGTATTTTAACACAAGACTGGTATTATTCTTGATTGTTTTTATGTATGATCAATCTTTACTACAAATCTTTCAAGGTTATTCTTAATTGGATTCTGAAAAATCAAATGATACATACCACTCCAATCATTCATCAACACCATTCCAAAAATATGCTCATCTGCCTGAAAACATGGGTACATGAACGTTATAATCGTTGCAGATATAATACGGGGAACACATGATAATATGGCAACTGGTAGTGCAATGTTTAATCATCACGCGACTGTATATTTGTTTACAAAACAGGACAACAAAAACATTTGATTGATACTGTTTGAACAGTTTCGAAATTTAATTTTAAAAAAGCTAAGCACAGAGCCATTGAAAGGTTGCAGTAATAATCTGAGAACCAATGAGGATATTTTAAAAATCTATTATTGATAGTGTGAAGATAGTGTGAAACGTGATTTGATAGATAGTGTGATGTAATGGAATGCGTATTCAAATCTAAACTCAACATAACATAACATAAAATAGTAATTGAACCTGCCTTTGAGGCCTTTATTGGTTCACCAAGACTGTTGCCTTTCCCAACGAAGAAAGCCTTGAAAAAAAGTATCAACATAAAATTACTAAAGGTGGTAAATGATTAATTCAGCTCAGTTTTGCTGGAATAGAGGGGATTATCATTAAAAAGGCTCAAAAATGTAGCTGGAGCACTACAACTTAACAAATACAAAGCATCTTTTCAAAACATAATCATAGATAGAAGCCAATCTAAAGCAAACAATTACTGCCTTTGATGATTTTGATGGCACTTATGAAAAGTATCAACATGGACAAATTCACAGCAACTTTATGACTGTACCATTTCCAGCTCAAAATCCATGATTTTGCATGGTCCAAAAGAAGGTGGCTTTGCTTGAAAGAAGAAAAATATATATTAGTACAAAATCACCTTTAAGATAATTACTTATGTCATTAAGATTAAATGGGCCCAGATGTGAAAGGAACATGCAAAGAAACACTTTTAACAATATACAAACTCTTTCAACACAATAAAAGCAATTAAAAACCAATACACCCAACTGAGGCAGGAAGATAGAGTTTTCCAACAAGTTTCAACACGTCTAATACATCTCAATTTATTACAACAGGAATTTACATAGCATCATAATACAAAGCAATAAGAACTCACTGTCATCTGCTCTTGACTGACCACAAGGTCTTCTAACAGGTGTGCCTGATATAACAACTGAGGAAGCTCTGCCGTGGTAACCAACAGGTAAATACAGCCTAAAAAATTTATCAAGACAAAAGTACTACTGTTACAGAATGAAATGACTGTTGTTGCCAGAGGTGGAAAAAAATTTTTTCTTTCTGGGAACCTAAGAATCTGGCTCAAAACTTTCTGCAAGATTTAGGGGGTAGACAAATAAACTTTATGTTTGTGCCTTTTTACTCTATACTTAGTTGATGTATAAAAGAGGGCAAACTTAATTCTAAGAAGTATGATACTTCTCATTTGAATGTTCAATTTGTTTTTATTTTAATGCTTAATTTGTTTTTTTTTCTCGAAGTATTTCTATAGAAGGTTAAATCAAATGCAAAAAATTGTCAGGCAATCAACTTCTTAACATAATCAGTGTCATTTAACATCGGAGATCTTGACTATTGTTCCAAAACAGTCATTCTCAACATATTAGATATGCCTTTACTTAATGCATAAATTAACATAAGAAAGAAATCAACTTTAGCTAGAAATTGATTCATTCAATCAATCATGATGGAAAACCAAAATCAAAAGGAAAATCCATGCAATAATCTCCAAACATAGTTTCAGAAGAGTCAGGGGCAAAATCATTTGAATTTTATGGTGCATTTTATGACTTAGCCTAATCTTTTGACAAGTGAGAAGCAATATGTGGTTAAAATGGAGTCCTAGCATGCAACAGATTAATGTAACCAAGCATATTAACTTATGATCAATGCTGCGCACACCATAGTGCCAGAAATATTTTCTGTGAAAGTAGATTCCAGTCCCTATATTAATCTGAGTCTTAGTCATGGTTTGTCTTAAAAGCTCAGCTGCTAAAAAAATTCTGATTGTGAGTGGTTGAGATTTCTGTGAGATGGTGAATGAAAAAAGGTGCACAAAGAATTTCTTTCCAATGGAAAGAGAGTAATTCCCACATTCCTTTGGCAGCTCAAATTTAGCTGCTCACAGGCGAACTGAAATAATATTTTCTGCTAATTTGACTAAACCTATGTCACCAGATTTTTATACTTACTTTAACACTTCAAAAATTTTCTGTGAAACTTTCTGCTAACATTTTCATCTCGAAAAATTTCTGGGAACTACGTTCCCAGGTTCCGATACTTTTTCCACCTCTGGTTGTTGCATTGAAATTTAAGAGATATTTTACCTATTTTTGGAATGAGAAGTAACTCAGACTAAGTCGATAAGCAAATGAACAAAAAAACCAGTCAACAAGCAAGAATCTGAAAACCAACAGAAATTTACTTACCAATTAGGCATTAGAGCATTGTCTTTCCCTCTAAACATGGTGCCAACATTAGTTGCATGTGGTCTTGAGGAGTAAAAATCAGTATAGTCACCTAAGATAAAGCAGAAACACCACAAAAGGTCAAGCACTACACAGCTTTCTTGAACGACTTGCAAAAAACCCTTTCCCATGCACGTAGCAGATGCAATTAAAGGGCTAAGTACAGATCTTGCCCAAATAGAATTGCTTCATTGAGTTAGAATTGCTCAAACAGAGCCTAAAATGGAATAAATGTTGCCTGATAAGCAGGGCTGCACCCCCTATATCTTCTACACCTATGCTTATCCCAGATCTTTATATGAGACGTCTTTATATCTGAGTTCTATCTATATAATGAAAAAGATAAAACACATATTGCATTTCAAAATCACCACAGTGATCACATTGAAAAAGATTTACAATATTGCTTAGATTAGGCCTTGATGCTACTTCGAGCAAAAAACATGATATAGCTATTATGACAATCACACAATTGGTTAGCTACTGATAAACTTGTATCTTGATCAAAAACAACTTTATAATTTAGTCTTGTAGCAAATTTCAATTATGTCATCATTAACATTAAATACTTACCAATTTCTGCAGGTAGATGCATTTGAACTGAGCTTTGTGGGACAAGGCACCTGGACAAAAAAATTGATTACATAAAGCTCAGTTGGAAATCATCTCTTCCATTAAGAACAGCACTTGTATCATACCTAGTCGTGAGCATTTTAGCAGGCGAGCAGTACATTGCTCCCCTCTGTAAAGTCAGGCGGGCCATTTTCAGTCTCTTGAAAATCATCAATAAAAGTATATATGAATAAACAATAGTCTTTAACAGCTAAGTTTACAAAACAAGATGGCGATACTCCAGCAGAAATAAAACAATAGTTTTGTATAGTCACAAATCAACAACATTCTCACTAACAAGATTTGAATAGAACCAAAATTAAATAAGTACAAATTAACATAAGTACAAACTAACATTCTTTTGAAAGCTGCCATTTTGATGTTAAAGTACTTGAAGGCTTGTTATTTCCAAGTCCGTTGTCACAGAAACATACACATATTTTATTAAATGAAACTAATGAATTAAGCTAGTACTGGAATTTTTAAGATTAAAAGATTTTGAGAGATGACAGTTTCGTACCGATCCTTAAAAAGCAACTTAAAGTCATGCTATATCTATCAGTGGGGGATCTCTTGTATACTTAATCAACATTATAGCCAGTTATAAGAAACCACAGCTGTTCATAAATTACTTGAAATTATTTAGCCCCAAGTTTGCACCAATCGAACTTCATCATCTTCTTTCCATCTATCTCCCCAGATTTTCTTCCAAGAGCAACCCCGTTGTCGTATTTTTCAAAAGTTCTTAGCTCAACAGTTGATCCTTTCTGGTTACTCACCATGTTGAAATGATTCAGGTTTCACGTGTTAGGAATATTATGAATACCCTGCAGGAAACCCTGTCAAATGACATTTAAATTGGCCTTCGAAATAGCATTATGGTGAAAATGAAACCATTTAAAGGATTCCCTTCCCTATTGCATTTAAAAATGCTTTGTTTGTTTCTCGCGTGACTTATTAAGTAGTTAGCCAGTTTACAGGAAAAGATGACTTCCTGAGAAATGAAAGGTGATTAATGTTATTTTGAATTCAAACATAGGGGGTCAAATTCCTATCATTTTTTTAGTTTTACTTCAAGAAGTGTCAAGAAATGAAAGGAAGACCAAGACTGGCAGTTAATGTGCTAACTGACATTGAGGCGAGCGATGAATAGCTAACCCCAAGGTGAGCATGGAGGCGTGTGCGGGCGATCACCTGCCTCAAACGGCCAGGTCTGTTGTATGCAATCATTATGCATAACGGATTCTCACCTGCTTCGAAGATCAGCATTATCTCTGAGATAGCCCTTTGAAAAAACATTGGATATTAAAAACAATTTTTGTGGTTTTTTAATGACATAGCTGAAGTGAAATTATCTCCATCTATAAGCAGATACTTGCTCTATGCCAAAAAGGAGTGCAAAATTTAAAAAGGCTTAAGACATTATCCCTCATTGTTTATTTAGCCATAATAGTCAATCAAATGCATAATAGTGCAAATAGATCTTCATTCTATTTTTATAAAAAGATTGCTATCATCTCTACAATGTCCATCCTCTCTAACTAGGTACAATTTCAAATAGAATACAAAACAATTTACTATCCCCAAAATTGTGGTTTACCTCATTAGCAGATAAAATCCTCTGCAACGTTTGTCTAGCCTCAGTCCAAGCAGCCTTTCCAAGCCCCATAAAAGCATTTAATGTTGGCTGAATTGAAAATGAAGAACAATCAATTTGGGTCAGCAATAGAGTAGCACCTCTAAATCTTATACAGCAGAAAACAGAGTAGTCACCAGATTAGAGTCATTTCATCAAAATCTTAGGTGTAACCAGTAAATAAAACAAAATGTGAAGCCTCATAAAATCTACTTTATCAGTTGTATTTTGAACCACATAAAAAATTTTTTTTCTTCTCTGCAAAATTGTATGGCATTCTCCTCAATAACAGTGACTGCTGTCAAAAAACCATTTTGCTAATCTGGAATTCGATTTGACATTTACAAAAACAGCACTATGTGTCATTGGTTAATGAACCCATCAAAGTTACATAAGATGGATCCTATGCTGAATTTCAGTCATATTATACGCTTTAGCTACCAATCTTTATAGAGCCTTTGGTGATTATGATATCATTTTTTCGTGTCTGTATTCTAGGCAATAATAATGAATCATTTCTTGTGTTTCTGCAAATTTAAAATATACATGGCTACTTCCTTTTTACAAAATTATTTATACAAAGGGCCATGCCACTAACAAACCTGATCAAAGACTGACTGATGATTTACTAGGGCAGGCCCAGAAAAAACATCTTTGATGACAGACAAGTCCAGAACCTGATCTCCAATTGCAACTCCAATTCTGTGTTTTGGCTACAAAAGTTCAAAACAACAATTAACTTGAGCAAATCATGGCTGACATAGCTGCATCTATTTTTAATATAGAAGCCACCAACAACTCATTTTGAATCACAAAAGAAAACAAACTTTCATCGAGATTTATCTAACAAAACAGCATGTATTACACTTAGTGCACTAAAGTAAAAGTATCTTGAGATAAAATCTGAGGAAAGATTTTACTTTCCTTGCCTGGAAAATGTTCTCCAAAAAGGTTAACTTAACAATGGCCTAAATGTCTTACGACTCGTGTAGTGCAAAACACAAAAATGCCAGGTACACTAGGCAGCATGGTACTCACATTGTCTTGCGTTGAAAATATGCCATATGGAAGGTTTTGGATTGGAAAGTGGCTATCAGCTGGCACGTTAATAAAAGACATTTTAACAGAAATAATTAGTTTCTGTTTAGCCTGCCAGCTCCACAACGTTCGATCTTTTAAGGTGACACGTGACTAAACATCCATGTGTCCAGCTCAGAGGCAGATCAACGCAGGGACGCAAGGAGGTAAATGTCGGGAAAACCTCCGGACACGCCCCCTAAAAAACATTCTGGGTTTCCTTCTTTGCAACTGGAGGAAGGTCAACATTTGTATCGTATGAACTATACTGTGAGTTCTCTTGAACAACACAATTTGGCTTTGAAGGCAACTTTGCTTCCTACTAAGATTTACAAATAGCATCCTTTCCTCTCTATGGCCATCTACTACACGTTAATATAAAGTATTTGTTTGCTTCCAACATATTGTTAGTAGCATTGTTAAACCTTAACAAATATGCACCACTAAGTCTAGAAAATCTAGTAAATCTATGAAATGATAAACTCCTTTATAGAAACCATTATATATCGAAAAGTAATGACGTTACGAAACAAATTTTAAAATACCTTTAATAAATGTAGAACCAGTGTATATTTAGAAAAAATAAAGAAAATAAAAAAATAATTATGCAAATTGTTTTCAACTCCCTTTCAAATCAACAAAAGCCACAGTGATTAATAAATTGCATTTTCCATGCAAAGTGAAATTATTGTCTTATCAGCGATCCACAAAAAGTTAAACAAAAGAAAGGAATAAAACGTAAGTTCAGTGGAGTGATATCTAAAGGCTATATCAAGCCATGTAGATGGTCATCAGAACAAAATTGTGTATTAATGTAAAGTAGGATTGGGTCCAGCCTCCCTTGATGGTAGTTGCTATGACGAAAGGAATTTTGAGAATGAAGTTTGACTGTAGTCTTGATTCAAATGTATTTTTATAGCTGTTGCCTTCATTTCCGAGAGTCTTTGGGGTGTAGCGATGAAAAAGTTTCCTAGCAGCTACACCCCCAGAACACTGACCCTGTCTCCCTTGACAGGGCCTTCACCTACAACCAGGCTTCGTCATTGGCTAAACGACGATTCCCGATCTGCTTCATCAGCAAACTTTGACACCCCAAGGTGCCCTTTCTGCCGGTCCTGCACCCGCCGCATCACGAAACTTCCGGCGCCTCTGTCAAGCTGTCACAAATGGAAAATAAAGATGAACGAAAACAGTTTAAAATAGATCACTTTGGGATTCTACTTCGTGCTCCGATTGGTGGGAACTTATAATTTGATTCTGCTATCGATAAAATCTATAAAAAAACAACCAACCTCTTAGTTCTCTTAAAATACTAGAAAAATGCATGGGTTACAGAGAAATAAAGAAACAGGTAAACAATTTTAAACAATATCATTTCAAATATTTATATGAATTTTATGTGACGATGGGAGCAAGGATAAGCGAGAAAAAATTGACAAGAAGACAAGCCTTCTCAAATTATTCGCCCTCGCACAAAGATTTCCTCGATAAGTCAAAAGAATTGTGTGAATTACTAGTAATGTTACCAGATCACTGAGTTTCCAAGAGCCAAAAATCTGGGTTTCCCAAAATATTGAGAAACTTCCAAAAGCTGTATCTCTGAATAATATTGTTCATATTTTTTCTGCGGTAAATTATCTGCCTTTTGCAATCTTGGAATTGCTCAATGTTTGTCTGAATAAGTCTACATTTACTATTGTAAAAACAGTTTATACAATATAGGATAAGATTCCTGAAATTCTGTACTTGGAGGAATTTTAAGATCTATTGGCATTTATATATTGAAAACTGTGAGGACTGAAATCTGTTTACAGTGGTGGCAGGTCAACGATTTGCTAGTGTATATTCTTTATGTTCTCTTTATACACCATCTACCAGAACATTTTCTAACATGCTAACTTCGGGGGCCATTTTCCCTCTAAATACATTAACCTTACTTTGTTTAAAATATTAGAATATTGCTGCCATGTCATTTTATGCTATCTACATTTTACAGCTTCCCATCTACTTCACGTGATAAGAAGTGATAAGGTTTTCAGCCATTTTAGCGTTTCCAAGCTGTGTTGCATAAACTGCCAATTTCATGCCATACATAGATAAACACGACCATTTCTAGCCTTACATAGAGAAACAACATCGAGCCACGTACAAAAAAGATCAATTGTCGAAATTTTCGTTAGGTTAATTCACTATTCAGGACTAAAGGAACCCCTGTCCTCTGGCGAGCTTTTGAGTGTACAGTTGAGAAATTGGTTGTAAAAAAGGATTTTGATAGAGAAGCCACAGAAGAAAAGTCGTGGCAACGACAGCTTCCACTCTGCCACAAAACCCCACGAGGCTACTGAAAAGAAAAAGCTCAACGAAGTTAAACTTTATGAAACGATAATTTGAAAGAAATGGCTCGTGGTTAAAGGTTAAAGGGATCAGTGAGTTAAAGAAAAGAAGACCTCTATGTGGGAAATATGGAAAAGAGGCTGCGGAGAAAAAAAGCCCGCAGCTTCGTTTGGGTATTGCAGAAAACCTCAAAGAAGATAAGATAAACGAAACAATCATCCAAAGAAAACGGCTCGTGGTTAAACCAACGAAATTCGTCACAACCTGTGCCCTAAAACATGAGATAAATCATTCAAAAGCTGCTGGAGATTGAAGTAGTTCCTGATTTTCATTCCAGATTCTATCCTATGATAATTGTGTTAGTCACCTTTGCTATATACAGTGGACAAGTAATCGAGGCCCCGAGGAAAAGGGCCAAATAATAGCTTATTATAAAAAACCAAGCGCACCATCAGTAAAAACATTAGTTTCCTGGCGTATTATAGAATAAAGTGAATTTTTTAGATGGTAAAAACGTTATTTTCAGGGCATGGCAAGGAACTCTAAAACGTGATCAGAGATAGATACATGAAAACGAAAATATGAATTTGTCACAAATCATACGGAAAAAACATATCACCATTCTTGTCGGGTATTTTAAGGAGCGAAATTTTCGATGATGAATTTTCTTATCCTTTCAACATCTTGACTTTGAGATTTTTTTGCGTTTTTGAATTTAAGTGGAGATGGAGCTCTAATCAAGTGAATCGTGGTACCAACGGAGATAGCTACGTTACGGAACAGCTGTTATTTTATTGGATGTTGCACTATATTTTAGGCCGATATAGAATATATCGTAGCTCGTCATAAAAGGTATAAGTCTAGAAAAAACATTTATTTATGTAAATATCAAAGATACTATAAATGATAAATTTGGCAGACAAAGTTTGAATCTGGTAGGCTTCCTTGATGTTATATCAAAATGGAAGGCAAGGCAACCATTGGAAGTTGATCAATACGGATTAGAATTCAAAGCAAGTGGTCTGATAGAGCCTTTTGGAATCGGATGATTGGGACAGTGCGGCAGAAGCCATTGACGTCATAAATCGGCGCATGAGCAGTAAATGAGACTACCTAGTCAGCCAGAAGGAAAGATCGCGCACATGAAAACGCAGTGAAATTTTGGGAAGTGAATAATGTTGAAAATGTGAGCGAATAAAGGTTTTAACAACCTTGATCGCTTTGAGTATTGTTATTTATTTAAAAAGTTATCGTTCGCTGTTATTTGCATCCTCTGGATATTTGTATTGACCTGGGAGACCTACTGAACTGATCCTTTGCAGAGTCAAAGACAGTGGTGGTTTTTATAGGGAAATTCGACCTCTGGACTTGTTTACCACCTAATTTTGAGTTTATCTAAAATAGTATCTTTGGAGGGAAGCTGTAAAGAGATGGCAAAAAGAGTTGACAGGTATTTATTACCTAAATATTTATTTCACATTTTGCAGATTAGATCTCTTGTGGGAAGTGTAAAGGAACGAAAACACTCAGTCACTTTGCGGGAATTTATTGCTTCTCGTAACCTGTTGTCTTCGTCAGCCACGAAATAATTGAACGTAAATGTTAATGCCAGAGGTCTTAGGTATTACGGTTGGCAAAGAACTTATTTCTTCAGAGAAATCCAGCAAAGATGTTGCCTTCTCATATTCCCGATGTCCGCCGATGCAATTTTCTGCTCCTCATAAAGCATTCTGGCCTACATAGGCTAAACACGAATCGGGCACAAGCAACAATTCATAAAGCAAGGCAACATCTCTTCTGCTGTAAAATCGTTTACTTTAAAACTATCGAAACATCTCTAGCTTGGACAACGGTGTAAAACGGATGCTGGAACTGTGTGTTTCCATTTCAGTGCTATGTTTAGGTTTACTCTGTCGCATCATCATTGTTCCGTTTTGATGCTTAGAACACAACAATGATAGGCCCACTGAAACTTATGATTTCACAATAAAATATATCTTTCCTAGGACTGGTAATATCCGTTTACATGAAACGGGAATCCAAAATGAACTATGAAAAAATGAAGGCATTTTGAAATGCAAAGTTTCTTCAAAAGAACCACATGGTCTTGGATAAATTAATGTGCTAACATACAATACACTCTTTTTTTATAAGAACAATTTTATAAGAACACGAGCCTCTAAACTGGTCAAAAGAACAAGTTGAGGCTTAGCTTCTGCAAATTGCAATTTTGAACAACGTTTTTTCTCAAAATCGAGGATTTTTAGCAATGTGTGGGTGCTTTTTTGATGAATATTCAAATTTGTCAGCAAATTAAGGCTGTCTCACCCACTTTCTAGGCAAATGAGGCCTGAACACCTCCTTAGAGCGATAAAGCTAGCAATAGCACTGCTCACACCCTGTTAATTTAAGATCAAATTAAGAACAGTCAGCCTGAACTTAATTTACTGGTTCTTATAAAAAAATATAAAGCATTTTTATGGCAATAGCTTTTATTTCAACCAGGGTTCACTAAAATATTTTGTTTTCATTGAATAATAAACGATTTTGTAAGTCCCATCAAGTGGTTTTCTTGAGAGGTTGTGTTGTAAGCATGTTTTGTAAATATACCACAGCTGATGCAAAGTAACTTGCATTACTGGCTCTTACGTTTCAAGGTTTTTATAAAGTTGGGAAAATTGTAAGCAAAATGTTTTTATCTCTAGAAAATTATAGACTGAATGTATTTCAATTTGGTCAAGCACATTAACTCACTTAAGTTAGCACTAAGTGGTTATTGATTGAATTGTGAAGTTGAAAATTCTAAAGAAGATTATGTAACCAGTATTCTTGGACTTTTTGAAATGAAAACAAGTCAAATCATATTTCCAGACAATCTGATTTGCCATTCAATTTATAATCACTTTAAGTATAATATTATTTACTGTAAAATCTAGAAGATTTACTTGCTTATGTCTACCTTTGCTTCCGTACTTTTGTTTTTTGTATAAAAGGTGGGTTGGGTCAGCTATATTCAATCACAGTTTTTTGTCAGTGTCAAATAAAATCCTGTGACATTTCTAACCAAGGTAATAATTGTATGATATATCCAAATCAGTGTGACATCAAGCTTCAAATCTTTTGTTTTGAGTAAGTTCTGGTTTGTTCAGTTATAAAACTATGGTTACCATTTTTCACAATTTCTTTAGTGACAACCCAAGCCAGAGCCATCAAAAGCATTTCAAAGTTGGAGGCTTATAGACAATTCTGAAGTGTTTTATAACGTTATAGAAAAAAAACTAAGTTATTGCCACCTTCTGAAGCAGGGACAGACACTTGGTCAGGGGCAAGCCTATTGTTTTAATAAGATGATGTCACATTTTCCCATTGTTTTAGAACAAAAGACCATTGTCCTCCAAAGCATTGGGGGGTGACTGCCCCCATCCCCTCCCAGTGTCCGCCACTGTTCTGAAGTTATAGACACACTGGTGTCCATTTCACCACCAGATAATGTATAACCCCAAAGCTCTGTCTCAAGGAATTTGAGGATTTTAGACTTCACCTCCCCCAAATGCTTGTATCCAATGCTTTTGAATGTGAAACTGAAATGGTAATGGGGTGCAAATCTATTTTATTACATAAATTTTATATAACTTGTTCTTTTTAAACCAATTGAAATTTTGGTAAACATTTTTGTCTAGTAATTTCCCAATGACCTCCTGTTGCCAGGTAACCTATTGAAAGAAGAGTGTTGAATAGAGAAAGTTTATCTTTACTGCTCAAATATTGAAGTGTCCCATAAAAACCCACATGTCGGCTGGATTTAAGCAATTAACATTTTCTAGTGTTTTATATAGTAATCTTTGCAGGTTTTAGACCCTGTGAAACAATTCAGAACTCCTTTTATGAAGTATCAAACAGACCTGTGAATGACATTGGCAAAGAAAATCAAACACTGGGTTTGCTTAAATGTTAAGAAAAACATTTATATTGCGCAATGAATAATATAAATGGGCAATTTATATTTCAGTCTTTAGCTGGTCATTTATAATCACCTCTATCTTGCCTGCATTAATCCTTTTAACAGTTGCTTTTCATCCTTTGCCCTGCTGTCAACTGATAGACACTTGAATAACTATTGTAAAAATTTAGATAGCCCGAGGTGTCATGTAAAGTGCAGAGAATTGAAATATGGAGGTTTTTTCGTCCATGTATTGTATTCAAATCAAATTTTGTAAGACAAGGCCACATCCTGTATTGAATTTCTGTTCTTTACAACTGTCTGTGAAAGTAATTATCTTGAATAATGTTAAATGGTTACAAAGTTCAAATATATATACTCACCTTTTTTAGAACTGTCAGCTTGATATCCTCCCTTCAGGTCAATGTGAGATAACTGGTTTTGAATTTGACTTGAAAATTGATCAGCTAGCATAGGCTTACACATGTTACAAAGTTTCTCACAAAAGTGTTTTTTGTTTGATTTATTTTAAACATAATGGTAATTTTAAATAACCTTTTTATGAGTTTTGTAGTCTTCTGAAGTTCAGTTTCCTGGCATGCAGAACTTTTTGTTTGAAAGTGTTGATTACACTCTTTTATTCCAATTATGATTTTCATTGGTGAATTTGATCACAAGGAAATGCTTACTTGGAAGAGATTTTATTTCTCTCACTTTGCCAAAAGGACTCCTCTCTTTTCCCCCAAAGCAACATAAAAGGCCTGTTGGGCAGGCTACTTTTCTTGGAAAACTCTGGCTTTCTCTCTCTAGAGTCAGTAGGCATCATGATTACAGCTTTAATCATTTACCCTTCTTCCCATATTTCTTGCAGTGAAAGCCAAAAGAGAAAGTCCCGTGATGCTGCAAGGCAGAGAGAGGCCAGCAGAATGACGAGTTTACAGAGCTTGCAAGCCAGTTACCTATTATGCCTGTGCAGACTTCAAATCTTGACAGACTTTGTGTCATGAGGCTTTCAAACAGTTTTGTGAAAATGAAACACATCATCAAGCAAGTTACTGGTGAGTTCTATGGCAACATCTTTTATCACTTATCTAAAACATCCAATTGGGCACTTTTTTGTCAAAAATTTTTCAACCAGCATTTACTGCTGTTAGCCATGTTTCCCATTCCTAACTCTGAGGCACATTGCATTGAGCATGAAGTGATGATCTTCCCAGTTCTTATATTGTATATTGGTGTCAGATCTTTAAACCCTATATACTGTTACATAAGTTCTCCAGTTTTCTTGATAGAATTCAAGAGTTAAACTTGTCCAGTGTATTTTGGAGTTACAAATTCTCACATGACTTTTCTACTTGTTTTTGTAAAGGTGAGATTCAGAACATCAAGAAAGAAATAAATTTTGATGCTATGATGCCTGCAGTGTCTGTTATGGATGCTTTGGATGGCTTTATGTTTGTCTTATCTCAAGAAGGACAATGTCTGTTTGTTTCCCCAAATGTTGCACAGTACCTTGGGATAACACAGGTAATATATACCTGAACATGTGTTTATTTATATTGTTGTTTGAATCAGCTTACTAGCCACCACTTCTTAAACCCATGAAAAGAGAAAGAAAAAAGTCCACTTATCTTATGACTTTATGGTTCCTGAAGTCATGCTTTTCCATTTCTTTGTCATCAAATTGTTGTTTGTGAGGTGCATTGCATGAGCTTTGAGACTGATGATGCTATGTCCTCATACCCTGCAGCACCTGAAAGTCGTGGCAAGATTTAGGTTTTAATACAAAAAGGGAAATGGTTTCAGTTATGTGAGTAATAGAATTACAGATATTTCATTACTTTTCAAATCCAAAAATTATTTATTACATGGTTTCTTTAACTACAGGTTGACATTACTGGCTGTAGTTTTTACAAGTATGTACATCCATGTGATCAAGAAGAACTAGCCCAACAGCTTGGTGGTCAGGTTCCTCTTGAAGATATGGAGATATTTGATGGATTATTTTGTTCTGATTTGCCATCTGTGCTGAAAGAGAGCAGGAACAGACCTATTTGCCGGAAGCTACATGCAGATTCAGATACCTGCAGATCATTTTTTATAAGAATGAAAAGCACATTGACCAGCAGGGGGAAAAGTGTTAACCTGAGTGCTTCAATCTATAGGGTATGTTGTTAATGGTGAATTTTATGTGTGTTTGCTTGATCATTTGTTTCCATTGTGAAATGTATTTTTATAATAGTCTGTTAGAAGGTATGTTCTTGCTGCTACATTTTTTGAACAGCAAAGTTGCTTCCATGGTATTTCTCATTTTGATTTTGTATCAAGGATTTTCTTATTATTTCGTAGAGTTAGGTTCAAATAATGCTATGATTAGGAATTTGAGAAAAAATTGAGAAGGGAAAAACTTAGTCTTGCTCAAAATGTCATAAATCTTCAAGTTACTGTATTAACATATTTCATATAAATAAATATTCCTCAAGAAATTCTTAATGAAAGGATGTTTTTCAGTTTTCTATGATTTCTGTTTCAGCTGTGCATTTAGTTTCTCTTATAAGCAGAGTTTCACAACATGCAGCCTTGCCGAATTGTCACTAAACATGCTTAATAAAATATAACTAACAAAATGGAGGTTGGAGATGCACTATATGCTAATGCACAGGCCATTAAAACTTACAGCAATTCATTATAAAATAAATTACTTTTACTACCAGATAACAGATAACTTTCACTCCATTAATAATATAATATTAAATATGCTTTCATGACAACTTGACGTCTAATCTTGGTTTGTCTGATAAGTCAAGAGTACTTTTTGAAGGTCATTGTTATCAGGGACAGTTTGATCAAAAGAAAAAATAAATGTTTAAACAATTATAAAGGGCTCTAAAAAGTATGTACATATGAGGTTGAAACAGTGGCTTTTTCGCTGTTTATTTTGACGTCACTAGCTATAGAGTAAGTGGTACGAAATTCCTTTTTGAACTCCTATTTCTAACATTGATACAATTTATTCCGTGTGTACCAGAAAAACTAACCACTAGATAGCAAGGGACTATTTACCATCTTTAATATTTTATTTTCATATAGGTTATTCACTGTGTTGGCAAGGTACAGAGTTATCAAACAAAATTCAGTGCTCCCAACAACGAGCTGTACACTACCTGTTTGATTGCTGTGGGAACCCCTCTGCTTGCGTCACCGACGTTTCAAGTACCTTTGGATAGAACGACATTCACATCCACCCATACGTTAGATATGAGAGTCTTGTCAATGGAAGCCATGTTAGTCTTTACATCATTTAATATTTTTCGCTATGATGTTCACAGATATTTAAGATTTTTAACATATCTGTCCTTTTAGCATATCTGTATAAGAAATCAATCCTTTTGTAAAGAATTTACGCTGTACTTGTAAACGAGTAGCAAACAGCCCCTCCCATTGTCAGGGTATCTAATAAGTTTGTTATTCTTGCAAAATTTGTTTCAAAGCAGTTGTGCATCCAATAAAAGAAATATTTTCGTAAATGGAAATCTCTACTAGTATATACGTTAGGCTTTTTATTTCATTTTTCTAATAGCTATGTTACATCCTACTTTCTTAAAATTTTAGTTCTACTGCAGCGTGCGATTAATTTTCACGATAAGGTTCAGAATAGGACGAATTATTTGATACATGTAACTTGAATAGGGCAATCAGGCAATATTTTTTAGATAGACAAACTTGCAAAAGTTTACTTGTGGCAAGGTTCGCACCTTTCAGTGCTGAAAATGTAGCAACAATGATAAAGTTAGGAGGGCGTATGAAAACTGAAAGATAGCGAGAAACGACATGTAAACAGATTTTTATTTTGTAGAAATATTGACAGTTAGAATTATAAACACTTAAAATATTATGAGTAACGTTAATAAACAGCTGTGTCCATAAGACTAGCGTGTCAGAAGCTGCCTTTAGTGCTGCTAGGGGGAGCAATCGCTATATGATCCAGTTAGCCATACATAAAAATTGTCTTCCCCGTGTAACTAGTTTTCCTAATTTACAGTCTTTATAGTTGCAAAAATTAGTTAACTGTATATTTGTTATCTGAGAGCTGATAAAGTTGAAGTTGAGACAGATAATTTGTTTTCGCGTTTGATGATTCAAAAGGCTTCACAAACAAATATGGTGAATAATTTTGACCTCGTTGTGAAATATAATGCCTCGGTTGCATCCTATCAATTTATATGGTTCACCAAAACGTGATTATTTATGAGAAAATGGGCTCCTAACTTCAATCATTGGAATTAGTTGTTTGCTTTCTTGTCGGTTCTGCTTCAGTTTCTATAAGCCCTAAAGTTTGTTAAGCATTTTAGCTCAATTGTCTAACTCTTATTGACAGTGCGTATGATATTCTTGGGTACATTGACGTGGAGTTACTCGATAAATCATGGTACAACTACGTGCATACATGTGACATTGATGTGATTAAGAAGTGTCATAGCTTGAGTAAGTGATCTTTCAGTGCCTATTATTTTGCTATATAGTAGCTTCACTTATTTATGACCTTTTATTTTGGCCAGATGGTTAGTTAGCTGGCAAAATGTGCTGATTTTTGCAATCCAACGAAAAAAGCTTTCTTAGCCTAGGGCCCAATGTATGATAGTATGAACACAAGATCTGTGACCAGGCCCTTTTGATATGTGCAAAGTCAGAAGACTTTTTCTCATTGTGAAGATATCCTGGTAACCCCTTTGTTAGTCATACAGTTTTTGTCTCAATTGTTTGGATGCGAAAACACCCTGATTTTCCTATCTTTGCAACACAAGGACCGAGATTTTGGGGGGCCTTGGTTTTAAGAAGCTTAAGTAGCATCAGTAAAATACTTTTATTTTGTAAAATTTGGCTGTTGTTACACTTATTTATCAGGGCTTGCCCCCAAACAAAGATGTTTGTATCTTGGTCTTTGAAAAGTATTGTTGTTACCAATCAACATAACTTTTTGCAAGCATTATAAGTTTGCATTGTCTTACTTTCTAACCTACTTGGTGCTGATGTTTTAGTGTTGAGCAAAGGCCAGTCTGTGAGTGGATATTACCGCATTATGACCAAGAAAGGTGGCTGGATTTGGATGCTCACCAAAGGCAATATCGTCTATTCAAACACCACATTTCAACCCCAGTACATCATCAATATCAATTATGTTGTGAGGTATGCAGATAAACATCTTAGAAATATATATTGTCTTTTTAAATACTGGCCCCTCATTTGCAAGCAACATTCAATTTGAGGTGGTCAATACATAGGGGTGTGTCACAAATTTTCTGTCTCACTATCAGGAATAGGCCTTGCTTGTAACGGGAAAGTAAAGAATTACTACTCTTTTGCCCACTCCCCTATTGTAATTCAAGATGCTGCTCCTGAAAGTGACTTCTTATCTTTCACCTGTCAAAGTGTCGCTTTTGAGCCTCATTACAATTTGGCACAAGCCCATTTCAACTCTTCTGAGCTATCTATAGCTATCTTAAAGCCTTTTAATTCTAAAAGCATATACCATTCACAGAAGAAGGAACCACTAAATAAAAACATACCCTAAAATAATGTCCATACAGTTTTCAAATTCATTTCCAATTAGATAAAGAAAATAGTACTGGTCTGTTGCCTTGCTCCATTCACTCAGTTTTCCAGTTCCAGACGACCTTCAAGGATCATTGCTGTTTGTTGTGCTTTAAGACTAAGGATCGCTCATAAAACCAGATCATTTTTGACATTCTCAATTTGATACAGTTTCATTCGATGTTTATTTGATCAAAGTCGTTTAGGTGATAAGTTGAAATAAACCTAGTTGAAATAGACTATTGTGCCAAATTTGTCTGTGTGATTTCAGAACTATAATGTTTTCAACCTCAGTTTTAAAGAGAAGAAGTATATCGTCGCTTGCACGCAAGGCACTTTTTTATTCTTTAATGCAAATCAGAGTGGTACATTATTTTTGCAGTTATGGCCCCTGATTATGTACAACAAAGGTATTTTGTAAATCATATTTCATTTGTATTTGCTTCCGTCATCTTAAGAAGCAAAATGTTTTCTTAATTTGGAAGTATTTTCTATTCATGTACTAACTTGTCTTTCAGCGGTGTTGAAGCAAGGGAACAGTTACTTTCGACCGAGCAGATGCAGAGCGTCATCAGAGTGTCAAAGCTTGGAGAGAAAAGAGGGCACGACGTTGACGATTTTGTCGCCCCGTTCAAGTTTCAAAAAGGCCCCAGAGAAGCACCCTCCCCGGCCGGGAGTAATAGTTGCTCCTCTGAAGACAGCCTAGCTACTTCTCGGATGGAAGAGTTGGAGAGTATAATCAAGAGCCAAGCCCGTTATGAAGATTTGATTGCTGAGCGCTATTCTAACAGCATGGACAGTGATAGCAATATTGACGACGAACTGCCAAAATTGGAAGCAATTGACACAACCAGCGTGAAAGAGAATGATGTCAATGGAGACACAACGGACTCAGATTTACTGTGGAGAGCTCCATTCGTCATGTTACCTGAAAACGATACGATGCTGTTTTTGCCAGGCTGTTCTCCTATCTCTGTTAACGATGAAGATGCCAGTGTTGAGGAAGATAACCCAGATGAGCTAGCAGCGAGAGCTCCATTTGTGCCGCCACCAAATGACGATACCATCCTGACATTTAATGACCTTCCTGACTCACCCATTTTCTCTGGCTTTGGGAGCCAAGATGGGGGATGCAAGATGCCTGAGCTCTATCTAGAGGAGCCATTTGAAGACAAGTTGGTTGGTATTGGCCCGGCGGCAGTGCCTGCTTCACACATCAAGAGAAATGTTCAGGGTTGTCAGAAAGCAACACGTGGGGCAAAGAAAGAAACAATGCAGGATGGAAAACAAAAAGGGTTTCTGCCCTGGATTTCAACCACAGAAGCAGAGATGAATGCCCCAAGTGGTCGTCTGTTAGACGGCGACGACCTTCTTTCGGCACTTGACGTTGTTACGTGAGTTGTTGTTTTTAGCAAGTTTGACTTGAAAAGGTACACTGTTTATTATCTAGTAAATACCTGTGGGTGTAGTTGCGTATTTTATTGTAATGTTTACGAGCGCGCAAAACTGGAGTAAAATATTGTGAAGAGAGGCCAGCAGCTTTTTTTAAAAATGTCCACAAAATGTTAACTCCGCTGGTAGCTGGAGCATTCAGCCAGATCATGAATGCAGTGCCATGAGCTTAACTTTGATTTCAATTGGTACGAACACTCTCTCGTATTATTATGCAAGTAGGTACAACTTCCTAATGTTTTTAAGCAAATTTCTATCCCAGTCAACCAGGTTATTTCATATTACCGTGAGCTTTTTTAGTCTTTTTGGCTCGTCTAATTTTTTATCATACGTCACAGGCACTTTCATATCATAACTTACCGAGAATCGCATATTACTCCAGTTGTCTCAAAGAATTGTTAACCTTGTATTAGCTTCGGTGGTCATAGTTTTTAATAAACCGTAACGGCACTGATAATTGCCAAGTGAGCTTTCATAAATAGCTATAGTGTAGTGACCGTTTTATTTTTTGGGGAATTATCGTTAATTTAGACTAGGGGGAGGGGGGAATTCTTTCAAAAAACGATACCTGTAGCCTATTTATCCTTATTCCAAAGTTGTTCAAGATGTAGAACTATGAACCCTCGTACAATTTCTTTTAGATTTTGCCCTTTGCTCCTTTATGAGTTTGCCCTTTGCTCCTTTTAGATTTTGCCTTTTGCTCCTTTTAGATTTTGACCTTTACTCCTTTTATATTGGGCCTTTGCTCCTTTTAGATTTTGCCCTTTGCTCCTTTTAGATTTTGCTCTTTGCTCCTTTCGATTTTGCCCTTTGCTCAATACGCCAATTGAGGGCGCTAGGTTCAATAGATGAAAGTCTTTGTCTTGTTTCTTGTTTTGGTGAATTTGGTGTAGATAGCTAGAATTATGTACCTTTCGTTTTTGGGGGATAGGCAGTACCTAGCAAGTCAAAACTGCATGGTGTTCTTTTGTGTATTGTCCTATCTGTAGCGTAACATTTTAAAAATTAAACCTGGTTGTCGTTTCATATCTTTTAGCAGTTTGATTTTTAGCATCTAGTAAGCGGTTCAAACAGGACTCTCCTGATTTTTATTTCTGAACTGCGTAAATTTTTAACATTAACGACTCTGTCTCGTTTTAGTTTGGTTTTTATAATTAGTCTCTTTTATCTAAGTTTAGTTATTTATTTTACTTTGCTTAAAAGTGAAATCCCGACAACCCTTGTTTGTGATGACCAGTCTAAACCAATGCATTAAGAAAAGTCAACTTGCGAAATTTTTAAGTTATTATTCATTTTCGTATATGTGGGTATCCTGCTACACAGCCAAGCAATTTCTCTTAGCAACTGACCCCCCGAGGTCATGTGCCGAAGCTATTTATCTAAAGGCCTGTTAAGGCAGTGGTTGGCGGGAGAAACGACTGGGCACCACCCTATTCCCAGGACTCGATCGTTTTGAAAATGGCTGAACCTTGAGAATGCTTCCTTCTCCTAACTTTAAATATGACGAATTTTTTGTCAAAATATCAAGGGGTTACCATATGAACAACCAGTATACTAGCCGAATATTACCAGTATAAAGACTGTCTAGTTAGCTTTATAATTATTTCCGTTAATATCTCATTCCTATTTGACATCAGAATCTGTAGATAATTCCTTACATTGCATTGCTTATTAGTGACCCGTACGGCCTAAATGTATGGTTCTGTACTTAAAAGTGATACTTGCAGCTTGCTTGCGCTTAATTTAGCTTCGACAATGTCGAAAAGCTTTATGTTAATATATTTTTAGTGTAACAGCAACGTTAATTGGCTTTGACCGTCATTGGCGAATTTAGTGTGTTTTTTAAATGTACGAATGTTTAAAAAGCATTTTGTTACGGCATATCGCAGAAAGAAGAATTTACCTAACTTATCGCACCAATTTTCACCACCCGGATGATTTATTATCGCCCAAAAATCTTCAAAGCATTTGTAAATTTTCGTCACCGGCTCAATATGAGAATCAGGCAGTGATACAATACAGTATATTCGCCAGTTATGGTTGCTGTTACCCTGAAAATATATAGAATCTTTTGAATATAGTCTTACCGTGGTATGGTACATCATGTAGCATTAACACTATGTACATTAAAGTGGTAGTCACATTCTGTCTATTTTCTCCTCCTGAAGACTTGTAACTTAAGGGCTATACAAAACTTTGTTCTTCAATAACAACTTTGCCGACTACTGAACGCCAAGGATTCTTCGAAAGCAAAGTACTTTCTGCAATGAAAGCTATTTTGATATTCTCTCATAGCAAAATACTTGGGTGTGCCTGTTTGGCCCTAAAATATCGTGTTGCGCTGATGTAAATTGCAACAGGTAAAATGCAACCGTGAATTTATAAAACGCACTTTTTGATATGAAATAGGGTTATGAAAAACTGCCAGAGGTAAATTGTATTGCCTATCGTTTCTTCATTGGTTCAAAATTCGTCTTCAATTACAAGGCCAAGAGATAATACGAAATCTGTCTCAAAAGTGTAGAACTCAATGAATTTTCAATGGGTTATTGCAAAGACCCTACAAACAAAATTTGATAAAATAAAATAACGACTTTGTACAAGAAATGAATCTTTGGTACAACGTTTCGAGTTTAACCTTCATCAGGTAAATAAAGAATAGAAGGAGAAACGTTTAAGAAGAGAATAGAACAATAGAATCGAAAGATAAACTATATGGAACGTAGTAAGAATACGACGTAGAACGTAAGACAAGATGGAAATATGTGAGGGGGTAGAAAGCGTATAGATAAGACAAGGTAAAAATAAATAATGGCTGGATTAGGAAAAAAACAAAAATTGTTTATTAAGACCATTAGGAATAAGAGTACCAAGATTAAAAATAATACGTTTTTCGAGGGTTGAAAAATAATACGCAAGAAACACACTACAAACAAAACTTGAAATTTTGCCACATAAATTATGTCCCCACTAGAGACCGAGGGCTACATTCCCCGAAAGTTATATACCCTATACTATGTTATACTATGCTATATTTCCATAATAACAGAGCATTGAATGAGAAGCAATTAATTTGACAATCGTCCAAGACAACCTTTTTTCCGACGAATATACAAGACAAACTTTACATTGATCGTTATTTTTTTCCGACGACACTGCAAAATGAAGTTGAACTGGCCCTAAATTCTCCACAAAGAAGACTGATAACTTTTCTGATGATTCACAAAGGAACGATCGTGTAACGTTTTATATTGTTCCCTTCAATAGCGTGGAAGGACCAGGGGCTGCGCTCTCAAAAGTGATACGAAAAGTTGCACGGTACACAATCGTTCCGTTCCGTTCTCGTGTGAACAGATGAGAACTGGTCCGAAAAATGGAACAACTTCTCATTTGGCTAAATGATTGCATTATTTTTTTCCTTCTTTCTTTTCTTTCATTATTTTATTTAAAGTTGGTACAATCTCTAGCTACCCTCAAGCTAACTAAAACCAATTAATCTAAATTATCAACGCTAAATATAATGTAAATCAAATATAACCAATGTTGCATACATATTCCTTGCAAAAATCGCAAGTACAATTGACGGATGAAAATTCTGCCTTTTTCCTCTTGAATATTTGTAACGTTGGGGATTATTATATTTCGTTTGGAATTGAGTTCCATATTTGGCTACATCTGTATGACACGGTATCAAATCCATATATTTTGTAATATGGATACGCTGTTTTAAATTGAGAGTTTTTGTTTTATGCTAGCTATACTCAAGCTTAGATGAAAAATTATTGTTTTATTCTTTACTAAAAATCGTTCAAGTGTTCATTCATAATCATCAAGAGCTATTCTCATTGCCCTTTCGTAAATCCTGTTTACCTGGCTATTTTCCTACTGCAAAACATCCAAGAAAGAGGAAAATAATCAAATTACGATAGAATAGAAATCGCTTATATTCGTCCATATACAAAGCAATCCTGCCTAGAGCGTTAACCTTTTCCTCAGCTTCTTTACAAAAAAATGTTCTTCTAATCTAAATTGTCAAATATTACTCCTAATAATTTGATGTTCCAATATTATTCCTAATCATTTAACATTCTTACTTTCTTTTAACATTGTTCGTATGAAAATACAAGTATCACTTTAACACCTAAAGTGGAACGTAACGATTGCGTTCCAAAGTAAACAGAGACAAAATTGGTACATAGTCGTTCCTTCCCCTTGTGAACAGTTAATTTTTTTGTTCCAAAATTTGGAACACAGTTGCAACGGTGGGCAATCATTCCGATGTGAACGGAGCTTTGAAGCCTCACTGATCTTATAACTTCTTCTTACGTCTTCTTACGTATACCGGTTACAAAATACACCAGTTGTAATAGTATAATGTCGCACGTTCCAGCTTCAAATGTCTAAGTAAGTATATAAGTTTTCCTTTCCAGGATAACTTTTATGAAAAGAGTAGTTTTCATCGTTGAGTTCTTTGATTCAGAAAGGTAACTTACAAGAATTAGTTCTTAAGCTATATTGACTTATGCGATTTAAAACCTTTTAATTGATTGTCTAGACGTTTCTTTGGGGGCTATGCCTTGTCTGAGTATAAATGTACAAAGCCTCTGTTTCGGTCTAAGGACATACTTTTTCGGTAAGCAGGAAACCGATTTTTTCCCTAACTTCGTAATCAGTCGATTTCCAGATTCATCTCTCTGGTAGACTTTCTTTTACTTTTTAGAAGGTCTGAGACTCAATGACTATTTTTCTAACTCTGATGATTGGGAATCTTTATGTCGTTTTCAGACATTAGTTGCTGTTGCTGTTTTGCTGTTATTGTTGCTTTGTTGTTGCAGCCAGGGATCTTTGGGGTGCACCAGGGAGCTTTTCTTAGATGTTACCTCTAAAGGATATTTTGAAAGTGCCTCTTTTTATCTATGCTCCTCAAACTTTTAAATATTTCCATCATCCCTGGTTGCTGGCAGTTGTTTTTATCCCATTTCTGCTGTACCGTTACTCTGGCTCGAAAAGAGATTACAATGTTCACGTTGGTTTCATGCTTCCAGTCTTAAAATTCTTAGTGTTATTCATGCTGAGAGAAATGATGGGGTGTCCCTAGCCCATCAAATTCTATCAGGACCTTTATTTGCGGTTCACGTTTGGAAGTCCCCATCTCGAAAATCAAAGTATAGTTCTTTTGCAATCTCAACATCAACACAGATATATGGATAGCCTAATGATGCCGGGACTCACTTCATTTTGAGTTCTTTTTTAATCATTCTGTCTTATTTTGTTATGATTTAAACTCTGTTTTATTACGTATTTCATTTCAATTAATAAATCAATATTATAAGGATAGATTAAAGCAATCAATCATGAAAATAAAAGAAAATTTTATTTGAAAAAGGTGCTTAGCAAAGTAATTCAATCTAAAGCTAGCAATTTGGACTCAGTGGCACCGTAAAGATTTGTAGTTAACCTTGTTTTGACAAGCCAAGTTTTTCTAATAATGGCCCCAAAAACTTTTGAAAAGTTCCTCTTTCTTTTAGAAGTGCCCTCTTCAAGAATTTATTAGAGAGTGACCCTTTTTTGAGACATATTGTCCATTTCTACATGTGTTTCTCCTGCTTTTAAACGTTCACAACACTCTGATTACAGCATTGGTTATTCGAGCATGTAAAGACAATATATATCATGGCCACGATTAACAACAAATAGGAATTCACCAATGCAATTATTGTACGAGATTTCAACCAAAGCAAAAGGATTTTTAAAGGTTTAGTTGCATGGAAATTCCATTGATCGATTTGCCCTTTGAGACAACACTATCAATTTTGATCGAAAATTGTGGAAAAACATGGTTCATGCCATTCATGCAGTTTTGGCATGCAGTGTAAAAGAGACAACGAGTGACAAGAAACATACGCAGAAGAAGTGGCCTAAAAAAGAAGCCTTGAGGCACGTCATAATCATTTCTTTGTACAATAGAGAAAGTTGAATGGACCTTGCTATTTGCTATGGAAGACTCAAAGAAACTTTTTTCAGAACAGCACTCACTATTGATTTTGCCTATTATGCTCCGAATCAAAGATTTGAAAAGCTTCTTTTTGTGGGTGGATGCTTTTAGGCCAGTGTATCATCATTTCTTGACGCAATGATGCTTCCAGCAATTGAAAAGTTATTATCACAAAATTAATGGCTAAAATGATAAGACATCGTAAAAGCCTAAATTATCCAAGGATAGTTACTTGCAAGAAATGAGTTTTTGATTAGTTGTTTTGCTATAGATAATAATTTTCTGACTTTTTCCTTTTAATCAAGTAGCAGTCTCAAGGGCGTCCATGTGTCGAATCACCTTTCTTACCCCAAGGCGATTCCATCTCATTAACTAAAGTGAAGTAGCCTTTTCACAACTGCTAGTTGGTCGACATGGAAAATCGATTCGCATAAGGTACACCAAATACTAGCCACTCGACATTGACATTCTGGCGGGGTTGGATTCTATGAAGTAAGTTCAACTCAATTATCTCTGAATTTAGGAATCACAGAGCAATATAAACTCTGAAAATTCTACCAAACGAAGGTTTAAGTATTCATTAGTTTCAATGCTCGTTGTCTTACAGAAAAACGTCCAATACAAAGACTGACGTCAGAATCGACTTGGGGGGTTCATTTATGATACAGGGAAACGAGAGTATTTTATATTGGACCGACAAAGACAATAGACTAAGATCAGGCTCGGCGGACGGAAAAGCCTCCTCCGCCCCGAGAGCCTGATCTCAGGCTACAAAGACAATTGTAAGTAAAAGAAATAAAATAAATCTTCTCTTTGGTTTCGTTAGCAGAGGAATTATCCAGCGTTTGCGTATAGACTAACAACCTTTAATATCAGAGATACCAGGCATATCTATTCTAAATCCAGGAAATTTATGACCGAATTTTTTGACACACACGCAGCAGTGTTCGAAGTCCTTTAGGAGAAATCCACAAAAAACAAGACCGGTTTGATCTCGGCTTCACAACTGTATCGCTAATTCGGTTACAACGATATATAAATGTTTTTTACCGGTCTAAGAAATGCTTTACTTATCTCTTGCCACGAAGCCAATCGGCTAATCCTCAATATTTTCTCAGCTTTACTTTATCATACTGCAAAGAATTTGT